AATATTTAGGCGTAGTTACGGAATTAATTCATTCCATCGCTTAATATCTTAACCGCGCTATCGATACTAATAAGGATCTCGTAAAAACTAAAACGGTCGGATATTCTATCGAACTATTAGCTTCTAATTACTTATATCCGTATTAATATTACTAAAGCGTAAGCTTATCTTACTTTTCGCGCCTATTATATTAATATATAACTTACGCTAATATATTACTATAAGCTCGCTACGATAACAAGTAATAGTAAAGGAGTACCGTAATTAAGAAATAACTTATTTAAATAAAATACGCGCGAATAAAGTAATATATAAGTTATATACGTAACCGAAAGCGATAAGGAATTAAAAAGAAACGTATCGAATTAACTTTAGATATATCTTTATAAAAGAAAAAAAGAGAGGAAGAAAGCTATTACGAAAGAGTAGGAGATTTTTCTCTTATAATATAAAAGCTTAAGTATAAGAAGGAACGTTACCGGGTACTAACCTAGTAAAGCTACGAAAGGATTCGCGTACGATAATAATAATATAAAGCGAAGCAATAAGAGCTCTCGCGAACGCATAACGAATACGGCAGATATACTTAATTAAAAGCTACGATATATCTCTTTTATTAAGATATTAAGAAGAACTAATATAATAATTAATTAAAAGGATACTTTAAGCTATTAGGAGTATTAAATAAAGGCGTAAGTAACCAAAGCGACGAATATATTACCCCGGAAAGCTAGTAAAGCGAATAAGGCTCGAGCTAACTTAGGACTTTAATTAAAAGGATAACTAAGCTAACTATCGCGAGCCTTTCGGCTAAGTTACTATTATTATTCAGCTAAGCTCGCTATCGCGAACCTAGCTAAGGGATATATTACATAAAGAGCTACTTATATATAGCTCCCTACTCCTTTTCGAGTTACTCGCTTACCTAATATAGCTCCTAACTCGCTTATATAACATAGCTCGTAGCTTCCTATCGTTTATATATAGGTAGCTCGTATCTCCTTTATTAATCTCCTTCCTTCTTAAATAATTAGTTAATTTACCTTCTTCTTCCTACCTTCCGTTACTCCTAAGAAGCAACCTTAGTACCTACGTAGCTCTCCTAACCTACGTATCATAACGTTTTTAAGACTTGATTAATTTAAAAAAAAAGTTACATAATCTTAATTATTATTTTATCTATATAATAAAGAATTAGGTAATAGACCTACTTTATTACCATAAAAGAAATAAGTTAAGAGGCCGATATAAAGTATAGTTAATAGATTTATTAATAAATTATATAGGAAATTATTAATATAGTTTTAAAACCCCTTAAATCGTAAATCATTTCTTATATTACTAAGTAAAAAATCCGAAAAGTTTATATATTAATTTAATTAAGCTAATTAATTACGTAAGTAAATTTCTAATTTTTCCGATCTTTTTCCGGTTTTTTACGGTAATAAATCGTTTATATATAAACCTATATAAAATACCCGGCTTGCGAAGGGGTAGCTCGGTAGCCTATAACTCTATTCGTACATATATAAGCTACTACGAATATAATATGAAGCTATCGGGGACTTGCATCAAACATACATACCTCCTTCTATTGGGGGCGTATGTGTAGACGATAAAACTGGGGCGTTCGACCGAAAAGTGGAGTTTTTTCCCAGTTGTAGCTATGCGACTCCGTACCTGTCTCGTCCTTCCATCCGCGCCCACCTCCCTCCCCCTCCTCTAGGGCGGATCCCACTGGCGGCATGTAACCCTCCATTCCCCCCCATGTTAGCGAGGAACAGATAGATCTGGCGCGCCACGAAAGGACACACTGCGATGGTGTGACCTCCAATTCGAGTTCATTTCGCGGGCGCCTCCCCCAGCCCTGCCGCGTGCTATTATTCGCATAGTGATAGCATACAAGCATCGCGAGATCGTGAGACGAGGAAGACAGTCCCTCGGGCGTCAGCGGGGCGCCCAAGGAAACACCCGCAAAAACAAGCATGAAAAGAAACAAAAAGCCACGAAATAGTAGAAGAAGTTGGAAAAGACGGGGCGTGACGCGCCGCCCGATGTTCCTGGCGGTGCCAGCCGTCCCATTGGTGGTCTTATTGTTGGGTAGTATTTCCAGGATAAGCAATTCGGGTGACGTTTGAAAGGATCCCCCTCCGCGGGAATACCTATATCGAGAAAGAGAAAATAGAAGGATAAAAGGGCTTAGGCGGGTCTATCTCGACGACGGTTATCCCGCCCCTTTTTTTCTCGTCTGTCTTTTTTTTTTTACGCCCCCGACCGCGCTCACCTAGGTATATGCGCGCACGCGGAGGGAGAGCCTCCGGATCTGACAGATCGGGACGGGATCGGACGCATGGGTAACGAGCGATGACGGCGCTCCTGGCCAGCCTCATTTGAGGTTCTCGTCGCGACGCCGAATGCAACCTTGTTGGGGAAAGCGAGGGGAGGAGAGCTGTCTAGGTTTCTTTGCCCCCCATCCTTGCTGTCTGTACCCATATACCGGAGAGCATTCGCACAATGAGCCCAGAAACGGGGATATCATTACGCTCAGGCTGCGCCAAGGGGGAATCGCTTCTCGTGCGGTCGCAGGTGCTGGATCGCCAAGCAAGCCGCTCAGCGTCGGGTAAGCATCACACGAGTCTAGGATCCCGAGGTCGTCGGCGCACGTAGGCAGTCATTTTTCTTCCTGCAAACTGCAAGCCACCGCCGTCTACAGATCGAGGACCCCGGCGTGGCGATCGAGCCGTGCGGGATGGTGATCGTGTCTTAGGAGGTAGGTACAACTCGCGAGAGCAACGCGATCCATCCAGCCGACGACGCCTCGTTGCACGGGATGACGCAGGCAAACGCCACTGTCACTTGTCAGTTGTCAACATTACGATCTAGCAGATGCCGGACTATCTGCTCGGGTAACCGTGGCAATCCGCCCTGCTTGTTTAGGGGACAGCAGGTCGCCTTCTCGACCCCAGTAGATGCACGGTATAGAGGGCAGACAGTACGATAGGAAGTGCGGGCGATTGCTTTGCGAAAGGTCGCACCTACAACAGCAGCGAAGCTCGCGCGCCGCAGATGAGAAAAAGGGGGGGGGAGGGCTGCCAAGATAATTTGATGCTGTCATATATTACCTACAGTAGTCCCCGTTGAAAGTAGACCGTTGTGATAGCCACCAAAAGAAGCAACCCCTAGCATGACCCAAGAGCAATGCGGAAAATATGGACTTCCCCGTGATTCTGGAACGACTGGGGAGGGAGAAGATGAAGAAAAGGAACAGGGACGAACAAACAAGAACAGGAAGCTGGAGGGACGGGAGGATGAATGAACGATAAAGGTGGTCAACAACCGAGGCTATTCAGAGAACAGCCTGGTTATATGAGACGAATCTGGGCACTCGCGATTGCCATCGTCGTAGCCGGCACCGAGCTGCGGCGAGCTTCGACTGAGCAGACCTAAGCTCCCCCTGGTTTTCCCTGAGCGAGGGCGATTCATTGCTGCCACAGCTCCCGGACTCATTTCCGTCCCCCTGGCCAAAGTTAGCTCCTAACAAAACGTGAGTCTATTACGTATCTGCAGGTGGGATTACACGTTAGATGGGTAAGGGGAGTCTAGGTAAACGCCTGAGGTCTGAGGGTGGGGTATGGGTTGGTTCTCGCTGAGCACAGGGAGGCAAAGGCCTTGAATAAGTGTGGATACACATAGACAATCAGGATTGGCAACGAGACGAAGAATATGTATTACTTTAGTTGAAGGAAGTCCTTCAAGTCGGAGGCAGAAGGCCCCCATCTATAGGAATGAAAATCGTATGCGATCCGAGTCCCGGGGCACTCCATTTTGGTGTCCGCTGCCCCGGCCCCGAGGCCCTGGGGCGCGTATTAATATTAGCTATATTAGCAATTAGTTCACGCTAGCTCCTTTCGTAGGGTCCTTACGCCCGTAGGACAAGGGAAAAAAACTGCAGTAGTGAAGCGATGGGTAAGCCGCCGTCATATGCAGTGGGAGTTGGCCCAGAACTGGGCGAGCTGCCTAGTACAGAGTCCAAAGGAAATTGAGGACCCATATTGGGGGCCTTGGCCGTTTTAAAGAATGCACTATATCACGTAGAATGGAAGCTACGTAGGCGAGAGCGCGCGCGAGGAGCTATCTCACGAGCAACGAGCAACGGGAAGAGTAGCAAAGGAAGAAAAGGTCTTGTTCTATCTAAGAACTAAAACTAAAGGAATGGAAGCAACGGGAGCGTATATATAGGAGCTCCTGTTGCTGAGGTAAGCAACGAAGAGGCGCAACCTCTACGTGACACACTAACAGAGGAAAGTTCCAAAGAAGCGCTCTCTGTGTGGGTGCAATCCTCCTTTTACAGACAAGCTTTTGATATTGTGGTAGGGATGATTAGGCGCGGGGGGGCGTGTTCTCGCCCTTAGTCGGCGACGGGTCAATCTCGGAGGGCTGTGTCGTTGGATGCTTCTTGGGCGTTCCGTCACTCCCCTTTAAGCCCGACGGGCGACGTGCAAGGTTCGTCGCGGCGCCAAGCGTTGCAGGACCGACGCCGACGATACCGGCTGGCTTCTAACCTGCCGTAGTATCTTTCGACGGCTCGAGGTCGGGCCGCTCGCTAGGAGAAGCGGTAGGCCCAAGCCCCTCAAGCCACTGTTGTACATTGCTGTCATCGTATGGATCGACCTCTATAGCGCCGTAGTCCGAGCCGTCGTCGCCATCGTCGTCTAAGAGCTCCGGCGGATCGGCAGCGCCGGCCAGAGATGCAACGACGATGAGAGACCATTGCAAGTCGACCATATCTTTCATCTTCTCCGCATCCTCCTTACTGTCCAGCCTAACGACGAGGTGTAGGTTGGCCTCCGTGTAGTCGGAGTGCCGCAGGAAGTGGAAGGAGAGGTCGTAGTGCCGGAATATATCCGGTACATCGACTCCGGCGAGGAGGGAGGGAGGTACGTCAGCCGGGCCAAGGTGGTTGGTCTCTAGGAACTTGTGTGCATTTGAAGTCCTCGAGATCATGGTTGGACGTTAGATGCAGCCACGATTCTTCCATCTTTCGACTGGGCGCCGGGGCTACCGTGCCAGGTGGCTAGCCCGTCCAGCATCCTCCGCCCTTCGCTATTCCCTAGATTAATTCCCCCGCCTCGCAGCAGTTGGCTTCGTTTCGGCATCTATCGAAATTGAAGGGTAACTATGTGCTGGGACTCCGCTAGCGTGATAACGAGGCATTTGACTGCCTAGAGCCCCATACCCTACCAGGCATGTAGTTGCCTGTTGGCGGCCAGCATGTTCCAGGCGCAGTCCGACGAGCCGATTTTCTGTGAAAGGAGTTGCACCCGCAGGCGGTCACCAAATAAGCGCGCAGAAGGCATCAAGGTAGCGAGACGATTTTTGTTCTTTACGGTTGAATTGAAGGCGAATGGGATATGTGACAGGCCTCCGGGTTTGCTGTACCGGTAAAGAGACAAGCATTCTTCTCCTGGTCACGGCACTGTTTTATAATTAGCACACCATATTAGCACACTTATCGAGTATAAATAATGAACATACCATTTCGGCATCGGCTTCGTTACGAGTAGCTGACTCTTCCCGCGGACGCTTCTGTGTTGTTGCTGCGGTTCCGGACAAGGTCTTGGCGCGTTTGCTACTGCGAGAGAATGCGACCTTGGATGGGAGAATCGCAGTATATGTTTCTGGAGAGAACGTCGAAAGAGCTACCCTCCTTTTATTAACTATGGGGTAAGAAGGAAATACAAATTAACTTACATTCTTCGACCAGATCGGGTGCAAGTTGTAGCGCGATACCGGCACAGTAGTCAGGGTAGGTCGGATGGCGGCCAGAGCTTTGCCATTTGCCTGAGGATGTCGGTCGGCATGGCAAAAATGACAGCGAGATTGGGGGCTTGTTGCGTAAGATGTGGACGCCTACATTTACGACTTGCGTATGTAGGCTTATAAGGGCTGGTTCAATTGCTACGTGACGAGGCTGAAAACCGCCAATTGGTTATACCAGTCACCACTCGGAAAATATCTCGCAGCTGCTGGGCGAGCTCCAGGCGGATCCGGGCTTCCTCGGCAGGTGGAATCACGTCGTCGGTCGTCTCCCTCACGGGGGGGTTTCGTCGTAAGAAATCTCTCGAGTGCATCTAGTTATTGGGGCAGGGCAGTCGGCCAGAACGAGGCCGCCAGTTGCTGTATACCTTTGACGCTGATCGGCATCATGCTGGTGTTGCGGCGGATGACAGAGAGGGAGAGAGATAAGAGAGAGAGAGAGAGAGAGAGAGAGAGAGAGAGAGAGAGAGTGAGAGTGTGTGTGTGTGTGTGTGTGTGTGTGTGTGTGTTGGTGTTGAGAGACGGGTAGGCCGAACTGTTGTTGTGGAAAAAGTATTGGCGAGTACAGAAGCCCATGTATATATGAGGGAAAAACCTGCCCTAGAAATCGTTATTTCCTTTTGGTATGTAGATAGCGGCTTCCGTAGGCGAGAGGCGATTTTGCTTTCCTACGTCATTTTGGTGGGTCCTCGTGGCTTGCGCCTGCTACAAGAACCTGGTCGTCTGATTGGTTTGAGAGTGGATCTGATTGGCCAGAAAGCAGCTACCCCGACCCCGGTACCTGCATTCCGCCAAGGGATTTGGGGGCTTCGTGGATCATCCACATGTTCTTTTCTAGGGACAGACCGAAATTCTCTATTATAACAAAATGCTTGATTCCTAAGTGCTCCTCTGGCCCCCGACTACTAGCCGAGCTCAGAATTCCCTTCTTGATTAAAATCTCGGAAATCGACTGGCTCAAAATGTGTATCGGCAAAGAGAAAAGGTCAAGGTTCAAGATAACTATACCTACTACGCGGGGTGGTTTTTCTCGATCTTGGGGACTTACGAGAAACGCGCGGTGTCGAGAGGAAAGGGAAAGAGGAAGGCTTAATCTACTACTAGTAGTATATAGGTAAGTGGGTAATCGATTTATCGAATACTACTCAAGGTGGTATTTTCCGATTCAAGAACTTATGTCAAAAGACGCGGAATAGCGAAAGGAAAGGGGAAGAAGAAGGCTTGGTCTATTGCTGCTGGTGTATAGGCAAGTAGGTGGTCGAGCCATCAAAGGACGTGACGATCAACTCGTTCTGACGGCCAGTTTGAGGAGTTCTTGAGGTTGGATGTGACACGGGAATTATCCGATCCAGAAGGCCAGAAAATCGGCTGTGCGCAACCCTCTGGCAATCGGCATGCGCGATGGCAGCAAGGACTACCCTTCGTAATTAAAGGCAGGGGGTATGGAATTGTATTAACACGGCTAGATAATATTTGACAGCAATGGCACATATATAATCTCTCCCCAGAAAGGTGCCCACGGGGGCTGCTCGAGAGGCCAGGGGTAGCGTCATCCGCGCTCATAGTAACGCCTCCAGTATCTCTCTAGCCCTTTCAAACCGAAGTCTCCCCCTATACCCCTAGGTGATAGGGTACCACATCCATAATCGGAGGGCTTAGAGTGCTCGGTTTAAGATTAGGGGAAGCAGGTATAGGGGCCGTCGTAGCGTTCCCACCCGGGACGGTCTAGTAGGGTTGAAAGGTATATTCGGGGACGCTGCTCATTTTGATAGGTTCTGCCTCCCGTTTTACCACAGGATCAGAGAATCTAACTAACTTCCCTTTATCCTTAGGGATCGATTACGAAGTTATAACGATTCGCCTAGGTTAGAGGGCGATATTTTCAGCTGTTTGATCTACTAAGTGTTTCCCGCCTACCAGTCGTTTATCCTCTTGTCCATCGTCAACACCCCGTAAGCCGTGAGCACCGGGTCTCGAATTAGCCGGCGCATCGTCTCCCGCTGCAGACACACGCTGACGTCAAAGTCCCCCGTGTCCGCGACGTCCATGACCTGAACGAGGCCGTCCATGCGCGGCATGACGCCCTGAACGTACCTAGCCAGGCGCCGCTGCGGGTCCCCGACACCGCCGCCAACGAAGTCGACCTCGTACGCGCGCGCGCGCACCCACGACGTGACCAGCGTGTGCCGCGAGCCGAGGAACGCCTGCCACAGGCGCTGCGGGCTGGCCTCGTGCGCCGCGTCGTGGAGATGCGCAGCGACCGCCGCGGGCGTGAACAGCGCGGTCGTCGCTCGGATGCGCCCCGCGACGGCGCCCAGCGTCGCCGCGCACACCGCCGCCCCCGTCTCGGCCACGTACGCTAGCAGGATCGGCGACCCGACGAAGGACGCCGGCAGCGCCGGCGCGACGCGCCCGCGTAGCCCCAGCGTCACGTCCAGGTACACGGCCTCCCCGACGTCTGCGAGTTGTCGCGCCCGGTTGATCAGGATCCATACGTGCGCGAGTACGGCGTCGAGGCGCGAGATGGGCTCCGCGGCCAGGGGCTCTGGAAGACTCGCTTCGGCGGCCCGCTTCATGCTCGCGATCGCTGCCGCCGTGAACCGGATTTGAACGTGTTCCACGGGGGCACCCATGTCCCACGTCGGCCACGGCGGGAAGGTCGACGGGGTGAGCTCCTGGCGGGCCAGCTCGTCGGCCGGGGGCTTCGTCGCCGCTGTTGTTGCCGCCGCCCAGCTAGGATATCCGGGCGCGTCTTCGGCCCACCAGTCGTACCGATGCATAGGCAAGGCCCTAGCTTTAGCGACTTTCTCCGGATCGGGCACAGCCGCCGGCGCTGTCAGATTGGCGTGCTGGTCGAGCTGCGAAGGATCGAAGAGGGACGGTAAGCCGACGCCTTCGTCGAGCCGAGGCGAAGGGGGTTGGTGTTCCGCGAAAAGGAGTCGTGACCGCGCCGCCCAGGAATGGGCGAAGTGCATGAGGCACACCGCGTCGGACAAACAGTGGGCGAGGTTGATGCTCACCGCAAACCCGCCGCACTTGAACACCGTCAATTGGACGGCGACGCCCGGCCGCCCTTCGTACTCTGCCAGGTCGGCGAAAGCGAGCTTCGTCGCGGGCAGCAGGTCCTCCTGGGGGAAGTCCGTCGCGCGCCAGATCTGCTTCGCCGCGAGACGCTCCGCCCGGCTCGGCGCGACGGCGCTCAGCTCTCGGGCGTGTTCCGCGAGCACCAGCTCGACGCCGGGGTCCCCGGCCGCGCCGTACACGACAACGGGCCGGCCTACGTGCCGTGGGTTCGCGTCGCCGGCGGCCAGCTCCGCGGTCGCCCACCGGAGCTGCCCCGCGTAGTGGGGGTAGTCGTCGAGGGTCTGCCGTAGCGCCTCCTCGAGCCGTGAGAACACGGCCGGGTCGCGCGCGTCGGCCCCCGGCGCCGCGTCGTACAGCCAGATCGCGCCGCAGGTCGCGAAGCGCGCGACGGAGGCATCGAGGATGGACAGTTTGGTGGTCGTTGGCTGGTCTGCGGCTCTGGTCGGGAATACCCGCCGCGTGTGCCTCACACGGCACGGGGACTCGCCCATGGCGTTGGGCTCCTATGTATGAGCCTCGGGTGTAGGTATGCTACGATCTTCTCCTGTTGATGGATCCCTGAGGGTCGTTGCGCTTCATTTTTGGCCATAGATTTCGATGCGTGACGTGTGGCCAGGTATACTTCGTTGCTACAAACCGACACTCTACCGGTACCTAAATTGTCTGCCGTAAAGGTCAAATATTCGCTCAGTAAATGAGTTTCCTTTGCAAGTTATTTCAGCCTAACTATGAGCCCAATCTCCGTATGACTCTTACAGGGCGCAGCGCAACGACGCCCACTCAGTTTCTAGTGACCCCACAGATATCGCTTTGTAAGGTATCGCCAGGTGCGATCGTGGAGCCCCTGGATTCCATTACATCACTGTCCATATCCTCGCGAGCCTACACAGGTTAACACGGTGCTCGTTATTCCACAGAGCGCCGTTTGCGGCGGCTATGCCATAAATTCCCCCTACCGACGTTTAATAGACGCTTTCTGCCGCGTCACCCAATTTATCCAGTTGCGTGTCTCCGGAAGCATGTTTTCGACGGCCCGGATGCTCAAACTACCCACATCGAGTTCCTAGCCACTGTTGTAATAGAATTCGCGTAGCTAGACTTCAGTGCTGCAACTATGTCAAGGTAAGCAGGTGTTCACTACCCTGTGCCTTGTGGTCAGCGGCTGACTGGCCTTCCCTTTGTTAAGCAGGTGGTAACGCAGGGCGACGAAGAAACCGAGTTCTCGATCCAGATGCCCTTTCAAAGCAGAATCTATAATTGCCTTTCCACCTGTGCGCAGGCCCTACCTGACTACGCTTTTCGAGAGAAAGACGGACGAGAGTGTTGTAGTCGATTGGTGTAGTACGGTTAAAAGGAGCCTCGTACAAATTACAATGCACAAGACAATGCAGGATAATATGTGGTAAGACGTAATCTGAGGTCTCCCCACGACCGAATCTGCGTACCACCCCGAAACACTAGGAGATGCCAACGCAACGTGGAAGCCCCCTACCGACAAGGTGCTGACCAAAATGGAAATCCGGAGCCGAGTTGATTGGACGCGTTTCCATCTTGGCGAGTCTGGGACACCGCCCCCAAACGCCTCCCGCTCGTGCCCCAGCGGCCCGAAGATGGATGGATCATGACAGCGGCGCGTAAGCAGTGCATACGTACCCGTGCAGCTAACAACGCAGAAGTGCGAAAAACGGGAAGATTGCCGGCCCCTAGAATGCATTTGTTTATGTTGTTAGTATAAGCGTAAGCCTCTGCTGGTTGGTTGAGTAATGGAGATGTTGAGCTGTTCTCGTAAGCCTGAGCGACCTGTCTCTGGGGGACTCTGCGCGCCAGGTTTCTTAATTGTTCTCCAACTACAGCACCGGATCCACCCCCTGCGGCCTGCCCTAGGCCTGCTGCAAGAGAGCATCTAGAGGAATACGAGGAGGGGAGGTAGAGGGCAGTGATTATTATTGCGAATTGCAATTCAACGTGGCTCCGTAATATAGTTAAACATGGTATGCGCGTGTAGGCTGATAGATAGAGCGAATCGTGCACCGAAAGCCACGCGGAAACATAATCGGTAGAGATATACTGTATGCGAAATGCGTAGCAATCCTGGCCGTGTTGTCACGAACTCGGTCTGCATCGCGATTAAATCCAGTTCGACAAATCCCAAATTCGTATCAATCCCTTGCCTCCCTTTCGTAGGTACAATAGGTGCATGTAGCAATAACCCATATTTAGCCATCCACTGGCGCGAGCTACCAAAGTAGGGAGCTGCCAACCCAGCCAGCCATTCCCAGGCTACTTCGCGATTCTTCTTATCCCATCCTATTTCTATAAATATTAGAGCGTTGCGATTGGGCTAGTGTCGTCGTACCCGAAACTACTGATCCTCGACCCTGCTTACGCCGAGCCGTTGGTTCCGCAGCGCCCGTGATGGGCGGGATAGCCGCTGCTAGCGGTCGCCGGTCGCACTGCCGTCGATCCGTCAGGGCATGAGGCGATCGTCGCCGGGTTGCGCGCTTGATGGCTGTTAGACGCTGCTCGGGATCGCTCGGCTGCGCGCGTACTCCAGTTTCCACCCCGAAAACCTGGATAGCCGCATCCGAGAGAGGCAAATGTAGCGAGAGAGAAACTGTAAGTAGGTAGCGTTCAGGCTAGACAAACGAAACTCGCCCGCCAAGACGTCGAATGTCGATCCGGTGCCGTCTTACCCGCGCGCAGGATGCGCAGGACCCGGGCGATCTCAAGATGCGATGGAATCAAACAACACAACGCGCACACCCTGGAGAACCCTGACCCACGCGTGTTTACAGGCCGTACGTAGGAGCAACTGTGATTGGGATCCCTCAATAGTTCCGTCGGCGGTTCCAGCAGCTGCCACATTTGGGGGTTGCGCACAGGAGCCCCGTGGAGCTTCCAGATCGTGATCGACCCTCGGTAGGGCTTCGAATTTCGTCCGGCGGCGTCACCGCAGCTATTTTTTCGCCCAACTCCTGATTCAGCTGTGAGCTCTAGCGAGTTGGGAATCGCGTTTCACATCTCAATTCGGGGTGCGTACACTCGATACCACAGGAAAATGCGGCCGCTTGTGTTGCCGAGTTGGGAATATAGGCTTACATGGCTTCCCCTACTTGATGCGAGACAGGCTATCGAAATCGAATTGGTGTTGACAGCGTGGTGGGAATGGCACGGGAGAAGAGGATAGAAAATATTATGTCTAGGATTATTTTCCTTACCACGTGGAAAATGGCCGGTCGTGCGATTGGCACCCCTTCATTTTGTAGCCTACTTACGGAGTGGCATGTCTACTACGTAGGTAGCGCGCTGTAATGTCTGTGGACGTCGTCCGATTTAACCGGCAGCGGGGGTTCGTGAGCTGTGGAAATCGCATCGCCAGAGACGCTATCGGCACACATTAGGTGCTGGCACCATCAACCAACAGTAGCATTGATGGAAGACTACAACACCCCCTTTCGGATTTTATGCGTGTGTTGCAGATAACCGGTGATCTTCTCGTCTCAGCGTAGCAACTGAGCGTTCCGCCACTACTGGATGACATTGCCGCCTAGGCATGGCGATCAGAAGGCGACTTCACCCACAATGCCGGATTTCGCACGCAAATGAGAAGAGGTTCAACATCACAGCGCCAAGGCCGACAGGATGGCTGGCCGTTCTTTTCTTCGTCTTTCTTGGCGTCCCACCTAATTTTTGGCTATAGGGAGCGTGGGGTACCACCTCTTACGCTGGGAAACACCACGAATCGCCCACGACGACTTGTGTGGAGGGAGCCGATTTGGACCCCTCACTAATAATGGTAGTAGGTGTTTGATCGTCGAGGGGCCGGTCAATGCAGGATAGGCAACTATCACATCACACTGGTTGGCGAACTTCGGGTTAGGCCAAGATCGACGCCATCCCCGGTCTAGAAGACCAAGCAGGGGTTGGTTTTGCCAGGGAACCTGAAACCCTAGCGGAGCTCGAGTCGGATCATGGCCCCGACTAAGCTTTGCTTGCGAATCCTCGGGAGCCGTCCCTGCTAAAGGCGCGTGCTCTTCCTGTCTTGAGGATGGAGCTTCTTCACCCCCGTCTCTGGCCTCTCGAACGAAACGTCTCCAGGTTTTCTCTGTTTTTGTTTGGCAAGCCGAACTTAAGACTGTAGATGTGAGTCTCCACGAGGACAGCATCTCACCGGTTTTTTTTTTTTCGCTTCTCGTCTTCACTTCTCCTAGGACCTGGTGTTCTTGTTCTCTTTAATACTACCATTCCACGATGGCTGGCCTCTTGGATGGTTTGGGCGACGTTTTGGGGGACGTCGGTAGTGGGCTTCTCGGCGACAGTAACGATAATGGTAATGGGGAAACGCAGGCGACAACATCGGCGGAAAACGCCAGACAGACGCGTGTGGGAACGACGACGGAGGAACCTGCTCCTACTACGGCTTCAAGCGGCCGTCCGAATTCGAGGCCTCAGCCAAACACTTCAGCGGATGACAACGCAAACCAATCGCCAACCACAACATCAGCGCGAGCGGCATCATCGAGCCCTCTCGCGACAAGCCCAACGTCCGCTGCCCAACCGCAGCCCGCTACGACAGATGCGCCGAACACGAACACACCGCCCCCTCAGACTACTACCGTCGCGCCCAGCTCGAGCTCTGTTGAGAGTCCAAGTGCTGAAACGCCGAGTGCATCGCCGGAAACCTCGGAGACCACAGAAAAGGTGCCAGAGACCACAGCCAAACCTGAGCCAAGCACGACGTCCTCACCGACGACGTTCTTGCCCACGATATCCTTATCCTCAACGTTGTTGACCACAACGTCGCTAACCCCGACGTCGCAGGTGAGCGCTTCGCCCGCTGTCCCGACGACCCTAGCGACGTCTGTCGTAGCCTCGAACCCCATCGAGAGCACTCCAGTTCCGGCGCTCGACGTGCCGAGCGAGCTACCCATCGTCTCGTCGACGTCGTCGCTTCTCGCCACGCAGCTCCTCCAAGAAGGGGCTACTGCCACGGAGAGCCCCAGCGTTGGTCTCAGTACACAGCCGCCGGGGCCGGAGAGCGGGATGATTGGGAGCCTGCCGGTGGCGGCCGTAGCCGGCATCGCCGGCGGCGTGGGCGGGTTAGCCATCATCCTCGTGGTTCTCCTGACGCTTCGGCGCGTGTGGCGGAGGAGGCGCAATGGCAACGAGGAAGCCCTGTCTCGGCTCGATTCGTACGATTCCGGTCGGCCGATGTCGATCGTGTCGACCGAGAAGTCCGTCCGCTGGAACCGGGGCCTTTCCGAGTTCCACAAGCCTACAGACAACAGCTACAGGGCGTACCGGATGTAATATGCGAGGAGCACCTGAAGAAGGGGACAAGGAGAGACTTTGTCTTGTAGCGGGGCCAAATTGGCATTGCATATAGGCGTTGACTAGGCATATATTACAGCGATCTCTCATTTTATCACGGCGCGATGCGTCGTATCACTGGCTCTTTCAGCCCAGAAACTTAGATAGGATGAAAACAGTCTAGTCGTTACTCTAGTATATTACCCGCTCCTGTATTATAAACATTCCCCGCCTCACCAATTGCCCGTCGAGGTCGCGCCGCCTCGGGTCGATGCACGGGCGGCCACGAGCATCAGGCCTACGATAAAATAGCGTAGCTATGCAAATAGCACGATCCGGCAGCATATAATAGGAGCAACCTTGTGCGCTATCGTTGCTATCATCCATTCTTCTTTCTCGATCGTGTTATTGTGTCTGTCTGAGAAAAGGTAGCCCATGAGGTGCCGTGTCATATTGCACCTTCGTCTCCGCCGACCATCCCCTTTTCTGCCATGTTTCGACCTATTCCTGGCGTCTACTTCCCTTCCTAATGAAGGACTTGGGCGACTAGAGCTCGGGAATAGGGGTCGAAATGGGTACCGACGCGATGACCGCGAAAGCTGGCAACTTGGCTGCGATATAGGCTCCTGCGTGCCGCCCAACAGGCGTGACTCTCTCAAGACGGGACCTGATCTGACAATGCTCTCACGCACAGACGTGAGAGCACTACTCTTCCGTTATAGCCTCCGCGCCAGCACCCTCTTAGCGACGAGGACGGGACGAGGCATGTCTAAGCAGGGATGCAAACGGAGGCAAGTCAGTTAGGTCAGACTCGGTGTGACGGTGCAACGAATACCCGCCAATCCGTGCGCCTTAAGAGCCACACCCATTAGGTTACGATAATAACTAGTCAGAAAATCGCATCCGCCAGAACGATGATCGACTGTCGGGTGTTGAACGCAGGGGACCGATTTGCCGTACGGCGATAGGGCTGACCGCCCCCGGAAAGATCGACACCCGCGGTCTCACCACCAACAGATGCAAACGTGTACCTATACACAGAGGATATTCCAATTTGGCGAACAAGCCGCAAGACGTTTCCACCAAGATCATGCTCGAGTGCAGCGAAGGGGCGGCCGTTGACGAGATAGACCGTGATAGTTTTTTGTGAGAATAGTACGCCTAACTACCTACTACTTAGTACATCCCTATGTATTGCTACGTGCTCGTCTATCTCTACGATAATACGAGGTCTACTCTGCGCGGGATGAGGGACATTACCGCCAGTTGATATCCAGAAAGAAAAAGAGAAAACCCCACTCGGATGGAGAGAGACCCCACACCACGACGGACGACTGGACCTGTTGTCGCCATACCCGCTAGCCCTGGTCAGCTCCATGATGTGTGATTGGGGGGGTTGTATCTATTCGCGTGTGCATACCCGTGGTCGGTCATCAGAGGATAGGACTCGGCGAAAGGACGCCGAGGGTCTCTTGCAGGGTCACAGACCAGCCTAACCAATCCCTTATAACCTATCTTCACCTTTAATCGTATTAAGCGAAAGGCCCGCCTTATACCAAGCTTTATCCCGTGGTTTTTATGAAGGTTATATAGGAATTGCCCCTTGAATCCATTCACAACCATAGAATAGTGCATTCAATTGCATTCTTTAAGCAATGCAATAAACGGTGGCCCTAATAATGCAGCTACATAATGGTAATGGTGGTAGTGGTGGTGATGTTAATGTGTAATGATACAGTAACGGTAATACTGGCAGTAGTGATAACTCTAGTAACCACATAAAACTTGCCTTTACTTATTAATGGAGTAATGTCGTTTTAAAGGAGCTAGTAGAATCCGTAAGAAGCCGTGGCTCGCTTTCAGGTGAGTTACATCGCGGCCCTGAGGCCGTAGGGCGTTGGAGGAAAAAGACGTGCCGAACATAACAAGAGGCAGATCTCTCCCTCTCTCTATATATGCCCCCCTGATAACTTCATCTCTCTTGCCTACCTCTCGAGTTTCACCTCTATTGATAACGCGCAAGCCGTTATAGATCTAGGAGCAGGCCAATTCGTGCATCGTCATCCGCCATGGTCCTCGCGCCGCATCCCAACCCCGACGCCCCGGTGCTGTCGCACTTCAGCCTCGAGGGCAAGACCGCCCTCGTGACGGGAGGGTGCCGGGGCATCGGCCTCGAGGTGGCGCGGGGTCTCGCCGAGGCCGGGGCCAAGGTCGCCATAACGTACGCGAGCACGGGGGCGGCCGAGGCGGACGCCATCGCGGGCCAGATCTCGGCGGCGAACGGCGGCCGCGCCGTCAAGGCCTACCGGTGCAACGTGCGGTCGCGCGAGGAGGTCGAGGCCGTGGTCGAGGCGGCGGCGCGCGAGGTCGGCGGCGGTCGCCTCGACGTGCTCGTCGCCAACGCCGGCGTCGCCGCCAACGTCGCCGCCCTCGACTACCCCGAGGCCGAGTTCCGCGCCATGTTCGACGTCAACGTCAACGGCGCCTTCTGGGCCGCGCAGGCCGCCGCCCGCGTCTTCGCCCGCCAGGCCCAGGCCGCGGCCGCCACCGGCGGCCCGCCGCACCGCGCCTCCGTCATCTTCACCGCCTCCGTCTCCGCCTCCCTCGTCAACATCCCCCAGAAGCAGGCCGCCTACAACGCGAGCAAGGCCGCTCTCGTACACCTGGGAAAGTCGCTCGCCGTCGAGTGGGTCGACTTCGCGAGGGTTAATTCCGTGTCGCCGGTATGTGTAGCCTAAGCCGTAGTAAGGGGAAAGGGTGTCTTACTGACTTGACTTCGTGGTAGGGATTTATCGAAACCGAAAGTAAGTCTCTATGCTAGTTCAGGAGGCGCGTGTCTGAATGGTGACCTAGTGCTGGATGTCCATCCTCAAGAGTGGAGGAGCGCATGGAACTCGATGGTTCCAGGCCGCAGATTCTGCAAGCCAGCTGAGTTAAAAGGGGCGTATGTGTTCCTGGCCAGCGACGCCAGCAGTTACATGACTGGTATGCATTAGTGTACCCTACAGGATGTTCAGTGCTAATGAGTGGCTTCAGGGGCTGACCTGATTATCGATGGTGGTTATACTCTAACATAAAGACAGCGAACACGCACACACACTTGCACTTGCACTTAAACTACATGTCAGGTAGATCTTAACTTGGCAGTGAAAAAGAAATCCCATTGACTATCTAGAGTGCCTAAACTAAGGTGGGACATGTGAATCATCTCCATACATACGAAAACCGCCTAGATTCTCGTCATACATGATGATAATATCCACGCTTCATACATCTCAGGACCATACCAGGTCTAATAAGCCATCTAAGTCTTTGCGGCGATTCCCGTAACTATGGGGGCAGAAGGCTGCCCATGACAATGCTTCTCCCAAGCACCAGTGTTCACACACAAGTCCCCCCCACGTCCGAGCCCCAGTGCAAATCCCAACAAAGACACATAGACATCCCCTTTCTTCACGAGGGGTAAAGTAGTTTCCGTCATGTACTCTCCACCACCCCGTGGCAATACGATAAGTAATATTGTTGACCATTTTCCTCAGAAATCAGATGAGATAGATATTAGGGGGCAGATCCAGCACACAGGCTGATGCATAGGTTGGGTATTCGCTCCGGGCTCTCGTCCGGGGAGCACTAGGCGCAGGGGTCGACGCCCCAGTGGCAGTCGACGCGGCTCTAGAGCGCCTGCTCGTGGGGGGTGAACTCGAAGCCGGGGATGCGCTGGTTGCGGGAGGCCTGGAGGATGAATTTGAAGGCGTTGGAGGCCTGGCAGCGGTAGGAGGAGAAGCGGAACTCGACCTCGGCGATGTCGCCGCCGCCGCCGCCGCCGCCGCTGCTGCTGGTCACGCCCTCGAGCTCGTAGCGGAAGCTCCGCTTGAACAGGGCCTCGAGGCGGCCGCGCTCGACGATCTCGGGGGGGCCGCGGACGCGCAGGACGCGCGACAGCCCCGGCACCGCGTAGCTGACCGGCTGCGGCGCCACGCGGTGGTCGTTCATGTGCACCGACGGCGCGTACCCGCCTACGACGAGGTGGCCCGCCGCCGCCTCGCGGATCAGCGCCTCCGTCGCCGCCCGGTCCCACAGCACGAGCTTGGCCGCCGCCGTCGGGTACGCCGCCGTCGGCGCCCGGATGTTGCACGCGTACACCTTGCCGATGCCGCGGATGGAGCCCAGAAGGTCCGCGACGGTGCAGCTCGGCGGCAGGTTCGTGATGTGCAGCGAGCAGTTTCTGCTCGCCGAGACCCTGTCGCCGCGGTTCTCCGCGCTGGTCGGGTCGCCCATGTATCGGCGGCTCATGCCTCGCGGGAACCGGGGCGGCCTGCGCTCGGTGGCGTTATCTCCGAGTTGGGAGGAGGAGGAAGTGGAAGGCTCGAGGCTCTTGCTTCGCCACTCGGCTGCCAAGGGGTTGAAGGGCTTGTCTGAGGGCTTCGAGGAGGAGGAGGAGGAGGAGGAAGGCTTAGACAGGGAGTCGGTCGCACTGATGTCGAGATTCTGCCGGCTACGTAGCCCTGGTGGCTGGTATCGCGGGATAGTTGAGACTGGTGTGTTTTCCTCACGGTGTTCTTTGGCTTGTGTTTCGTCGTCGTCGTCGTCATTGGTGGCGGAGGCTGTTGTTAGACGGTTATCGATAGCGGGCTCATCATCCTGGCTGTTAAGTGTCTGAAGTGCCGTGTTGAGATGGGTAGGCTCACTGCGAGGTATGATTCTCTCTAGAAAGAATGATCGCTTACGATTTTCGGTGTTCGGGTAGGGTCTGGGCCGGGGGACAATCTTCTTGAGCCTTCCATCAGGCGACAGGATGTCAGAAAGGCCTGAAATAATTTGGAGGTACCTGTTATATGCCTACCGTTAGCGACTCAACTCTATGAACATGACTCGAAGGAATTGACGAGAGGGTATTAGTTACCTTTCGAACTCCTTTTCTCTAGAAGCTTCAGCAGATGTTTCCCCTTCCTCCTGAGGGCCCTTCCGAGTGAGAGCCATAGAGGGGAAGCTGTGAGGAATATCTCCGGACATCGTGGCGAGTATGGGTTGTAAGTGGGTTATCGAGCCACAGCTAATGTTGGGTACAGGTGGTGAGAAGGGAAAGGAGGCTTGGTGGAAATGATGAAGTATTAGGGAGAGAGATTATGGAGAGGAAAGAGAGGGGGCCGGGACATATTTATAGAGAACGGGCTGGCAAAAGTTATTCCTGTGTGCCTGAGAACTGGATAGACACCTCAGAACGAGGCCATTGTCGTAATATGTTCCCAGAGTAACCGAGTTGCCAACGCAGGCGGTGATCGTAACTTCACACGGGTCTGAGCTAGAATTTGCCACCGTCGTGCTCGATGAATCCTCGCAGCCAGCGGGTGGCAAAACTAGTATGAAATTCCTCCTACTGTTCGACCACACCTCAGCGATATACAAATTGCGGTGATTTAGTTGCCTTGGTCGCCTCGAAGAGTAATAGGCTCCGACTACCGCATGCCGTGACCTGCCTCCGTAGGGTGCATTGTAGGGAGCAATATGAGGGGCATGCCCTATAACTCGGCGGCTTCGACCACTCCTCGGACAATCAACTAGCTACGCTATGAAGTGTGAATTGTGTGCGTCGATATTGTGAATATATGATGAGTACCGGCGGGGTGCGGCCTACTGCAACTACGTTCATATTCAAGATAGTATTCAGTACCGTCTGGGGGATTTCGTGAGTTCGCGGACTTAGCATCCTGTCTCGGATAGCAGGGGTCCTCGACCATCGTCCCATGGTATGGGGCGAGCTTGGAACGATGCATCGGAGAGCGCGGGAAGTCGTTTGGAGACGAGCTCGATTTTCAATCGGAAAATAACGTAGACTGTTCCACGGCTTTGATGTCGCACAGAGTAAAAATACCCATTTCCTCCTCTGCCCAGCGTCTAACCTACTTTGATGGTCCCGCAAGACTCTGGTGTTGCCAGACGGAGACTTGATGGCTCTAACACCCTACGGCGACCTCAGGAACACAGTGTGATATGCACCCTATTAAAAACTGGTCCGCATACGTTGACAGTTGATACGTGAGTCAAAACATCAATTGGATACCAGTATTCAATATCTTGTCATATTCTACAGCGACTAAGGAGGTCAGTAGGCAAGCAGGTGGTGGGTGGGTTAGGGGCTTCTAGTGAGTGGATGGTAGGTAGGTAAGTTGGGTACCGGTCACCCACTACACCACCTAGAAACAGGCGTAGCTAACTAGGCTTCAAGGGAGCCTGCCTATTGACCTACTAGACTTCTGACCTACCAACCTACCAACCGACCGACCTACTGGCCTCCATGAGATGTTGGTTTCCCAATGATGGCATGAATTCAAGTTAAAAGATATTCACATCCTGCTGTGCCCCTAATGCCACAGAAATGAACACCAAATTAAAATCGACTACAATATTGGCGGCAAGACACTGTAAATGATGGCGTGGGAAGCGATGGGACGCCAAAGGTCAATATTACAGGAGACTTGCCTAGTCTGCACTTCCCGTACCTCTAGTTGTAGGGTTAAAATCTGTTGGATGCGCTGGATAATTAGTGTGATGATGCACGAGAGGGGGGAGTTCCTTGGCATACAGTGGTGGGTTTGGCGCTCAACAACGAGCACAGGCAAAGCCGACACGAGTCAATAATACCTACCTACCATGTAAGCTCCGTGCACGGCATCGCAGGGGAAGGGTAGGGTAGAGATAGACTAAACAATAGAGACTACCAAGTAGCGCTGTCAGGAATCGAACCTGTCCTCTATTATCTAACCCACTGAGCTGGTAGTAGGGTAGGGCTGACTGAAGTAAGACAGAGAATCGAGTACAGGCACCTAGGTAATAGGTAAATCATCCGTTCCAACCCCGCAGAGCATTGAAGGAGTTCCCCGCAGTTCGATTTCTTAATCCCTCCCGATGGCAGCGTTGCGTCCGCTCTCCTCGTAAACAGACTAAAAGTCATGATGAGTACCTACCTAGATACCTAGATAAGGCATGAACATAGGGCCTGTGAGGAAACGAGCCCTGTAAACGGGCTGGTTAATTGCTACTACTACTACTACTACTACTACTACTACTACTACTACGACTACTACTATCACGACAGGTATAATAGAGCGTTCACGCCGGACAAAGGAAATCATATGTCTCGATAGGTAGGGACATGCAAATGTGACTATCTAGCAACACTAGGCCGTGACCCGCTCGGGGACCTGCCCTGCCCCTAGCGTTGAGCATTTTGCTGTCTGATCTGCTCCCGCAGCCCGGATTCGTCGACGTAATCAATACTGTCCGCCAGGTGCCGGAAGCGCTCGCGCAGGCTTTTCTGATACCACCACCCCATGTAGGCTACCACCACCATAAACACTGCGGCGGCGATGCCGGCCGGAAACCACCAGGTTTGTGCCGCGTCAACCTGCTCCTTGGTCGCGTCGTCCACGAATAACTGTGCCTTGGGATGCGACCACCGCTGGGCCCAGTATCGGGTCTGCTTGTAGCTGTGAGCCTTTTTCCCACACGAAACGCCGAGGGGGAGGGAAGAGGGGGGATGCTTACCGGGATCGCGCAGAGACAATTAGTCAAAACGTTCAACAGCATCAATACTAAGCTCGGCGTCAGCAGCATGCTCAGTTTGGGGGGGGGGCATTGCGTACTTGTTCCGCCGATACTGCTCAGGGCGCCGAGGAGGACCCCGGGTATTACCAAGAACAGCCAGACGGCATTCATCAGAGGCGACCGCGCGATCGCCGCGAGCCAAGGTTTTGCATGTTTGCCCTTGTCTTCCTCCTCGAAACTCGTAATGTACCAACGCAGCAACCACAACATCTGGAGCCAGAGTTGCGATGCGCCGTAGCTCAAAATTATGAGTGAGCGGCATCCAAAGCCGGACTGCGGAGTAGTGAGGCTTCGGCGCGATTAGTGGCGGATTAGACTTACTAGGGAGTGGGACATTACCTGACAAGGGAACCAAAGAATACGGGTACGCCGTAGAGGAAGAGCGCGATAAGACCTGAGATTACCTACGGAGTCGCATAGCTACAACTGGGAAAAAACTCCACTTTTCGGTACGTATACCCTAGGGGTGTGGTAGGTAGGAAGGTGCAGGTTGGATATTCAATTACACGTAGGGAAGGAGCTACCCTCTAGTTAGGTCGGCTAATAAGTAAGCTAGACTACCCCTTCGCGAGCCGGGTATTTTATATAGGTTTATATATAAACGATTTATCTCCGTAAAAACCCGGGCAAAGATCGGAAAAATCGGAAATTTACTTACGTAATTAATTAGTTTAATTAAAGTAATATATAAATTTTTCGAATCTTCTACTTATTCATATAAGAAGTTATATACGATTTAAGGTTTTTTAAAATTATATTAATAATTTCCTATATAATTTATTAATAACCTTATTAACTATACTCATATTAATATATTTACCTATTTTTTTACGATAATAAAGTAGGTTTATTATCTAATACTTTATTTTATAAATAGAAAAATAACTAGTATTAAGTAATCTTATTTTTATTCTTTATTCCTGTTTTTATTTAATTTATTATTTTAAGAAAACTACGTTTTTAAATAGGTTAAGAGTTTCTAAAATCGTACCTATTTTTATAATAAGAATTTTACCTTTCTAACTATCTTATTTTTCTATATAAAGAGGTTCTAAAAAAGAATACTAAAAATCAACATTTTTAAGACTTAATTGATTTAATAAAAATCAGAAAAATAAAAAGAAAGAAGTTTACATAATCTTAATTATTATTTTATCTATAGTATAAAGGATTAAGTAATAAACCTACTTCATTACCGTAAAAGAAATAAGTTAAGAAGCCGATATAAAGTATAGTTAATAGATTAATTAATAAATTATATAGTAAATTATTGGTATAATTTTAAAAAACCTTAAATCGTAAATAATTTCTAATAATACTAAGCGAAAAGGTCGAAAGTTTATATATTAATTTAATTAAAGTAATTAATTACGTAAGTAAATTTCCGATTTTTTTGATTTTTTCCTAGTTTTTTACGGAGATAAATCGTTTATATATAAACCTATATAAAATACTCGGCTCGCGAAGGGGTAGCTCGTAAAGCGGTACTATAACTCTATTAGTACATATACCAGCTACTACGAATACAATATCAAGCTATCGGGGACTTGCAGCAAACATACATACCTCCTCCTATTGGGGGCGTATGTGTAGACGATAAAACTGGGGCGTTCGACCGAAAAGTGGAGTTTTTTCCCAGTTGTAGCTATGCGACTCCGTAATTACCAGGTCTTTCCCGAGCGTATCCTTCAGCACTTCCCGGTACATCTTTTCAAGGAACTCATTGCGCTTGGCAACCTTCCTGATAAACGTGCCCTTGTTCTCCCCCCTATTCCACATCCACGCCGACTTGAACTTCGATGTTTCGTAGGCCGATGCGAACACAGCATCGAGTAATTTTTGCAGAAGGTGCCGAAGCCACGTAGGGCGGTCTAGGCCCTCTTTGACAACGGCGGTTTCCCGGACCACTGCCGCTTTGGGCGTTGCCGCTCTGGGCGTTGCCGCTTCGGACTCTGTCGCTTCGGACGCAGTGGTTTCAGATGCAGCGGTTTGGGGCGTGGCGGATTCGAGCGTGGCGGCCTCGGGCGCGGCGGCTTCCCAGATGTTCGTATTGTTGGTCGCGAGGAGCAGACAACTGACGAGGGCAACGTGAGGGATCGTGGTCCAGAACATGCCATACGCGAGTTGGTGTGCCGTCAGACTATAGTCGAGAATTAGCAGTGCTGGTCTAGCAGTGGGTGGATCTTGATCCCGGATAACTCACTACGAGCCCAAATCTTCGCGCACTTCGTAGACTGACCAAATGAATGAGGCGATATAAAACACCACAGGAGCTCCCACGGAGCTACCGAAGCTGACCTGAGAGTCCAATATGGCCTTCAGCTTTTGTTTGAAGGCATCGATTTTCCGCTTTTCTTCTCTAGTGTATATGTGTCCGATGTTTGGGAGCGAGCCGCTGTCATCCGGGCCTTGGGGTGCGTGTGCAGCGGTTTCATTGGAGTTGTGCGCCGTCAAGCTGTTGTGCCGTTCCGTCTGAACTCTGGACAGGACGGTGTCGTTTGGTAGGCTATCTACTGAAGCCCTGCTTGACGTCAATGCATCGTCGTCCAAGTTACCGATCAGGACGACAAGCAGGACACATGCCCTCTCCAGTACCGTGAAGGAGTTGTCGTGAATTTTTTTTCGCAAATACCCTAGGACTCGTGCGTCGAGAAGCGCTTCGTAGACTCCGGAGGTCATCATGATACCGGCGGTCGAGAACACCACGCAAGTCCACACAACAATGTCGAGTGTGATGATAAACGACGCCAAGGGGAGTTTAAGTATGAAGCTGAGAAACGCCGTGAAGTTGAGATATTGGTTCGAGAACACCGTACTTGGAACCCTTAATCGCCGGCGTCGAGGGATGTTGAGGCAAAAGGCGACCGACGGGATTATAAACAAAATCATCGGTTTCAGCCATTCCTCTGGGGAGGTGAACTTGGTTAGCCCCCATCCCGGGCAACGGTCGTGGCACCAGGAGTAAGGGACCCAAAACTGTTGCCGAGGCGCCTCTAGATTCCCGTCGAATTGAGCGCCGCACGGGAATCTAGGGAACTCCTCCAAGCTCTCAATCGTGCCGGTGAAGAATGTCTGTCCGGGCCGAATGAAAAGAGTGCCGTTTTCGACAAAGACGGTTTCGTTGACTGCCAGCTTGCAACACATCCTCCAATCTAGGCCGCCGATATACGGGTTGGAGAGGACGGGGCTCTGCTTCAGGTTCGACAGCCCTTGTTCGTAGATGGGGGCTAGCACTGTCGAAGAGACGCGGGTCGGACTCTGGGTGCTGGCCAAAGATAGCCAGAGAGCGGCGAATTGAAACAAATAGAAGAGGACAAGATGCATCTTGCACGCCCCAGTAGCGGGGTTCTGTGCCTATCGCGCTGTTGTTTTGAAGAGGGGAGGGAGCTTGGGAGGCTTCCTGGCATCTTATCTAGTAAGACACTAATATGTTAGGGCGAGGCGCCGCGGAGGCAAGACGTCTCCAGTTGAGGAAAGGAGGAAAGAGGGAAAAGAAGGATAATCAGCGTGGAAATCGAAGAAATGATCCTTTTCGCGGGACCTTGAAACGGCTCAGATGTGCTGATATCCCGGTGCTTGTTTAGCAGGTTCGTAGTAATATATAAGTCGACGCAAGCCTCAATGACGCGCTTCTAATACTCCTCGTGTGATTCTTTTTTCTTTTTTCTTCTGGCTCCTCGCCTATTTCCTCACGATCGACTACGACCATCCAGCCCTCCCTGCCCATTCTGTTTCGTATTAGTACCGTGCACATTCAAAGGCCAATTGGAAAGCTTGCGGCAAATCTTTCACGTCCAGTGTGGCGTCGGATGAACGCCGACGTCATGATCTATGTGTACCTCGCGGTGACCCCAGTCTTCGTAGGCGATAGGCTTCGCGCCAGGGAAGGGGACTGCTAGATGTAATTACGATTTGTATTAGGGTGTTATGGCGTTAGCTGTGTCGTTCCCCCATCCCCCGAATGCGGACCAGCTTTGGGAAGACAGCGCACTGGGCCCTACACTGCCAGTCATCGTCACGCTGAGGAAGACTCGAAAGTCGCTGCAGAGAGGCAGGTCTATGTAGAGAACGTAGTGCTCGCTGTCTTGTACAGTCCACATGGTAATGTCCGACTGCTTTAGGTCGTGCTACCCAATTCATGCAATGCTGACAGATTCCGGACGATTGGTTCTGAGATCCTGCGTTCCCCTTTAGGAATTTTGTGAGACGGAATCGTTTTTCCTTCCGTCCCATAGAGACTCTTCGATCTTGCGAAACGCTCCCCAATGTTATAAAAATGAGATTAATCCGCCTTCCCTCTCCCGCCCGGCTTCCTTGGTTAAGTTAGAACCGCAACCTACCTTGAAGGTGACACTGCCACCCTTGGCAAACCTGTCGTGGTGGCACGCGATACGAGTGGCCGCGAGGATGGCGGTCTACGTAGTTCGGGTCCGTTATTTCCATCACCGCCACCGAGCCGAGTAGGGTGGCTCCGAAGGCCCTCTGGAGATCATCCAGGGTGTGCGACGTGCAGTTACACGATGGTGCCCGCCTTGTTCGTTGAGTCCTCTAAATTGGGTCTCGATTTGCCCCTTAGCAGCTTGTATTAACTTCTGCTCCTTGACATCAACCTGAACTGTCTCCGTCGGCTGATCGTATCTAAGTCAACGTCTTTTTGCTTCTCTCGACCGATCAACTGCCTGATAGAAGGTGAAAATTTAGGGATGCACGCACAACAGTCTTGTCAGATGCCGGAGGTGATCTTTAGAGCGACGTCCTCTTACTAGACAGAAAGAACTCCAAGACTAAGGAAATGATTATTAAGCGTAGATACCTTGTTGGTGATGCCGATAAAAGACATGCTGATAGAGTCAATATACCTATAGTCCATCACTACATCGTATGCCAGCATAGATCATTACCAGGGCCGTTAGGGAAATTAGAAACCCGGTAAAAATCACCAAGATGCGGGCCAGCCCACTCGAGTCCGTCAACCGCCTCACCATGTCGCCTCGGAGAACGGGTATAAGAAATTCAGCAGGCGTACTTAACGGCTACACATCGCGGAGCTAATGGTATAATATCATTCCGCAAGCACTCACCGTCACTACGAAACAAGGGCTACCATTACTTATTGCTAACCTCGTCGCATTACCACAGAATATCTCCGAGGCCGACCCCGACCGAGACGCCACGCAGGAGGGACAAGTGGCCAGCTAACCATCGGTGCAGAGCAGAAAGCAAGTAACCGCTCCCCATTGTCCACTGGACGATGCGGCAGAGGTGCTGGGCTGGCAGTTCCTTTGGGGCTGTGCCACGACGATTCCCTACCGACAGGTAACAATTCTAGACGATGCCATCTAGTTGAATACATGCCACCAATCGGCGCTACAGCTTCTGCTAGCAGAAGCTCGTATTCGGGCGATTCGCGCGTTAAGACTGGGCAGACATACTGACGGGAGCCACCCCCTATTTGCGATCGGTGAGCCGGCCGGAGTAATAGTGAAACGAGGCTCGTAGTTATTAGCCGTCTCATGTCTTCTCGCCGTACCTATGGTGAGAGGCCCCGTTGGTCGGCCTCCTCAGTGACCCCGCTGCGCCATCCGCCAGGCTTTCTATCTGATACTTGCCAAAAAGAGGCCGGCGTATTACATGTGTACACATAGAAGCAGAATACATCCCGGCGTAGATACATGGATGGAAGATAGGTACTAGAAGCAATACTCGGTATTTGCACCGCTGTAATTGCAACATGGAGGTTAATGTTACATGTGACCGATGGTAGGTATGAAACCCTAGGCAGATAATACGCATGAAAAAAGAGCGAAAACAAAAACAGCGCCAGATACATCCACGGATTTCATGTAGGTACTCGGGAAACATCTCATAACACGTCAAATCCATCAGTCCGTCCGAACGTCTTCCCTCCCGCGCGGCACGCTCCGCTCGGCGACGTTCACGATGACGTCGGTGCCCCTCATGGGGCCGTTCAAGCCGAAGGACGGGGTGACCGAGTTGAGCGGCGGGAAGGGAGGCACCTCGCCGCCGGGGGGCCTGGCGAGGGTGAGGCGGAAGCGGCGGAGGAGGACGGCGACGAAGCCGAAGACCTCGTGGCGCGCGAGGGTCTGGCCGGGGCAGAGCGTGGCGCCGCCGCCGAACGGCCGGAACGAAGCGCTGCGGGCCCACGCGCGGTTCCTGAGGAAGCGCGCGGCGTCGAAGCGCTCCACGTCGGCGCCCCACACCGTCTCGTCCCGGTGCAGCTGCCGGAACGGCAGCACGATGGTCGCGCCGGCGCGCAGCACCTTGCCGCTGACGACGGTCGCCCGCGACGCCACCCGCACCGCGGCCGCGGCGTTGTTGAGCCGCAGCACCTCGTTAAAGGCCGCGTCGAGGGCCGGGCAGCTCGCGCACAGCCTCTTGATGTCGAGCTGGTCGCCGCGCCACGCCGCCTCGGTCTCCCGCCGCACGCGTGCCAGGAGTGGCTCGTCGTAGAGCAGGTGGGCGAGCAGCCAGAAGCAGCTGTTGTGCTCGTTGGACACGGCGCTAGACCTCTACGTTTAGCTTGGACCGGCCTAGTGGTGGATATTCGGAACAGACGGCGCAGGAAGGGAGAGGGGATGGGTGGGTGAGGGGGCGCACGTACGCCCAGTATATCATCAGCACCATCGACGCCTTAGACTCGACGTCCATGCCGACGGTCTCCATGCCGGCGAGTACGCTGGCGATGGCCCAGGAGGTTTCGCCGCGCCTCTCCGGCGGCAGCTGGACGAACCCCCTCATGACAGCCATGAGCTTGCGCCGCGGCCCGTCGACCGGGAGGCCGAAGACGTTGGGGTAGCGGAACACGACCATCCAGACGTGCTCGTTGAAGGACAGCATGTGGTCCACGACCGACGGGTCGAGTTCGTGGAGGTGCGGCCCGAACATGGCCCGCGTGGTGGCCTGCACGTTGAAGTGCGAGACCAGCGAGTACAGGGAGATGTCCCGCGGCGTGCAGTCGCTGCACCAGACACAGCTGTCGAACTTCGTCGTGCAGAACCTGAGGTCGTCGACGCCGCGCAGCGACGTTTGCACCGAGTCCAGAAATGTGCGGCACCACTTGTCCATGCGTTCTCCCGGTAGCAGCTGTTGCTTGTAGATATCCTCGACGCAGTGGATCAGGCACTTCTGCTTCGGGTTGATGGGGTTATTCGGGACGTAGCACCAGTCGCCGGGTTTCGGCTCGTGCCAAGAGCGCCTGAGGCCCTCGCTCGAGATTCCAAAGCTGGTGAGAAGGTTGGTTAAATGTACGTCAAAGTTGAAGGCTACCGTGTTGTCAAATATGGCCGAAACATCGGCCGGAGAGGTGCAGATGTAGAGCTTCTTGCCGAGCAGCTGTATCGCGAAGGGCTCTCGCGTGCGGCCGGTGGCATTCCTAGGCTCCGTGTTAGCCCTACAAACTCATTGGAAGAACTCGGTGAGATGTAATACAAGCCGTCCTCGATAAGCTTTACATAGTTCCCGAAGAAACTGAATGTGTGCCCTGTGGTTTTCGGTTAGGTATCGGTCTGTTCCTCACGACGACGCTGTCTACCGTACCTATAACTATTAGTCTATTAGCAGGTTGAAACTCTTTTTGTTCGCCTTCACAGCCACTAACACGGTATCCAGTAGGGCATTTCTTTCGGCTCCGAAGGCCATAGCTTGGGTTTCAGACTGAATACCCATAGACGCCACAAGAGAAGAAGGCTTGTCAAGATAAGAGTACCAGTCGCACTACGCCACCATTCTTGCAAGAGTTCTCCCAGCATTTTGATCTTGGGTCGTTAGCAAAGTTGCACGCAGAATATCAGCACCGTAACTGTGAAATCTAGAAGATGGGTTGCGGGTGAACCAAGGACTTTGCCGTCACTAATGTATGCTCTAACCTACCTCCTACAAATCATTACGTACGGCATTATACTCGCCGCCAGTTCATATTTGAACACCTCGCCACACACTTCCCGATGATCAAGAGGCAGAGGAACACTGGAACAGACACCAGGCGCAGTCGTGCCACTGTCTACATCACATCAGGGCTGAGTGATGAGCCAACACCATGAGTCGTACCAATCTAATACATCTAGCATCGTGGTTGGGATCCAACAATTCGCCCAATAGTACTCTCTGAGTTAGCTATCTACACATCTCCTATATTAGACCTAAGTTGTAAGAGGCGTAGTTAGTTAACCGATATATGCACGATGCAGACCTAGAGGCGGGGGAAGGTAATCTGTTAATGCACGACATGATAACCTACCAAAAAGCGGAATGCGTTGGTTGAAGGATGGTGGCCACTGGGTTGGGGGCGTAAGCTATTTATGTAGACATCCCTACGGATCGAGCCGAGCGATAACCGCAGGCGAGGACAGATGGTTGGGTCAGGCCGCATTTCACATCCTTCCTGTGCGTGACATTAATATTCTGAAGTTACAATGCAGATGTAGGTCAAGACCAGTCGTAACACCAGAGAATTCTCACATGAGAGCGTACTGGCCTATCATGAGCATATTCTAGGTCTTACTGTGACTGCGCTCGTCCGACTGTCTTCTTGCTCCAACGGCCGAGAAGGTTTCCTCGCTCAATAAGTGTCAGCCAGAGTGAGTTGGGACGGAACAGGAAGGCATGGACATATCAGGATTTCCTTATGGCCCTATCGCGACACGATTCCCATACACCCATATTAGGTGTCACAACCGCGGCTAATAACGTGTATTGAGTATCGGACAGGTAATGTACGTTTAGAGATAAGTCCCTTGCATATTATACGCCTTTCCCTTACTAGCAGCTATCCGGGGCGCTTTTCGGTTTTTTTTTTTTTGCTAACACAGCGACGGTGTTGAAAAGACCCTAAACGTCCAACGAAAGTTAAGCTCGTATGTTCGCTTCGAAAGTATTATTTCGTCGATTTCTTGAAGGTGTTCTCCTTTCGGAAAGCTTCACCCGCTCTACTGTCTCCAGCCCGAATTCACGTTCGCGAATATGGCGGAAGTTATCCCAGGTCAACCCGTGCCCGGAGTGACTCCGCTAGGTGTTCCTTATCATAGCTTCCTGGTAAGTAATGACTGTTGAGCGTACCATGTATACTGGTTATATGGCTTGATACTAACTTCTTACCTTCGTAGGGAGCCATATGGGGTGGAGTCGCTATGTCCGGGTTAGCGCTCGCATGCCGGCTTTACTCGCGGTTTAAGGGACCACGCAGACTGTTCTGGGACGACGCATTCGCCATCGCTGCGTTTGTCCTAGTCTTGATCACGGGCGCACTGTGGCAGTGGGAAGCCAGGGAGATGTACTACGTGATCGATGTGCAAGCTGGGCTCGCGAACTTCGAGCCGGACTTTTTCGATCGTTTGAAACGTTGGCTCGTTGTTTCCCTGGTTGTCGAGCTCTTCTTCTACACCGCCCTGATCCTGATCAAATTTGCGTTCTTATTCTTCTTTTGGAGGCTCGGCAGCGATATCAACTATTTCAGACACGTCTGGTGGCCAGTGGCCTTCCTGTCTTTAGCGAGTTATCTTGGTTCCGTTGGAGATGTTAACTACAAATGTCTCCTTGGGCCTGAAGAGACGATCATGGGGCAATGTACCACCTTGGAGGAAATCGACTGGACCGACATGACTCTCAAAGTCAACTGCGCCTTGGACGTTCTTACGGACTTTTTGAGTACTGACTACAAATCCCTCCTCTAGTCCCACAGTGCAACTCTAACTCTACCGCCACAGTTATGCTTCTTCCTGCCATCCTCCTCTGGAATGTCCGGATTCGATGGACGAAAAAGCTCGCGATATTGTGTCTCTTCTCACTCTCCATTGTGACAATAACCATTGCTATAGTACGGGTAGCAAGCATTGGCTTGACAAAGAGACCGGATGGCAACGACGATGTCTCCTATTTGTGGCTGTGGAGCGCCATAGAACCACCAGTTGGTATGTTATTGAAGAGTGTCAAGCCTTAGCTCCTTTTCCTCACCTCTCCCTCCCATCGCGACCCCACCATTTCGTTATTTGAAGGCGTCTGAGCACTTTCTTACGTATCATACCTTCTTAAAATAGCTATCATCGTCTCTTGCTTTTCCGCGTTCCCACAACTCTTCGCGCAGTCGACCCGCAATATGAAGCCGGCCTTCACGCCTTCGGAGACATACCTGAGAATGATGTCGCGTATCCGCTCGGGGAAGAAACACCAGGCCGACCAATGGATAGACCTTACTGCTGTCTCCCAATCCGTCGACTTCAACCAATCTCGCCTAGGCCCCTCGTCTGCTGAAACTTCTGTCCAGCAGAGCGTTGATAGCTGGCAGCCAATTCTTGTCCCGAATGAATCAAGGCTCATTGCTCACGCATACACGGGGCCGCATCAGAACGCTGTTAGGAACCCCGAAGGCCAGATTGAGCACCAGGTTGAGTTTGTCGTAACGACACAGAAAGGTTAATTCCCATACGGATTCTAGGGTAGATTGCACAATATTATATTATGTGAGAGTAGCGGGACTTTGAGGAACAGTAGATTCATGTACTGGGTATTTGTCAATAAATCACCCAGCAATTTGGAGCTATATTAGCACCACGGCACAGTAGATCGAGGGGAACCCCCCTAAGCTCTGAGTGCGCAAGAGTAGTCTCAATTGTAAACGTGGCCACTTAGTAACTGCATTCTCTCTGTTTGGCAGTGTCGGGTAATGCGGAGTGATTGCATTTGAGTAAGTTGATCTCAAGCAAGTGTATGGGCATTGCTGTCCTGGGGAGTTGCCTCTGCCCTCACTTCGGCAACCGCTTATGTTTGAGAAGCACTTCTCTAATTTGCGACGCTATCCTTGCTGTCGCGTAAAACGTAGACGCCCACATTTACGCTTTGCGGTATGCAGGCATATAAGGGCTGATTCAATTGCCACGTGACACTTGCATACCTCTTCGATATTGGCAAGGGGTGGAAGGCTGATCGGGACCATGATAACCTTGGCGTATTGCAGTAACTCGATGATTCAACGGCGCCCTATAGGTGAGAATAAATACACGTATACGTGTAGTATTGGTTTTGATTTTTTAAGTGTTCGGTTGGTTAATATGGGAACATCGTCTTCACTTCGTGATGGCGTGAAGGATAATAATATAAGCCATCAAGGGGAACAAGGAGGCAAGTAAAAGCGTGACATTATTATGCCTAGAGGTTATTAGAGTAATACTTTTCATAGTAGATTCCTCAATAACACATCTTAGTTTGTCGAGGATCTGCCTGGTAGTTGATAGATTCAACCTATCGTCTGCTCCAAGTCAAGGGCGCTCGCTCAGGATGAAGCATTTGGAGGAGCAAGACGGTGCCTGAGTCATTCTTGATGAGGTTCATTACCCTCTTCCGAGCAGAAGCTATGCTCTCCCCTTCGTTCAGGACGGGGCTTACGCGCCAGTCGCGAAATAGCACCGCCAGAGTCGCGACGAACTCGACCTGGGAGAACTTCCTGCCCGGGCAGTCGCGCGTGCCCTCAGACCAGCCGATGAATGCGCCCCGTGTGTGCAGATCCATCTCCTCGTCACCCGCTCGCCCGGCCTTAATCCACCGCGAGGGCCGCCACACGAGAGAATCCGTTCCCCAGTACCTCGGGTCCGTCTGCACAGAGCCATAGCTCGGAGAGATCATGCACTGCGGTGGGATAACAATAGTCCTGTCGCCCACTGTTAGCGGCTGCGCATGGTCGCCAGTCCACTTAATCACGGGCACGGGGGTGTAGAGCCGCATTGTCTCGAACAGGACAGCTAGGCAACGCTTGAGACGTGGGAAATCGGCGCGGTAATCCCACTCGTTCGGCTGACGATCTCCGGCAACAGCCCGAATCTCTTCAGACAGCCAGTCTTGAACGTCGGGATGCGCTGCGATAAAGTACATAGTAAAGGTAAATGTGTTGGCAGTGGTGTCGTGGCCGGCGAAATTGAAGGCGAACATGTTGCCATATATTTCGCTCTCTGTGAGGCCACCCGAAGTCTTTGCTTCGTCCTGGGACGCGCGGATGAGCAACGTCATCAGGTTGTGGTCGGACGTCTTTCCTTCGGCACTGCGACATGTTGAGTCAATTTACTTGTGCTACCGGGAACATACCATTCTCACTGTATCAAAGGGTGTAGAAGAATATCGGGAGGAGGAGAGAAGGGGGGGGAGGTGATGATACTCACAAGTTGCGCTTCTCCTCTTCGTATAAATTTGTCATGTACGCGTGAAATGCGACCCATGCTTCGTGCACGATCCGGAAATTGCGCGGAAGCCAGGGGTTCGCAATAAACTTGGTACCAAACGCGAGGATAAGGATGCAGTTCTCCAGGATGATTTGCAGAGACACCTTATAATTGCTGGCTGGGTTGGCGGATGCGTCTCTCTCGTCGTGGCCGACAAACTTGAAGGACTTGCCGAAGCCAGCACGCGAGAGTACGTGGAGGGATAGAGTACGTAGGTCTGCCGCAGCTGATGCAAGGGAGGTCTTGGATGTCCAGTAGCGGAGCATATCGCCGGCCAGGGTGATGCTCTCAACCCAGACAATCTCATTGTTTTGCTCGTTAAAACATCGTGTCGCGACTCTCCGCTGCGTTTTCCATTGGTGGCCCTCTGCCTGCAATAAGGGAACGCCCTAGTTAGTTTCAACGGCAGTCAAGAAAACTCCCGCTAGGGAGAACAAGAATGTCTTACCGTAGCAATGTTGGGCCCGAAGATATTGAGGACCTCTGCGAGTGTTTTAGCGTATGGTTCCTCGTCCAGGACAAATGTACCACTCGTGGAGCTGTTGGGGGGGGGGGTTCACGAACCCGAGACAAAGACCGGCCGAGGGAAGTCTGTTCCCCTTCGGAAAACAGACATCAAAGCCTCCGGGTCATTGACGTATACCCAGTTTTTCAAAGGCGTCACCAGGACCCAGATGTCGCCCATTTCATAGTGTGATCGGTACCTATCACTGATCTCCCATCCCCGCCAGTTGTACCGGGTGAAACTGTTGTCGCCGAACGGCAGACGGCGAAGGACCGACAAGACCTTCCTATCCAGGAGAACCCAGAATGGGTTGAGGGGACTGATGGGAATCATGCGGATAGGTACGCCGATCGTGCGAACTGACGCGTAATTCCGCGCAAGGCGGATGCCCGTGTCGACAACCCACGCCGCTGCCAGTAGCAGAGGGGCGGCCAGTAGCATTGCATACCAAGCCATCGTTCAAAGGATTAAGCAACAGATGCGCTAGTCTCTGGGAACGCCAAACGCATCCAAAGAGACGATTGGTTTTGTGCCGCTAGAGGGTGTGAAGGAAAAATCCTGCCGTCGGAGATCGAGGATGAAGAAGTGTGTAGGCTAGAAAGGAAGGGGGCGAAAAAGAAGGCGAGGAAGAATTATCGCAGGCAAGAAGTGAAAATAGAGGATTGCAGTGTCTCATGAAGAGGACACAGCATGCGATGCAACCAAATTCAGACCTAACAGGTCAGCATTGATCCGGGCTCACCGTCTCGTACTGCTGCGGATAGTTAAGCAGGTAAGTACGCAATGCGCAGGCCATGTTGCCATGTTGGTGGAAGGGTGTGCATACAATATTAATTTGCACGGCCTGTCGTATTCGCCGCCCTTCTCCTGGGATAAAAGTGGGAGATAGACTTATCACAAGTGTAACCACTCTCACGCAGAACGGCGGCACGAATAGGACGAGACGCGCCCATAATACAGGTTGGTATTGGGCGCGGCCGTGCCGCGACGTCTTCGCGCAGGCGAGGGTAGCTAATAGGACGTCGGCGAGCTCTCCGACGTGATCATCACGAGGTTCGAAGAGACCATCCCCAAGCTTAGGACTGTCGACAACCTCTTTAGATATGATTACGATGGGGGTGGGCGTACCAGTAAAGGCGACGAGAGATGGCGATGGGTGAATGGCAGATATCGACCCGCCCCTGTTGGCTCTGCAAGCGGCACCAGACTCCATCTCACCCCCCTGCAAGGTCCTCCGAGGGCTAATATATAATATGTGTTGGTACTTTTTGTTATTGTTGTCGTGGCACAGCTCGGAAAGAAAACCAAGTCCCGGGATGTTCTGTCATGAGAGGGAGATGCAAGTAACGGTTGATCCAAAGTCTCAATACTTACATGTGTACTGTATATGCATGTACACGTCTGTAGTCTGTGGTGAGTCCAAGTTACCAAGTTGAGGCACACCACTCACTCACCTCAAGCGCCATTCCGCGGCGTGTTGGTCGATGATATATAGCATCATATAATTAAGAGAGCCGCTAAGCAGTCGAAAGCCTACCGTGAGCTGTTTTCAATGAAGACACAATTTCAGTCTTTCGTCGTTGCTCCATTTTTACCGGAAGTTGTGCCATCTTCAAGAATGAGTAATACTCAACACTTTCTCTCCTCTTGTGTGGACCATTCGCACGTCCACTGCGAATCGCACAATTTGGCCATCGCCAGCTATGTATTGACTCTAATAGAAGTAAGCAGACGATACCTCCTCCATCGCTTCCACTCCGTTTTAGTATTGGAGTAAAAGTTGACGTCCCCAGAACCTGGAAGTCAAGCTCCCGACGTTCCCACATCCAACCACTTTGCAGGATAAATCGACAACATGGGCGGTTATTGCGGTTGTAATGCCTCTCTTATGCTTCGCATTTACCTACCTTGTGTCCACTGTCAGATTTCGAAGATCCCTGAGAAGGGGTGATAGGAACAGCCCACCTAGCGCCCCGGTTGTCCCTTACTGGATCCCCGGACTCTTCCATGGCCTGTCAATGCTGGACCCCTCGGCATTCCTCTTGAGACTGAAGTAAGGTGCTTACCTACTTGGCAATATCCCAAGAAATCCCATGTCGATGATGTATATTGCTGACAACGGCGATCTGTGGCAGGAATGATTTCGGGTCTGAGAAGCCTCTGTTGGTCAAAGCGGGCCCCCTACGATTCTATGTCTTCGCCGACTCTGAGCAAGTTAAGACGGTGTTTAGAAACTCGAAACGGATGACGAACAAATCCTCAACGCTCTTCGCGCTGCACTATCTGCTCGGTCTTCCTAGAAGCGCCGTTAACTTTTACCAGGCCGACGACTCTGGCATGAGTTTAACCCCTCGACCAGGAAGCAAAACGCGCCCCGAAAATAGGATCAATTTCTTGATCGCCCATAATGCGAAGGTCTACATGTCGTCCAGTCACCTCCAGACTCTTGATGAGCTGTATGTGGCTATACTGCTTCGCCGTCTTGATGCTTTGGACGTCGGGGACGAATGGGTTGCATTTCCCGACCTCCACGTATTCCTCCAGCGCATCGCTATGCACTCCTCCATCGAGGCGCTGGCCGGCTCCAAGGTCCTCGAACTCTGCCCTCAGCTCGTCGAGGACATTCTAGTTTTCCAGTCGTATGTTCCCGATTTTCTTCACCTCCGCCCGCGTTGGTTGGTCCCCGAAGCGTACCGAGTGCGGAAGCGGATCCTCGACGGCTTCAAAAAGTGGGAGGAGCACGCCCTTAAGCATTCAGATTGCTCCCAAGTCGGCCCCGAGGATGCAGAATGGGAACCCTACTGGGGTACCAAACTCGTTAGGGTGAGGCAACAGTATACGCGCAACGCGAAGGGAATGAACGCCGATGCTCGAGCTACGGAAAACCTGGGTTTTATATTCACGTAAGTGACTCCGACGCGAACGTTCCTCTTCCTCTTCTGACATTGGCTCCAGGTCAACTACAAACATTACCACTTCCATTTTCTGGTTCATACTGGAAGCACTGAAGGACCCGCGACTTTTCGAACAGCTCACGGGCGAAGTCGCTCAGTGTCGCGCTGGTGACGGAAATAGGTTCAACCTGAGCAAATTAGTCACGCAACCCTTGCTCCAGTCAACATATGCCGAGGTCCTGCGTCTCTACGTCGCAACCGCGATCAGCCGCGTTGCCGAGTACGAAGACATCCACGTCGCAGGCTACGCGATCCCTAAGGACAGCATGATAATCATGTATAGCCGGACGATGGCCCTCGACTCTGAGGCATGGATCCGAGCCGGCAGGCGCTTGAGAAAACCGCTCGAGGAATTCGACGCCGAGCGATTTCTCGTCAGTCCTGACTGGATGCGGCCTAGAGCGAACGGCACATCCGGCGAGAAAGAGACAACACCGGAAACGGGAAAGACAGCCTCGTCGTCTGAGCGCCGGTTCTCGACAGAGGGCCTGCTCGGGCTGTGGATCCCGTACGGAGGGGGGGACCACATTTGCCCCGGGCGCCAATTTGCGAAACATCAAATGCTGCTCACTTTCGCGATGTTGTTTGATAAGTTCGAGATCGAGTTAGCTCTTCCCGACCCAGGCAGGGTGCAACCGAATATGCGATACGCGCCATTTGGCGCTCTTCCTCCGGCCCATGACACCCCCTTTCGGATCAGAAAGCGGCGGGTCAGTGAGAGAAACGCCAAGACAAAGAAAAGGGGGTGATATGAAAAGAACAGTTATTGCAATTCTGGGTAGTATTCTTAACGCGGGGCGTCCCGCTCTGTGGTGCGTAGCACATCGTAGGTATCACATACAGCCCCCAATGTGCCCTCCGCGATTCTTCTTCCTCTTTTCGGCCCGGCAGCGTGGTATCGAGGTAACATCTGCATATGCATGTTGGAAGCAGGAACCTAAGCCGGGTGGTAGCCTTGTACGCGCATGGCTCGTGGAACATAGGAACCGTAAGGGTGAGAATATTAGCAACACACGCAATCTCGCAGGCATAATGGATGGGTGCCAGTTTTGAATGATCCGTAATCATCCCATCGTTTGTTGCGGCGGCGCTGACTGGCTCGCCTCTAACTGTCCGTCACCGTAAGTCCAACGCGGTTATCTTTCACTACTACTATCCCACCGTCCTATAGAAGGAACAGCTCAAAATGAGAATTTACACCGGCTCGGGTGGAGCTTGGCATCCGGAAATTGGCCTGATATTGGCAAAGAGTGATCGGTTACCTAGGGTTGACAGGTTGGTTCGTGTCGCACTTTTGGTTACGCCGATGTCATGTTGTCAGTTCCACCGAATCTCTCATATACGAGAATATCTAGCCTCGATTGACCGGCTAGTGGGCTGCTGTGGTGCAAATTTTGCCAATGCCATCGCTTTCTTCTCTTCAACCCTACCTGTAACAGTTTCCACCCATCTTCCCTTCGGTGTCAAGCACGGTTAGAACAGACAGACCGGTTTTGGGTTATGATCGTGGCTTAAGTGAAATCCATCCTAGCCTGGGACTTCTTTCATACACATTTCCGCAATGGCTGACAAGAACGAGACCAAGCCTCCGACTGCGGCCCCCATCACCGTCACGGCCGTGGAAGAGGGTGACAACCACCTGAGTTCCTGGCGCCTGACTATAGTTATCGGTAGCCTGTGTCTCGGTATCTTCCTTTTCGGGCTCGATGTCAACATCATCGGCGTCGCCATCCCGCCCATCACGACCGAATTCCGTTCACTTCCCGACGTCGCCTGGTACGGCTCCGCCTACCTCCTAACCCTCACTGCCTTCCAGCCTTTCTTCGGTAACCTCTACAAGTTTTTCAACGCCAAGGTCGTTTACCTGTCCTCGCTCGTCATCTTCGAAGGTACGTCTTATTGGGCCTATTCAAGACTCTCGCCTTACTTTCCACGCTACCATTGTCGGACATGACGACGCGGCGTATGAAGAAGCTGACGATTATGATAAAGCTGGGTCTGCAATATGCGCGGCAGCGCAGAGTTCTGCCGTCCTCATCTTTGGACGCGCATTCCTTGGTCTCGGGGCCGCTGGGCTGCTCCAGGGAGCCCTCGCCATCATCGGATATGCCGTGACCGTGGACCGTGTGCCTCTATTCCAAAGCATCGTGGTCAGCTCGCTGGTCATAAGCGTAACCTTCGGACCAGTGATAGGTGGTGCTCTCACGGAGTATGTGAATTGGCGTACGTAATATCTTCTTCTTTGTACCGCAAGTTTACCCTCTCCCTCGCCCCTATTACTTCAGACGTAGCGGCGCGTCCACTAAAAAGCTAATGACAGTGTACAGACTGGTGCTTCTGGATGTAAGCACTTCTGAACAGCTCGCCCCTATTTCGTGATATAATGCTGTGGGGTTCCTAACTCTCTCGCCAGCAATGTGCCAGCCGGCGCTGTGGTGATGATTATCGTCTTCTTCTTTGTGCCCGTTGCGAAGTCCGCGAACAGTGCCAATCAAAGCCTGCCCATACGGGAGAAACTCCGTCGTATGGATACTCCTGGTCTCATCCTATTTTTGGGTGGAATAACTTCGCTCCTGCTTGCATTAACTTGGGGTGGTCAGACGTACCCCTGGCGTGATAGCAGAATTATCGGCCTGTTCGTTGGATTCGGGCTTATCACTATACTTTTCTGCTACTGGCTTGTACGACAGGGAGATCTAGCCCTGATTCCCTTGAGAGTCCTAAAGAAACGCTCGATATATATGGGATCTATTACTCTAACTGGCTTTGGTACACTCAACGTGGTTGTGAGTAACCATCAACTTGCAGTTTTAGGGAGTTACTGGCGGCTAACCTCGGCGAGCTACCGTCTAGTATGGATACTATCTCCCCATACTCTTTCAATCCGCACAAGGGGTGTCTACCACCGAAAGTGGACTACGATATATCGCCCTCGTTGGTCCGCAGATCGTTGCTTTGATCATTGTTGGATCCCTCGTGTCGAAGTGGGGCTATTATGCTGGTAGCCTTCCCGCAATTCTCGTTGCTCGTTAGCTAACTGGGGCTGTCTTCAGGTTCCTTACATGATAGCTGGTAGCATCATATGTAGCATCGGTGCCGGTCTTCTAACCACTGTCAACCTCTCCACGTCGACGCCGAAATGGGCCGCATACCTAGTCCTTACGGGACTGGGTCTTGGCATGGGCGGACAGCTTCCCTATACGGCGCTACAGGCCGTTTTAGAGTACGTCGGATCGAGCACCGTCATGAGATTATCTCAAAGGCTAACCTATCACAGTCCCGAAGATGTAGCAACGGGGAATGGTATGTGATGGAATCGTCCTAGATACATTGCCGCTAACGTGTGCATAGCAATCGCCGTTTTCTCCTTTCATCTTGCTGGGTACGTATAATACAAAGCCTATCCTACCTTTTCTCTACCAACTTGAATGTTTTAAGCTAATTCCATAATACAGCTCGGTTGGCACCGCGATCGGCCAGAGCCTTCTGATAGACGGTCTTTACTCCGCAGTTCCAAAGTATACACAGGTCGTTTCTGCGTCCGACGTTGTCCAAATCGGTGCGACAGGTTTGGCTTTGGTTGCAACCTCTCCTGAAGTCCTGCATGCTCTACGATCGGCTTATGTCGAGGCGGTCCGACGGACAATCATCCTGGGCCTGGCTGGCACACTGCTAGCAGTTCCATCATCCTGTGCCATGGAGTGGGTGAATATAAAGCGTGTGGCAGAAGAAAGGGATCGCAACCGAAGATTGGAAAATGGCTCTACGGAAATCTCAGCTTCAAACGTTTCGGAAACAAAATCTAGCCACTGAACAGATGCAGTTAATATTTTGGTACGGCCACGGCACTTAATTCATTCCTTGTCCCCCTTCCCGTGATCTATTAATCGAAGTTAGTGTCGTTTAAGTAGTAGAGATTCTCTGTTGGAAAAATCTATTATAACACACTGTGAAATATTAACCCATTAAATATATACAATCTAGGTATTTAAGCTCCCACGAGTTCAATAGAAGAGACCGCTGATACCTTTCAGGCAACTACCTACAACATTGACCGCGGTGCAGCTTATCGGCGTTAATTCAGAGCGGCAACCTTGACAGAGTATCGAGGTTTAGGGGACCACCAGACTAATGTTATATGGAGGGTTTTCAGAGAGACCGTCTCCGAGTTTAACATGAATTTTCAGTGGCAATACCATATCCACATATAGTATGCTCTTCATCTCGGTTCCACACTCACATTTACGTAAAACATAATATGAATAAATCTTCATACGTATATGAGAAACGACATCCTTCCACCAGATTCATGCACGTCAAATCTCTATTCTAACCACCTTAGCCTGCTTTGAGTTTGGTGGATAGGCTTCTTGGTATCGTAATGCTCTTTAAATGACTATTTCCTCCCCAGTGATCTACTCGGCCCTCTGAAGCTCAAGAGAATTCTACGTAGAACAACTCTTATCTAACGGGCCTCTGGAAAAGAATTGTGTCAATAACGCCGCAACACTGGTATTAGTCACCCCGTCGGCGAATTTCAGCCAATGCTGGTTCGAAACACTTGAGTCATTGACCCAAGAATTCGTACCGTCGGCCGCGACATCGTTGTATCCAAACTCGTTAGCATACGCAAATAGCTTTCCGATCCCCAGTTTGTCATGAGAACCCTCGACCCCAAGTATTCCGTATAACATCGTGATCGGATCCCAAGATTCGCGAGTGGTGCTGCACCGGCCAACGTACCACTGATACGCTGCGAGCACGGGGGAGTCTGGTGGTGCGCTGTGCGCGAGCCCCTCCCCTGAGAAGACGTCTGCACCGAGCTCAAACCCGGAATATGTGACGGGTACGTCACGCGGCCAACCGTTTGCGACGCGGCGCGCCGACGCAGGATCGTGGCCAGCAAAGTTGAACTCCCAGCCCGAGGGGTAACGCCCGCCCATGACTACGAGTTCCTTCACCTTGGCAGATACGAGAGCCGATCCGTCGAGGGATGACCCACCGACATGGCTACTTTCATCGCCGGGGCTGTCCAGTAGTGCGGCGAGGTTGGTCAGAAAGCCGAGGGAGATCAGCGTTACGCTTCGGTCTTCGGCGGCGGATAGAATAGAGCGATACAGCTCCACAGGGGTTGGTGTCGCAGAGCAATCTTCCAGCGAGCGCGGCCAGTTACTAGCTACCCTCCCCGCGTACTCGCCTAGGCTATATACAAAGCAGCGCCGTTAGACGAGACGCAACAATTGGCGGCAGGTAACGAGAACGGGTGGTTACTGGCTCACACGAAGCTGTAAGTATCGAAGAACGTTTCGTCGGTCAGCGGGCGCAGAGCTCCAATGGGAATGTGACCGTTTCCAAAGTACGTATTGACAACGCTAGTAGCTAAAGCACCGTACTTCGAATTGGTGTTGACGACCACTCCGCGCAGGTCTGCCAGGCCGTAGTTGTGCAGTACGTTAGCGACAGCTAAGGAGCCGACATCGTCAACGTCGGAGAAGATGTCGGTATCGACGATTATTGGCTTCCTCCGGCTGCGCGATGTTGACGCCACGCTGGAGCACGGAATGAAGGACGATAGTAGAAGAGCAAGTCTCGCGAAGTGCATAGTAAAATAAGGGATGATCTTCGATTCAGTAGGGACCACACGTAGTTCTTGTTGCGCACGCGGGAGAAGAGGAGGGGAAGATGGCGGGGTGGACATAGGAAGGAATTTAATACTTGAGCGAGATAGATACCTTGCGAGATAACCGAAATGCGGACCCAATTTCTACTACTACGTAGATATGTCTAGGGAGGAGATCCTTCTCATCTCCCAGTATGGGATTCCGACCCGAGATCATTATGACGGGTACCTATCAGATTGTCAACGAAGTGATCTATGGGTGAATCGACTTCCCCAGGCCGATCCCCTAACGAAAAGTAGGATGACATTGATATCGAATTCGTTACTTCATATATGCCTATGCGATAAAACCATGCTAGAAAGGGGGATATGATGAGGTGGTGTAACTATCCGAAGAAGCCGGCCTATCGGGGATATTCGAGGGACTCCCTTTATCTCCCCCCCCCCTCTCTCGACTTGTCGCGCCCTGCGTCATGAACTCTTCTTACCGCTATTGTAACTCTTATTAGATTCCACCTAGCGAGGCGGACCATAGAATCAATCCCAATCATATACATATAAGCAACGCCACGCTTCTTCTCTCACACCCCCCCCGCTAACCCTCATCACGTAGGTACGAGCAGGCCTCCCCTCCTCATCTCGAGCTGCTTTCAGGCTTTCGCGCAACCAGGATGCTTTGCCGATAGTAAGGGTGGAACTTATTCGAGGCCAACTCGCGTCTTAGATGGGCGGCGTACACAAACACCTCTTCTTTCTTCCAGCCCAGCAGGTTGGCCATGAAAACCACCGAGCCCTCGATGTCTTCGGTAAGTGCCAGATACATATACTTACCCACCTCTCTCAGCCTCTCATCCTTAGGCCACGCGCCGATAGGACACTAAATGCCGAAACACGTGGTAAGCGATGCACGAAGTCGAAGGAGAGAAGCGAAAAGGGGTGGGGCGGTGCTCACCTTGAGTGAAGTAGCCCTGATATCGACGAAGCCAGCCGCCTCCATCGCTTTTTCCTGAATCGCGTCCTCCACGACCGTGAACGGCCTGCCGAGTTTCCGACCACCCTCGATGAAGATCTTTCCCCATTGACCCATGGCCGTCTGGTCGTGAACGGATCCGTCATCGCTCAGGATGTTCGCCGAAGTCTCGTGGCTCTCTATATAGCCACCGGGCTTGAGGCAGCGGTAGGCCTGCTTGAGAAGCGCCGTCCAGTCCTGGATGCTGCCGACGAGCCACCGCATGTGCACGTAGTCCATGGAGTTCTCCGCGAACGTCCACTCCTGGGTACAATCGTCGATCTGACTGATTGAGATGTTTAGAGCCAATGCGACGAACAGGAAGGACTTGCGCGACCTCACAATTGTACGTTCGGCGGTACCCAACTGGGTTGGATCGGTGAGACGTCGGTGCCGATAATGGTTGCGTTTGGGTGTTCGTCCGCGAAATCGCTTGTGCTGGGTTAGCAGGTTGTTTCCCTTCGTATGGGTTCCGTAAGGAGTCGGCGACATACATAGCCCAGAGACCTGTGTCGTTTTGCTGACTGTCAGTCATCGTGAAGACATCTAATATCCCGAATCGCACGTCGCACCTGTTCCCGTGCCGATATCGACAACTCTCTGCGTGTGTTGGTTAGAGCTAATCGTGACAATGCATCGCAGCGCCACGTACCTCGACGTTATCTAGAGGAGCCAGATGGAGCTTCCCGTCCAGCAACAGGGTTTGCACATGATGGCTATCAACAACATGAGCTCTGTTCATAATCGCGCATCCGGAATTAGGTCTCACTTGATATCCATCGCCTCATTCTGCTCCGCATCGATGGATCCCCTACGAGCGATCAGCAACTGCACTCTGGTTAGAGAAGGTAGACTCACCAATATTGGGCGTTCCCGCGCTCGCTGTGAAATGATCGTCCGAGTATCGTCCGGTACTCGAGGATGGACGACGTCAGGCTGGCCGTCGAGCTGGCGTTGTCGCCAAGTGCCGAATCGGTGTCATCCGCATCCTCATCGCGAACCTATTTGTTCGCGTCAGATCTGTTAATCTAGAAGGCCTCTAAAGTTGTACGCGCCTCTTCTAGTTGTGTCCAGTGCTGAGCTGGAAGAAGCCCTTCCGGCGACGGACCTGGTGATTTCCGCTCCTGGGAAGTTCGGCCATGAGAGACCTGGTCCTTGGAGGTGCTCGCCTGTTCCGGAGCGCGGTCTGACATGCTGACAATGGGGGCAGGAAGAACCGAGAGGATCGACGTATCAACACAAGATAACAACGCAACAACTTGCTCTCTTTTTGAGAAAAATTTCGCGGCCAGTGTGCACATCGTCCGCCTGACGATCTCGGCCCGATCCTACGGCGACGGCATGGTTACCGTTAATAAGCGGGTGGTGTGCTGAATATTCTGACAAACCGCATCAACCGCAGAGGTTCAGGCCAATGGCAGCGACAGCGAGAGCAGCTCAAGTCGTATCGGGAATCCCCGCGCTCCAGGTTGCTAGCTACATGGTAGCGCTCTTGGCACACACAAATCGATGTTAGGGGTTGGCGTATTGGTCGATCGATATGCCGTTGGTGAGTAGCTCGTGTTGGATACACGCAAGCGCAATTGGAAAGGGGGCGGAACCCAACCCGAATCCCGTCAGTCGATATCTCGATAGCAGGGGATAGAAGAAATCGACAGCGCGAATTGTTGCCCTGGGCCTGGCGTTGCCAGCCGGGATCGTACGGTGGTGGGAACCCAGCGGCGCTGCCCGCCTCGTTGTATCAAACCAAGTCTACCCATGGCAGATGGCAGATGGCAGATGTGATAATGTGGGCCAAATAATAAATAATAAACAATACACACTAGGCGGGGGTATCATAGTCACAATTGCCTATCTGGACGACCTGACGAAGGCGTGCGGCAGAATAAACCTCCCTGTAAATTCCGTTGCGCCGTCTCTCGGCAGACATCCGTTGCCAACACTCCACGAACACATGATGTATGCGCATACAGGGTTTCTATGGTGCATGCATGTAAACATGGCGGTGCGGCTATCGTCTGGGCGCCGGAGGCATCGTCGATGATCTCGAAGCCCCTCTCGCGTTCGCCGGATTTACACAGGGCTTCAGCCTACGGGCCGTCAGCTAGTCCTACTCAACCAGGTAGCAGTGTCTTCGAGCCCAGTTGCCTTCGACATCTCCTTCTATTCCGGCCTACTCTGCAAGTTTCTCCAACCAAGCTGTTGAGGACGAGGCCGAAGTCGATATGCGGAGAATCTTAGTTAGCCATACTCTGTTACAACGAGGTTTTTACCAACTACAACTTTATGCGAGGTCAAGCCCAGTCTATGTAACCCCGACAACTCTTTCGCCTGGTTCTTCTCACATGTAACCGGAGCAGGGGGGTTAACCATACCATACTTCCGCGGGCAACCAATATTATCTCGACGTGGAGATCTTCTGTAAATAAAAGTGATCTGAGACCGAACGTATCCGAATCTGACGGGTGTTGCTAGTACTTCTCTTGCCGATACACATTGTATGACTAGGTAGCCATTGTTATATCCACCTTCATATATCCCAGGACATATCCTCAGACAGAACTCCCCGCGACAATGTCGCCCTAGCCTGTCTTACTTTCTGCACGAGATAAACATATTTAGATACTGGCGTCCGTTTTGGACTCAAGGTCTACCTTGGCGATTCCTTCTGTTATCTTAGGGCCCCCCAAAACGATACCAAGCTGATTACGAATTCGAAGTATTACTTTTACCGACGGCCCAAGGAGCATAGGGCTGGCGCAGACATTTCCATGTCCCGAAGCGACAGCACGTGTGATATTACCTGCTGAGCGCTCCCAAGGCTTTTTCTTGGACCACGTCGCAGCTCGTGGGCTCATCTCGTCCACAACCCCGCCGGTGGAGAACATCAACCCCGCGCGTGGAGATTGAAAATCCGCAGGAGTACAACGACAACTCCGCAGGCATTTTCCGTATGCCTATGTGCCTGCGAGATCTCAAAGAGAACCCGGTTCTTCATCGAGGTCCGGTACGTGCCATGCTCCAGGAACGAAATGACTAAGCTCCGCAAAATGACCAGCCAACCACGCTCAGGGGGAAGCCTTGTAGCGGACTTAGTTATGGGGTGCTTCCTACAGCCCATCTACACATAATGACTATGTAATGCGCGGAGGTCCCAAGCGAGGGAACGCGGAACACGCCACCTCTAGGTTGGTATATCACCCTTGCGGCATATGCGTAAGTAACGAAACACGAAGCGGCCCTGGAAGACTTGACAAAAGCTGCCCCTGCAAATATACGCCCTTATAGTGACACGAGCGCCCCTATTGCCTTAGGCGAAAGCTTAAAGGGGTGTTAATAGCTTCCATCCGCACGGGTAGACCCAAGATAACCAACCCTTCATCCCGTCCGGGAATTCGAACTCGACGCTAATTAGTTGCTAGCTTTTACTCTCTGTCTCGTATCAGCTCATTTCGGCCATAATATCTCATCGTCGTTTACATCCTTGAACTGCAAAGATCCCCGCACGCCACTCTGAGAATGGAGGCCAGGAAGACCGTCCTGGTTACTGGCTGCAGTGAAGGGGGAATCGGCGAGGCGCTTGCGAGGGAGTTTCAAGCCCGGGGCCTACACGTCTTCGCCACTGCGCGGTCCGAGTCTAAGATGGCGTCTCTGCATAAGCTCGCAAACGTCACGGTACTGCCGCTGGACGTCACCTGCACCGACTCCATCGCCGCCGCCGTTACTGCAGTCTCTGCGAAGACAGGCGGGAAACTCGATTACCTCGTCAACAATGCGGGCACGCAGATCGTGATGCCAGTCCTCGACTTCGATATCCAGCAGGCCAAGGCCATGTTTGACGTGAACCTGTGGGGGGTCCTCGCCATGGTACAGGCGTTCATGCCTCTCATTCTGGCTACGAAGGGGACCATCGTCAACCTGTCATCCATCGGCGCGCTATCGTGGCTGCCTTATAAAGGTTAGCCCTCACCCTTCATCTAAAGACGCTTGCGCCTGGGAATCTGCCTATCCTATCTGCTAACCTCTCCTGATCGGCATCAGCGGTTTACGGTAGTAGCAAATCCGCCGTTGTTACTTTGAGCGAGGGTCTCCGCGTGGAGCTGAAGCCGTTCGGGGTCAAGGTAGCCACCGTTTTGGTGGGAGGCGTCGACACCAACATATTTGAAAACGCACCCGAGTACCATCTCCCGCCTGGCTCGCTCTATAAGCCTATTGAGAAGGAGATCGGCGATTGCGCCACTGGACGGGACATATCTGAGGGCATGCTGGGCAGACGAGAAGACTTTGCCTACTCGCTAGTTAAGGACATTCTCGGCGGGGCCACTGGGAAAATATTCAGAGGCAACGCAGCGTCTATGGTCAGAATATTAGCGGCCATACTCCCAGACTTTGTCATGGTACGTGACCTTGCCTTTTCCGCTCCCGGTACCGCTTGACAGGCCTGGTTGCTTTCGACCTGAGAATATACTGATTAAGAGGTTAGGATCGTGTTGTAGCGTGGAATACAGGGCTAAATCGTATATAACACGAGTGGGGGGTTGGGACGTATTGAAGGTTTTAATGGTGCCCGAGTCTTACTCCTGACCGGTTCAATGCCCGTAAGTAGGCCGGGGCCACTGCCACTGCCGCGTACGCAGTAGGGGTCTGGTAGAAAATATACTACAAGCTTAAAGGGCATATTAACGACAGGATGATTTAGAAGTCCTGTTATTACAAAGGGGCAGGGGGCTTTAGAAAGACGCCCAAGGGAAGTATATAAACCCTAGTGCTAGTTAATACGAAGCTATGTTTACCTGTAAACAAAGCTTCTCACGTGACAGTGACATTAGTAGTCGTTGAGTAAAAACACCAGTAAAATTCCACTATAAAATAAGGTTGTGAAGTCCGTGTTTGCGGCCAGGTTGACAGGACTTTGAGTCATGTGGAGTAGTGATATCATCAGCCGACTGTAGAAATAACCTGAGCTGCGGAGACGAGCTCGTCGATAACCACATATAACTACGCATATTGCTAGATATGGGTATGGCTTGGCTAAGGAGCAACATGGGGCGCAACTTCGAATCGCAGGCCACCTATCGACGATTAGCGTGTAGCCGCAAGTCCCTCTACAACCCAGCCACGGGGTGGTAAACCGGGATGGGAAATCGAGCAATGAAACTGAAGTTGTCACGTAGAATATCCCACCTAGCTATATAAACCTATATCTGCAAGTCGTAGGATGTCTGCGTCTACGTCTTACGCAAGAGGAGATGAATAGTTAACAGAGGGCTTTTACAACCTGCGTGGACGATAAGTGTGAATTCGCGCTACGCTGGCGGTGTTCGCCCGACAAGCTGAAAGGAAAGGAAATGAAGGAGAATCGATGAGTTGAGAGCATAGAAGCAGTCGGACAGGGTCTAGCCAGAAAGGTTTCGCCATCGTAGGGTCAGTGACCGCCAGTCTTTTCATGAGCTACCTTCGTATAGCTGGGGTTTCGATAGTATTGATGCCGGATACTATGGGTATCAATCAGGGGCCGAGTGCAGCGCCGAAACAGCAAGGAGCCGCAAAGAGCATCATGGAAAACGCCACGGTGAATGTGGCGTTCGAGGGTTGCCCTCAACATCGCCGTCCTAAGCAGCTATCCACCGAACAATTAGATGGGGCAGCTAGGCATTGCACAATGAAATTTGGCAGGGACTGGGCCTCGCGTCGCCTATATTAGCATACTCTACGGACACACGCGAGAACTAGAACCGAAGTAAGCCGATTGGACTGTATTGAGGTAGAGCACCTGTTTATCATTTACCTTCAAACGGCCAACTCTGCTCGCGTAGGTATTATGTATGGGCTCTTATCTCCGGATCCCGAGCCTAACATTGGATAGCAACACCTGCTGTGGCGATATGATACCTATCTCGCGCGGCTCAGTCACGGACAGCTGCTTCCCCGCTCTGCACGCTTCCACGATTGTGCGGTAGCATATCTAGATGGACGCCACCCCTCTAGCAAATTGCAGTGTCTTTTTCGTCGACAAATCGGGGAAGAAGTCGGTATAGTTGCGGCGTGAAAAAGAGGTGTGGACGCGAAGAGGGCGGATTTGCAGAGCAACGGCTTGGCCCACTGGTCGATCAGATCTCGATCCTTATCATGTTTCACAATCGCAGTCCTGGAAAGCCCAGAGTGGGCCATGTCATCCCCATGTTTCCCTCAAGCTGCCGGGGACAAGCCGACTTCTCTAGGTCTGCCGTATGTCAGCTCCGAAGCCGCGCTATGTGGCGCTGCCTTGGTGGTTATTTCGCAGCCTACGTAGGCAGACAGGCCAGACTCCGCACAGGGCGCGCGCTCCATGAAAAGGTCGAGCAACGCAGCCAAAAAAGTACAACGTGTTTGCGGAAATACAAGGGAAGTATGCCTAGGCAGATAGATAATGACTGCCTGGTATAACCGCCGCGAGCTGGCTGCTTCGATGCTCGACGAAGAGAAAAGGCAACTCGGTTTTTTTTATTGCTGTGTACCAGCGAAGCAGTATCAGAGGCAGGTAGGTAAGCACTTGTTACCTTCCCCTGTAGATACTCGTCACAATCCCTGTCGGCACGCCGAGCTGCTTAATTTGCGAAGTGCCGGTGCTGTAGCGGCCTGGGATGTCGGGGAGAGGTCGCGTGGCACCCTACCCGGAGCTGATATCATTCCCTGAAACCGACTCTTGCGGCAGCAGACAGCGGCTCTGATCCCGAGCCAGGCGTCAGCCTGACTAGGCATCCAGCCCGCCATTCCCGCCAGACGAGCACCTTACCCAGGTACAGCGCATAGATAGCGACACGGCTCGCGGGAAAGGGAAGATTGCCTGAGGAGGTGTCGGCTTCGGTACATCCCAGGTTGATGCAGGCGTGGTGTCGAGGCGTAGATGAGGAGATGGCTACATGACCCCTGGTCCCCGCTCCATGCAACCCGATGTAAAAATATCTCCACCAGGCGTTGCGGTGCGGTGCAGCACCCAAGCAGAAGCAGGCTATCCTGGTAGGGGACCACCTGTAGGTACCTTAGGAACCTGAGGTAGGGAGGTACCTCAGTGTGTGGGCAGCCCGCCTGGGCCGTGCGTTGAGCTACGGAGGGGGGGGAAGGGGTACCTCGTCCTGCCACCAGACTGCCCGCTCCGCCCAGGTACCTGCGCCGCGTAGGGTACATGGCAGGGCCCGCCACGGCTCCAGACAGGCCAAACAGACCTGCTCCTACACACACGGCTTGTGACGTTGGCTTGGTGGGGTCATCCGTGACGGCTTACCACTGGGAGGCCGTCACCCGCAGTCACGGCGTCGACAGAGAGACAGACAGAGAGAGTGCGCATCCTCTCGCCATCAATCAACGCTTCAGTCCCTCTCCATAACCTGCAACCCTTCTCCCTCGACCGCCCGCGACCAGTAGCCAGCTCCCTCTGCTGCACTTTTCTCATCTGCCACCCGATCTACCTACCTACATCAGTCATACACCCTCGCCCGGGGTAGGTACCTGAGGAGAGAGAGCCCGATTTGCATCGCTCTACCTACCCAGGTATTTCTGCCCTTTTTCCCAACGCCATCTCGGCCTCAGTCGGTGCGACCGGCCTTGCCTTCTTCTATATATTCTCCCTCCTGTCGTTTCCACTCCTCGTCCCGACCTCTCCCCCCTCGCCAGTCTTCCACCCGCTACGACCCGGGCAACCCCGACCCCAGGACGACTGCTGCATCCATCCCGAGTCTTGGGTGACCTGCCGCAATCGACAACCCTGCATCCACGGCGCGACGAAGCACCCCTCCCTGCTCGTACAACCCGCCGCAGATTCTTCATGATGTTTGACATCATCCCGAAGCTTCTCTCGTACGTCTAAGAGCGCCCCCCCTCCCCTGCCTGCTCGGGAGGATCTCCTGGGGTGTCGACGCCGAGCATCACTGACCCTGGCGGCTTGCCGGACACCATCACAACAGATCCGTAGCTTCCTTCCTTTTCCCCCTATTCGCCTCGTATAAGGCGCTCAAGACATCCGACCCGACCCAGCTGACGCCATGGCTCATGTACTGGTCCGTGCTCTCGTGCGCCCTGCTCGCTGAGTCCTGGGTGGAATTCGTCCTCGTCTGGATCCCCTTCTACTCCTACATGCGTCTGGTCTTCCTGCTCTACCTCGTCCTGCCCCAGACCCAGGGCGCCCGCGTGCTCTACGAGACCTACCTATACCCGTACCTCTCCGAGAACGAGTCCGCCATCGAGGAGTTCATCGCCAACGCCCACGACCGCCTCCGCACCGCCGGCATCACCTACCTCAAGCGCGCCATCGAGCTGCTCCGCACCCAGGTCTTCGGCCTCGCCCCCAACCAGGAGCTGAGAGCGGAGGAGCCCAAGGCCGCCGCCGCGCCCCAGGGCTACACCCAGGCGCTCCTGGCTCGATTCAGCGTTCCGGTGGCGCGCTGGGCCGCCGGCAGTGCCGGCCCGGCGGGCCAGGACTTCTTCAGCATGCTGGCCAACGCGGTCGGGGGCGCGGGAGGCGCGGCCCCCTCCTCCTCTTCCTCCTCCTCGCCGCTCGACATCTGGGGGGCCGCCACGTCGACGTCGACGCTCATCCCAGAGCACATCGGCGGCGCCGAGGCCAAGATGAGCTTCATCGCGAAGCAGCGGGAGCAGCTGGCGCTGATGATGGGCGCGCTGGATAAGGAGGCGCAGCAGCTGCAGCGCCGTGAGGCGGCCGGCCCCGAGGCGGCCGGCGCGAGCCTGTCGCGGCCCCCGAGCGGCCACAGCGTCTGGAGCGGCCTGAGCAAGAGCCGCAGCGAGGTCGACTTCGAGAAGATCGACGCCGAGAGCGGCACCGAAGAGAACGACGGCGAGCTGCGCCGTCGAGCCCACGCCGCCGCCCCCGACGGCTTCGACGAGCACGCCGGCGGCGCCCGCGGTTGGGGGTTCCTCGGCTGGGGCACCGTCGGGGCCGGCCAGACTCAGGGACAGGCCCAGGGACCGGACGACAGCGCGCGCAGCTCCGGCGTGCAGCAGTAGCCGCTCTCCGCCCCGCGGATCTTGGTTGCGGTCACACAAGTATACTGGTTTTGCGTGCATAGAGTTCCCTGACGGGCAACTCGGCATCGTCCCGAGGGACAGGATAGACATTGACATTACGGAGGGCAAAAGGGCAGCAGGCAGAGTGCGGAGGCAGGTAGTAGGAAAGAGGGGATGATAGACCGAGACCGGAGACCGCTCACTCGCTCGCACACCCGAGTCGCGTGCGGCGCACCCTCGTACCTCGACCAACAAGTAGTTCTGTGTGTACCGTCTAAAAAAAGAACCAAAGAAAAAATATGCCTTGGCGCATACTCTACGACTATCGGTCTCTAGTCTGCTAGTCTTCGTGCGTGTGAGCATTTGTGAAGTGGAGTCAGTTAGGCATTACAGGACTATGTACTTGGTCGCCGACGCGGAGAGGGTAGTCGGCTGCTAGAGCATCGGCTGGCCAGCCTGCCACTGGCAGCCAAAACCCTCCCTCCGTCCCCTCCTCTCATATGCTTCGTCCTCTTCGTCGTGAGCGCGCCTGCTGTGCGCAATAGCTAGGGTATCTCTCCCGTTGCTGCCACGTCTATCCTACACCGCCCTTCTGACGCATCTCATCGCCCGTTCCGTCACCGACGTCTCCCTGACAGATTGCGCAGCGACTCGCATTCACGTGCGTCCCATGAGAACCCGAACCGTTCCTCTTTTTCTTCGTCTCTCTCCCCCCCCCTCGTCTCTCTCTCTCTTCTAACCTTTTTATTCTTATGAATCCTTACTAACCCTAATCATATCTACGGACCGACCCCACGTGTGTTCTGATACAAAGCAGCCCAGCAGACCGGCTAGGATGCGCTAAGCCTTCTTGAAGGGGTACCGGATCTCCTCGTCCTTGCGCAGCCAGATCTGCTTGCGCTTCTTGGTGGTGACGTGCTCGGCCCAGACCTGCATGGCGTGCTCGCGCATGAACTTGCGGATGAAGCGCGGGTCCCAGAGCTCCGACGCGATGCCGAGATCCTTGCAGCAGCGCATCAGCGCGTTCGACTTGCAGCCCTCGGACGCGGTCGCGATGCCCTCCTCGGTGAAGAACTGCTGCTCGCCGCGGGCCTGCCCGACAAAGCTGCGGTTGCGGTGTCAGCGGAGAGCGCGAGATAGATCGTCAGGTGAGCGGGGCTAGACAGATGTGGGAGAGACGGGACGCGGAAGAGTGCGCGCAAACGCAATTGTAGCTCGGAGCAGTGTGTCTTGCAAAACTATACAAGGGGGTGGGAGGGGGGGGGGGACGTACCGGCCGTGGACGATGAGCGCGTACTCGCGGGTGACGGTGCGGTCGTTAACCTGGAGGTCGGCGCGGGGGGCGAGGCCCCAGCCGCCGGGCCCGAAGGCAGCATTGAGGATGCGGCGGTACTTGATCTCCGGGAGGTAGATGATGCCGTCGGGCTTTACCTCGATGTCGTCAGGGTTGAGGGGGGCCTGCAGGACGGCGGCGACCTCAGGGCCGAACGTCGACGTGCCCAGGCCGTGATAGGATCGCGACCAGTCGATCACGCCTTCCGTGATTGGATCCGGGGTCGGTGGTGCGTCCGGCAGCGGGATCCCCGAGACCGCGGGCACCCGCTTGTGCTTGGCATCCGCGGCTGCGGGCGCAGCTTCGCTCGAGGGGCTCTCCGACTTGGGGGTCGTCGCCGTCGTCGACGCGGCGCGCGAGGAGGAGGTGGAGGAGATGAGGGTGCTCTTGCTCACGACGGTTCGGCTGGCGGGGATCCTCCGGGCCCAATTCACCATCTGCGGGCTGGCGAAGGCTTTCTCGAAGGCTCGAGCGGTGACCCGCAGAGGGGTTAGCGATCGTGAAGCCATGGCGATAGGACGCTGAGGGAAGACGGCTGTGTTTGCGTCTCGGAGGGCAGGTTACGTCAAGGATGGTGTTTTTTTTGAAGATAATTTCACAAGTGGGGATTGGAAATGAGATTGGATAAGGATTGGGTCTTGAGGTACAAAGATACAATACCAGGTGTCACCTGACCACGGGCCACCCCCCCGGGGGGCTACTCTTTATTCTATTAAAAGCAGCTAAAACTTACCATTTAATAAATTAAATAGCGTATGTAAAAATATTAAAAATTTTTAAAAAGTAATTAAAGTAAAGATTATTATATAATCTATCTTAAAATACTACTAGAGCTTTGATTATAAATAGTAATTGTGGCCATCTAAGGAAAGAGTAAACAGTTGATGGAATTGCATCTATCTACGGAGCCTTTTGGAGCCGTTTTACGTGCCTTTTATCTTCCGATTGGCCCTCGATAGGGCAGGGCTCACCCTGTGGCTGCACGTGACCGACTGTGTGCTTGCGCGCTCATAGTAATTAAATATATTTAATATAATGATAAAATTTTTATTCCTACTTTCTAACTTTCTAGCATAGTAGTACGGCAACATATGCCCTCTTAATATATTATTTAATATTGGACGATAAGCTATATTGAAGCGAAATGGTGTAGGCAAGCTGTGAAGGTAAATAGGCAATGGCTACCCAGCTACTAATAACTAGCTTAGTGCCAGTCAAGCTAGATCACAGCTGGAATCAGCTGGAATCAGCTGGAATCAGCTGATCGGCCAGCTGAAAAGGCAGCTGGGAAAAGATGAAACTAGAAGGCAATGGCAATTGAAGGCATGTTGAGAAACGAGTGAATGGCTGTAAACTGTAATTGGCCCGTGGTCAGGTGATATGTGGTAATGTGGAGGGTCGCGGGGCTAGGTAGGTACGGAAGCACTTGCACATCGATGCGGGGTAAATTCGGACTAATATGAGCGCACCCTGTAACCCCTCTACTCTCTCCCTATAGGTATCTCTTAGGTACGCGCCTCATTACTACAGTGCACCACCCCAGCGCATCACTAGTCCTCTACGCAGACTCGTTGTAGTAATTCGCTATGCTATGCGATGCTGCGCCGGTGACATCGGAGATTCTCAATGCCATTCCGAGAAGCCCATATTTATTTGTCTTAAGAGCGGGATTACTTTCTTTTTCTCATCCTACACTATAATGCCGCAACCCATCTAGATGCCTCGTTGAGAGCGGGTAATCAAGTATCTCGATCCATAAGCATGCCTTCATTGCCTAGGTATAACTCCGTCGTCCCCCTCCCCGCCTCTGCCATCGTCGCGTACCCGATGTCACAACTCAACTTCGGGCCAAGCTATGCGTCTTTGGTCATCGTCCGTTCGTTGTTATGATGCTTCTTCCAGCACGCCCTGAAGATCTCCATCTATCGTTGCCGTTGGCGGAGTCCGTTAGTCTCCCGACAAAAAGAAAATAGACGAACTAAAAGAAGCGAGATATCGGTAATATTGGTCGAGACAGCAATTGTCTCGTTTCTTCTTCTTCGTTTCTTACCTCCTTCTTGCACACTCGCCAGTCCTTCTTCTCATAGTAGCAGTCGGTCAGTTTCGCATTTTCATCTAATCCGAGGAGGAAGACCTTCGATTAGCATTCCCCCAACTAGACTCCGATCCCTTGCCGGCTCCCCAGGATCTCTGTTTACCTGCGCATCCTGTGCTGAAGATCCTCTTGTCCCTGCGGGGTGGAAACGACTAGTTAGTAACGAAATCAATTGGTCAATTCCTCCGTCGTTGGATAAGCATACCACTCATCCGGTTCGTCATCGTCTTGCAGAGTTTCGCTCTGATGCGCTGCGCTTTGGTCCTTGGACATCGTAGGCGCCTCCTGATCGCTTTCTAACGTCTACGTTGCTAAGCCACCCAGTCGTGGATACTATATTCGAAAGGGTTGAATTATCGTGGTTTGGCGTTGCGTGGCTGTCTGTTTTGGCCCTGCTAAAATCTCGCTGGGAAAGCGGCCAGAGACGAAGTAGAAGGGAGAAAACCGGGTGGAATTTCGGGGATCGCGGCAACCCGAACTGACTCATTAATATCATCCCATCCAACCCCCTGAGTGGCTCGAAGTCCCCCGGCACGCAACACACGCATCCAAGTATGCCGCCGCGAAAACTCAACGTGCTCGTGTACACGGGCGCCGGGTCTACCGTCGAATCAGTCAAGCACGCAATCTACACCCTACGTCGCCTACTCTCTCCCAATTACGCCGTCATCCCCATCACCGAAACGACTCTGCTCAAGGAACCATGGGGCCCGTCATGCGCCCTCCTCGTCTTTCCGGGGGGTGCTGATCTCGGGTATTGCCGTGTGCTCGACGGGAATGGCAATTCTATCATCTCCCAGTACGTGCGCCGCGGTGGTGCGTACTTGGGCTTTTGCGCAGGTGGTTATTACGGCACGAAACGGTGCGAGTTCGAGGTCGGCAATCCGGCCATGGAAGTGGCCGGGCCGAGAGAGCTGGGCTTCTTCCCTGGTACTTGCAGGGGCGGCGCATGGAAAGGTTTTCAGTACCATAGCGAAAGTGGCGCCCGAGCAGTGAGACTGGACGTCACGAAGGCTGCATTTTCGGGGGCCGGCGTGGTCCCCGAGATCTTCACGTCCTATTACAATGGCGGCGGCGTTTTCGTCGGTTCGGCAATCGGGACTAGCGACGTAGACGTTCTAGCAAGCTATGCGGATGAACTTGATGTCGACGGGGGGCCCGAAAAAGCCGCGATAGTATACTGCAAGGTCGGTCAGGGGGCGGCCATTCTCACAGGCCCCCACCCCGAGTTTACGGCGGTGAACTTGAGCCCGCATAATGACGTCCCGGGATACGACAAGCTAATCGCTACCCTCCGCGCCAGTGATGACGCTCGGTCATCCTTCCTGAAGGCGTGCTTGGCTAAACTTGGGCTCGAAATCAACCAGGAGACATCGCATGTGCCGTCGTTATCCCAGCTCCATCTATCATCCATCACTAGCAGCCACGTTGACGAATTGCTGCATTCTTTCCAAGATATCATCAGCAGAGAAGATGGCGAGGAATACATCAGGGCCGAAAACGACACATTCCACTTACAAGGGCCCGAAACTCCGTGGTCCGTCTCGGATATGAAAGAGGCATTGACTTCTGGTAATAGTCCGAACCAAACGCCGCCGGATGGGAAGGGCGAGGGCATAATAGACTATAACGCTGTCATCAAACACGTTGTGGCCCACAACAAGGACTGGCCGGAAGCTAAGGCAACTCCGTATTTTAATCACAGCACGTACTACTCCAGCCTGCGCGAATACCGAGAGACAGAGCCCGAGGCAGAAGACTGGGGCGACTTTCTGATGTACGGCGAGGTTGTAACGAGCACGAACACGGTGCTCGAGAAAAACACCAAGCTGCTGTCCCGACTGCCGTCAGGGTTCACGTTCGTCGCCACGACGCAAGTCGCTGGGCGAGGCCGCGGGAACAACGTCTGGGTGTCTCCCGCCGGGTGCCTCATCATGTCGACTGTCATCAACCACCCGGCGCACCTGGCGCAGAGCCGCCCCATCGTCTTCCTCCAGTACCTTGCGGCGCTGGCCGTCGTCAAGGCCGTCCAAGCCTACGGCGACGGCTACGCCGGCATCCCCGTCAAGATCAAGTGGCCCAACGACATCTACGCGCTCGACCCGCGGCCGGCCTCACCCTCCGACGCGCCCGCCGCCGCTTCCTCCTCGCCGTCCTACGTCAAGATCGGCGGCATCCTCGCCAACTGCTCATACATCGCGGGCGCGTACCAGGTCGTCCTGGGCATCGGCGTGAACACGACGAACGGGCGGCCGACGACGTCACTCGACGCGCTGCTGCTGGCGGCGGCTAGTTCGGCGTCGGCGTCGGCGAAGAGCCTCGCGCCCTTCCGCGTCGAGCGGCTCGCGGCCGCCGTCGTAGCCCGCCTCGAGGGCCTGTACGCGACGTTCGCGCGCCGCGGCTTCACGCCCGACATGGAGCGCGCGTACTACGCGCACTGGCTGCACGGCGGCCAGGTGGTGCGGCTCGAGGGCGTCGACGACGCAGGCGCCGGCGGCCGCAGCGCAGAGGGCCGCGCGCGCATCGTCGGCATCACCCGCGACTGGGGCCTGCTGCGCGCCGAGGAGCTCGACGACCGCGATCGGCCCACCGGCAGGGTCTGGGCCCTCCAGAGCGACGAGAACAGCTTCGACTTCTTCCGCGGCCTGGTCAGGCGCAGGATTTGAGATGCCCGCGGCTGGCTACCGGCTGCCGTATCTATTCTAGGAGTTGCGCGCGGTGTGGATATCGCATCCGTGTGAGGGGAGCGAGGATTTAAGTGGTACGGGAGGGCGGTTTTTCGTAGGTATGCCGCAACCCTGCTTAGGGTACAAGCCGCGGAGCGCGCAAGTCGAGATCCGGAGTAGGTCGCTAGGAAATTGATTGCGAACTGAGGTCTACCCTGCTACTACGGTTCTAGTGTCTGGTTGCAACATAGACAAGTTGGTTGGCGTCGTGCCGCTGGGCAGAATAAAGCCTTAGAGAGTAGAGGTCACCAAAGCCTTGTCCCATCTATGAAACTTGATATCTTACCAACTTGCCGCTCCTATCTAAAATACTCTGTTTTTCCACGATTCGGAACTACACCCCCAGAATTCGCACCTTAAGTCCATCAATGTAAACGAAAGCCACTGTTATGAAGAATCTTTAAGCATTGTGTCGAGCTAGCGCCCGGAAAGAGAGGACTTCGAAACTACGCGAATTTAGCATGGTATGATGTAGATGGGCTCGAGCGGCGAATGAGCATAGAGGCTCATATATAATGAACTCGGACAATCTACGGACCTGTATGTATTCCCTCATAGGCATGGGATATCCTGACGGCCAAATTAGGAGATAAATTATCTCATGGAAACATACACACTCATTCATGGTCGGCGATGCATCTTTACGTAGCTCCCGGTGTAGTACAATTACGCACAAATTGGAAATCTAACACGCCTCGTCTAGGGGGTAAAGATATGTCGCCCCCATTCGACGGCCGAACGGTTCAGATGGTCATTCACTAATAAGCGTGGAAAGGTTAACAGGCAGAAAATAAAGTATTTTCCCGCGTTTCCCTGGGCGGAGGACTGTTCCTGGCTGTCTAGATTTGAGATTTGGGACTTTCTGACTACTTCCTTACACGCCCGCTCTGTGAGATGTCGCCCTGACATGACATCCCGGTAGGTGATAGGTTTTAGCCAAACGAATCAGAATTTGGTTCAAGATGAGAATCTCTCGCCGATTTCCCGAGGAGGATCTCGGGGCAGTTGGACTCGGGTATACAACAACCGTATCATATTACTATATCGTCAACCGGACCGTTGCAATACCGTGCCTTCAACAAACACCTGACGGAAGCTGGCGGTTAATGTGTGAACGAAGTCTGATATTTTCCTGTCCCGCTGGCGAAAGTATTCGTAGGATACTGCTGGGTGTAGGGGGTCACCGTGCCACCGTCGCCCCTTTTGGATATACATACAACGATTATAATGGTACATGCCGTCTCATGTCTCCTGTCTCGTCTAATCCCAACCAGGAAGGCAGATCGGCCGGTGAAGCAACAAATCAGAGGAACTCCAGATAACGCCAGGCCATGCCGCAGTCGAGTGAAGATGCCTTTTTAAAATGTCATTGGGTATATGGCTCGGACGGGTACCGCCAAGAAGCCGAGTTCAAGCTCGTGGTATCCTTGCGCCGCCAGCAGCAATGCGCTACCGGTCCTTGTAAACCTTGGGTTTCCACCCTTCCTTTATCTCGGCCTCTTGTGCGGCCTTCTCCAAGGCGGGTTTCACCTCGGCCTCTATGCGCTCCCTCGCCCTCAGTACCTTGCTCTGGAGATAGAAGCTGCCTCCCTTCTGGGGATCGTTCTGGTCGAAGAGCTTCTTGAAGCGGGCCATGACCTCCTCCATGTTGGCCTGGCCACCCTGCGGCGGCTTGACGTTGAGAATCTTGCAGGCCTCGTCGAGGGTCATGCCGCTGGACAGGCTGGCGCGGGCCGAGGGCGCGTTCGGATTCGCCTTCGCTTGGGCGCGTGCATAGTGGGAGGAGGCCTGCGCCTGTTTGTAGGCTTCGACAAAGGACCGGCCGAGCACCCGACTGCCTACGATGACGATCTTGGTTATGATGCGGTACGCCTGGCCACAATATTAGCCTGAGAGGAGGTTTCCACGGTGGACGTGGCAGCGAGTCGCAGCGCGGGCAGTGGGGTGAGCGGGCAGCCAGGCGCGGAGATGAAACGTACCATCTTCAAAGCAGATCCTAAAGTGAGGAGAACGTCGAGGTAGGCTGAGGAAGCCCTGTTTATCGACTCGGGTATCCGGTACGGTGGGCGGAGGGGAGGACAGCGTTCGAAGGCGGCAGGATGACAGAGATCTTGGGGCTTCACTCTGGTTTTCGGAAGAGTGAAGCGATAAATGAGACTGATTTGCCGCGCGAAAATTACCGAATTATCTCGATGACGGACCATCCCGACGCCTTACCTAAGGAACCCCACATCGGAGTTGTGGCAGGGCCAGGTCCGACAATGGTTGGCGGGGCATTTCGAAGTAGGTAGGTACATGAGTACCTACCTTAGGTGGCCCTGAAGGCTCGGTCTCACAGGAATCAGCCACGCTGATTACCTCACCAGTCTCTGAACTTGCGTGGCTGAGAGCCCCTGTCCGTTACCCTACCCAAGCTTACCTAATGGTCAGTCGCACCAAGGGCAATGCGGCTGCGTCTGCCCTGTAACCACGTACCTATTTGTCGCGGCGCTGCAAATGAGTGAAGACAGATTCATTATTGACGATCCCTTCATCCTTCGACCTAAACACATCCATCATCCCTTCTATCCTCTCCCCCATCCACACAACACTTGCGAGACGCCACCTCACGCTATCCACCATACCGCTCCTCCGCTACGCACCCTTACCAATCGCCTCCCGATTCCCTGCCGCCGCCCTTTTCGGACCTTGAATCGTTCTCACTCATCCCCCCACAGCAGCCTGCCTCTAGACGGACCCTCGTCACACGGCGTCGCGATAACTTGTCGGCGAGTCGATGCCCTGCCGCGCCTAACCCTCTGGACGAAAACATGTCGCAGTATTACGGCGCTCCTCCTCCAAATCAGTACGCGGGAGGTTCGGCTGCCGCCCAGAACCTCCAGTTCTATCCCTCGTCCTATTCTCCTGGCGTCCCCGGCCAGGCGGCCTCCGCGCAAGCATACGGCTATGGCGCGCCTCCTCCCGGTCCCGGGGCATATGGCGGGTTTGGCGGCGCGCCGGGGGTGAGCGGGAGGATGGGCGAGCAGGGCGGCCTGCGGACGGGCTGGCTGGCGGCCTTCTCGACCGAGGGGTACGATGGGGAGCCGCCTCTGCTCGAGGAGCTGGGCGTTAACTTTGGCCATATCCAGATGAAGGTAGGCGCTCTCGTCGCTCGCTAACCCACTCCCCAACTGGACTGCCCGTCGTCATGTCCATCTTCCGGGATCGAGGTGCTGATTGTGCGCCCAGACCTTAGCAGTGCTCAACCCCTTCGGAAGAATAGACCAACACATTATGGACGATTCCGACCTCGCGGGACCCATCCTCTTCTTCCTCCTATTCGGCACGTTCCTGCTCTTCAGCGGCAAGGTGCACTTCGGATACATATACGGCCTTGCCCTCATGGGGTCCATCGCCCTACACACCATCCTGTCGCTCATGTCTAACGACGGCACCGGCTCTCCGACACCATCCCACGCGTCGCCTGCGTATTCTTCGGGCCCGGCCTACCCCGGCGATCCCAACACAGGAGGCAGGGACGATGCCAAGGGCCACCTCAGCAGTACCCTGACATTTGTGCGGAGCGCGAGCGTGCTCGGATACTGTCTTCTGCCTCTCGTCATGACGAGTCTGGTAGGCATCATCATGCCCATGGACGGACCGCTTGGCTACATCCTAACTATTGCCGCGATTGTCTGGTGTACAGCCAGCGCGAGCGGCATGTTTTGCGCCGTCGGACGGATGAAAGAGATGAGGGCACTGGTCGCGTATCCGTTGATGCTATTCTACGTCGGCTTCGGTATCATGGGCATCTTCAGCAGTCGAGGATCTGGCAGTCTAGGCAAAGCGGCAGGCGTGTCGTGAAAGACAAGCCGTGCTAGAGAACATACGAAACTACAAACTCGTCTTCCCCCCCCCCCCCACACAACACGGCCACCCCAACCTGACAGCAACACGAAGTTTTCCCAGCTTACGTTGGATGTCGGCGAGATATGACGCTTGTCTCGAAGACGACTAATGAATCCGTGGATACGGGTCTGTTTGCGATAGTTGAAGTCGGTACCAGTGGTATCTAGATGCATATAAATGTTGACAGGCGGGGTGGGTGCGATACCGACGGAGACACCTAAAGTAACCGATCGTCGGCTCGGAGAGCAGAGAAGTTGGCGACTAATACCACCAGAACACATCTTCAGATCATGCGAGAAGCTGCGTACTGTGAACCTACTTACGCCACCTTGGACGAACTATTGCGCCGCTCAGTTGCGAGAATAAGCGGAACTTGAGGCATAACCACCTGTAATTATAGAATAAATCAGTTACCATAGACCGTTTAACGGCAGCTTGGGCCTATATCAGTAAGCTGTGTGCTCCGAACAATGCGATCATGTCCGAAAGGTATGCGCATGCTGATCTGCATATCGACAAAGAGAGAGACCGAGAAGTTGATACCTTGCCGTCTCACCAACTCATACACCATCTATTTCCCACACGCCACAGCAGGGCCGAATGTGTGACACTCCGATATGGAGATGACACGTTATTACTTAGCACGGTATTGTGAGTAAGGGTCCTCACTGGGAGACATAACACCCCCCTCGACCATTGCAGATCTCAATTTCCAAGGCTACAGGCAACCGACCTATCCGATTCAGAGGCCATTCTGGTGTCCGCCTGCACTTTTATATTCCGCTGGACCAGATCGGTGCCAAGTATCACTCGCACGACTTTAGCCGTGATATGCTTGCGGGCCGAGCGCGCCGTCGCGTGTCGCCGTGCCAAGTCTTCCCGGCGCGGTGCAGTGGGCCAGAAACCACACAGCAGAATACGGGCACGACAAGAGGCATAATCTCCCGGCTGCCGTCATTGTGGTAGCCTGGTGGTGGTAACGACGAGCTGTCGGTAGGAGTGGGAGGAGGCAGCGCGCGCACTGGGTATCTGTAGACTGGTTCAGAGCTATGAGTCGAGACGCTAGAACGGGAGGCTGGGAACAGGAAGTAGGGAGAACTCAGGGGCGGGAAAGGGTTCGAGAAATCAATCGCCTTGATTTCTCATCCCTAATACACTACCCAGCCTTTTAGTCACTTCCATCCTTGCAAGGAAATAATGCGTACGCCGGCGGAAGGGATCTGTTAGTATTAAGTGTTCAACTAACTTCCGAGTGTCCGGTAACTCTCAACGTTCTTAGGACACGACTTCGGCACGACACCGTCCAGACCTCTCGTCCTCGATGGCCTAAGACGAAGTTCTTGTTCCCTCATTGGAATAACAACTTGGCACTAGGACATCCCGGCAAAGACACGCGGGACTGTTGAGGAGTGCGTCTGTTACCCCAATCTCCCAAGCGACTGTTCGGTATTAGGGTGTGGGGTGTGGGATATCATCACTCGAAGGTGCACTCGTTGGGCTTCCCTTCCACGGGTAGCTGGAATACAAACGCAGCTCTTGATGCGTAGCATCTTGCGGAGCTGTGTGAGTGGATTACCGAGAAGAACTACCGAACCGCCAGCTCTCAGCTCTTCCGTTACCCTTTTATACATAGATGCCTGGCCACGTGTAGCTCCGGAGCAGACAGCCCTTCATACCACATGCTTAGCAAACGACCCCAACAAGAGAGGAGAGAACTGTGCCATTGCCAAGGGTAAGAGTGTGGGGTTGGTATCCACGGTAATGTAGATCGGTTCGAGTATCACTACCCCCTGAGCCCCCGGAACTTGGCCCATGCCGGGGACCGCCACCCATTCCCTTTCGGACGCGGAGCACCGAAAGTCTGGACCGCGCTGCCAACCTCAACTCCACATACAACATCACGAGGTCGCATCTCATTCTCCCCGCTCTCTTCGCCCCGACTATACCTACGTCCTTACACACTAAACATACCGTGCCGAGACTCGCGAATGCAATGCGTTGCCTACTCTTGCGTGCTGCTGTGCGTACCACGCTATCAGTCCCGGCTACTACCGTGCTGGGTTACCCATCGTCGAGGATCGCTGGTCTGCCACCTGCACCCAGCTCCCACTCCGAGCCGCCGACCCGAACGCTACCCCAAGGATTGGATCGACCCCTTGATAGGCCTGATGGCCTCCCCGCGTCTCTCTGCTGCATCCCTGGCTAGGACCTGTCTTACTGTGCGTCTTATCGCGTACCTACACCCACACACCGACCCTAGGAACGAGCTGGCGTCCTATAAGCTCCCTCCCTTTACTACTCCCCAAGGCATGCTGAGTGGCAACATGGGTTACGTCCTTATGTGAATCAACCAATCCCTCGACACCTCCCTGGCCAGGATATCTGCGTGTTGTCTCCAAGACCTACATACGGTGAGCTGTGAGACTTGGGTGGTTCAGGAGACACCCTATAACTTGATACGCCGGTTCGCTCGGGGTTGGATCTTCTCCTACTTCAACTTGCCACGCACATCTCGTATAGATCGAGATTCATTCGCCCCGGTAGGGAGTCTGCATTACCATGACCGTGTCAAGCGCGACGGCGATCCCCAACGATACTAAGGAGACGCCTCCTCGGAGATCCTCCACCGAGGAGGGGCAGGTTGAGAGAGATATCCAACTCGTCGCCGAAGAGGGGTTTGCCGCCACAGATAGGCAAGTCGATCCGTGGAAACCTGGCGGTGAGGAATGTAGTCTTCGCATATTACTAACTGAGGCCACGTTTTATTGCAGCCATGGCGTACCAATCGTCGAGTTCGACCCGGTAGCCGAGAAGAAGCTTCGGAGAAAGATAGACTGGATGATAGTGCCGACTGTCTCGGTCCTGTACCTCTTCTGCTTCATCGACCGCGCCAACATCGGTACGTTGCCCTTCGCCGATTTGAGCCTCTGGGCGGCTGCAGCCGCTCTGTGGCGCCGACCCCTAAGCCATCCCCCTTCAACTCCGCGCGATATGCGTGCTTGGATAGACACGCCGGCTTACCGCCTCCAGGCAACGCGAGACTGGCCGGGCTCGAGGATGATCTAGGCATGACCGGCAACGACTACAATGCGCTGCTGTCCGTCTTCTACATCAGCTACATCCTCGCGCAGATCCCGTGCAACCTCGCGTGCAAGCGGTTCGGCCCGGGCTGGTTCATCCCCTTCATCTCGTTCAGCTTCGGCGCCTGCTCCCTCGGCACTGCCTTCGTCCGCGACATGCCTGCCGCCTGCGGCGTCCGCTTCCTCCTCGGTCTCTTCGAGGCCGGCATGATGCCCGGCATCTCCTACTACCTCTCCCGCTGGTACCGCCGCGCCGAGCTCGTCTTCCGCCTATCGCTCTTCATCGTCACGGCCCCGCTCGCCGGTGCGTTCGGCGGCCTGCTAGCCTCGGGGTGTGTGCTTAATCTCCCCCCCCGCCCTCCTTTTTTTTTCTTTCCAGGTTCCGTCACACCCCACTTCTCCGTCACCGTTTCTCGCGGGTGTCCTAGTAGGAAGACAGCATGCACTAACCGCACGGTTTCACGATTCTAGGATCCTGAGCCTGCCCAACATCGGCGACCTCTACGCATGGCGCATGATCTTCCTGGTTGAGGGCGTCATCACTATGGGCATATCGCTGATCGCCTTCTTGACGCTGACCGACCGCCCCGAGACGGCGCGCTGGCTCACGAGCGACGAGAAGAAGCTGGCCATCGCCCGCGTCAAGTCGGAGCGCGTCGCGCAGATCGCCGTCCTCGACGAGATGAACAGCCAGAAGCTCTGGCTCGGCTTCTGGAACCCCATGGTCCTCGCGACTAGCTTCATATTCCTGTTCAACAAGTATGGCGTTCCTTTTTCCTCCCGTCTTCTGCCTCCCTCTCTCTACCAGGCTACGTCTGACCGACCACCCCGCAGCATCACCGTTCAGGGCCTGGCCTTCTTCCTCCCGACGATCGTGGCGACCATCTACCCGTCGTACTCGGTAGTACAGAAGCAGCTGTACACGGTGCCGCCGTACGTGGCGGGGGCGTTGTTCGAGGTGGCGATCCCGCGGATAAGCTCGCGGATGGACCGGCGGCAGATATTCTTCGTGCTGACGGCGCCGCTGACGATGGCGGGGTACGCGACGTTCCTGGGGACGGCGAACGCGCAGGCGCGGTACGCGGCGACGTTCCTGGCGGCGGTGAGCTGCTTCGCGATGGGGCCGCTGAGCAACGCGCAGGTATCGGCCCAGGTGGTCAGCGACTCGGCGCGCAGCGTCGCCCTCGCCACCAACATGATGCTCGGCAACGTCGGCGGCCTCATCGCCACCTGGTCCTACCTCGCGCACGACGCCCCCGACTACCGCCCCGGCAACGGGCTCAACCTCGCCTCCGCCACTACCGTCCTCCTCCTCGCCGCCCTGGCCCTCGTCTGGATGGAGGCCGACAACCGCCGCCGCGACCGCCGCGACGGCGCCGAGGTGCTCGCCGGGCTGACGCCGACGCAGATCGCGAGCCTCGAGTGGAAGCACCCCGACTGGAGGTGGAAACCGTGAGCATAAAGAGGGCAACGAACAACTAGACGACCGCAGCTGTTGCGTGGCATGTTGTACTTTCGTGTTACAATAGGTGAGTCCGAGCATGAGGGCGAGGGGAACAGCTCTTGGCGGATTCTCTTCCTGGTTACTCCCCGTATGGTAGAGGCAATATCACAATTCAGCTTGTCTATAATCTGAAATACAGATCTGTTATTCTGTGCCTTTTCTTAGCATAGATCAGGATGGGCAAAAATCCGCTTGTATGGAATGCAACATGAGCGTGTGTGCATCTTCATAACCAACATCGACCACGCTGGCTAATGAATGCACCCACAGCTATTACAGGTGTAGATGGAAATCTACTACCTACGTAGTAGGTATATAAATATTCGCGGGTGTCTCTCCTACACCTTGACCCGCTTGAACAGGACCTCCTTGGTGGGATCGGGGAAGGCGTTGGTGCCCATCTTGAGGTTGGCGTAGCGCTCGGTGAGGCCGTCGGGCATGCGTAGGTTGTAGTCGAGCAGGATGCGCGCGAGGATGAGCTTGATCTCGTTGGCGGCGAAGAAGCGCCCCGGGCAGGCGTGCCGCCCGTAGCCGAAGTGCATGAAGTCCTTGGTCACCGTGACGAACTGGTGCTGCTCCCGGTTCTTATACCCGAGCAGGTCTTCGGCCGTGCCGTTGCGCAGGTCGAGGAAGCGGTGCGCGTCGAACGTCTGCGGTGTCGCGCGCGAGGGGTTTGGTTAACGGTTCTGCCTCGTTCTCGGGTTGAGACGGGTGGAACGGTGAGAGAGGGAGGAAGGGAGGGGCTGGGTCGTCATATTACCTCGGGGTTCTTGTACACGGCAGGGTCGTTGACAGCCAGCGCGTGCGGCGTCTCGATCAACCGGCCGGCCGGCAAGTAGGTGCCGTCGCTGAGCGTGACGGGCTTCGCGACGTAGCGCTGGAACCGGATAAGGCTGCCCGGGTTGACGCGCTGCGACTCCTTCATCACGCTGTCTAGGAGCTTCATCTCGAAGAGGGCGTGGCTCGTCATGACGCCGTCGTTAGCCGCGAGGACCCGCCGGATCTCGTCCCGCAGCTCGGCGACCACGTCGGGCCGGACTACGAGGTCGTATAGGCTGCACGAATTCACACCCTCTGTTAGCGGCCGCCGCAACAACACATAAGTTTCCTACTTCGCCTAGCCTTCTCCGGCTGGAGGTTAAAGGCACTGAATACGTACATCATGGTAACCGTTAGCGTCGTCGTGTGGATGGCAGCCATGCTCAGGTTCAGCTGGGTTTCGGCGAGGTCGTCGTCGGTGAGGCCGAACTCGTCAACCTTATTAAGCATCCACCTGAGGGTATCATCAGGCACCTCCTCACCGGCTGCCATGGCCTTGCGACGCTGGGCGATGACAGGCCGCAGAAAGGCGTGGGCCTTCTTGCGCTCGCCGATTAGCTTGTCGACCTCGGGGGTGAAGTAGCGGCCGATCCACCGCCAGTGGCGGTTCCACTGCTTCAGCTTGTTGACGGCGTTGACGAAGTCGAGGGTGTACCCGATGCTCGCCTGCAGGTATTCCGGGGACCGGCACAACTCTGACCCGATGAAGATGGCGCCCGAGATCGTCGCCACCATGCGCAGCACCGACTGGTACACGACGACCGGCGTCCAGTCCCCGCACGGCGGCAGCTCCTCGATGATCGTGCGCGCCGTCTCCTCCGAGAGGCGAGGGTTGATACGGACTATAACATTCAAGTTAGACCTGCCGCCCCCCCACGGCTGCAAGCGAGATCGAGGTGTAGTGGTGGCTCACCTAGGCTTCGGGTCAGGTCGCCTCGGACAATGTGGACCAGGAAAGCAGTTTGTTTGTGATTTCCCATCTCGAGATGCTTGGCCTCATTCATCTACACTGTCTTAGCTTACGTCAACTATTAGTTTGCCGCTCCGCGTTGTGGGACTCACAATGTCGAAGGCTTTTTCGATGTTAATGACGTCGTCTGGAAGCTCTCGGACTTCTTCCATGAGCCTACGCGGCAAGACGATGCGCTCGCCTGGTCAAGTTGCAGGTTAGCTCGTCTATCCTATCTTGGGTTGTTGTCTCGGGGGTTGGCTTAATACCATCTAGCGTGGTCAATCTGAACGCCTTCGACTTGAATAGCTCGTATCCTTTCTGGTAGAAATCCAACCCGTTTGTGATGAATGCTTTCCTTCGCTTCTCAGCGTTTCCATACTCTCCTCCTACTAGCGGCAGTTTCGACGCGGCGTCGTCTCCGAACAGCTGGGTGGCGATGAATACGGCAGCTAATATGACAGCCACAGACGCTAACACAGGTCCGCGGTCGTCCAGTATTGCCGATAACTGGCCCATGACTTCGTTGCTGACGTCTGGTTGGCACTACAGGAGTTAGCGGCCGGCCAAGGCAAGCGAGATATCGTAGTATTATGGGATTGGGACAAAAGAGGACGACGTGGTCGCGGTATATAACACCGCAGGACTACCGGTAATACATATATGCTTACCTATGTACGGCTTGTGACTTGCATAGCACACTGTAGCAATGTGGCGCAGGTAAGGTAGGACATTTCATAGCGAGACAGAGAAGCTCTTTCATCATCGGGTCTCGAGGTCTCACCCATCACCAGGCAGGTCCTGGGGACTATGAGACTCTCAAGCCACGAAACACAAGTCAAGAGAACCAGCAAGCAGGGTTGCCTTGACGGCATCCTGCGATGTACACACATACGCACACTAACCGATGAGGCATCCGGGTGAGCCCCGAGATTGGTTCGGCTCCATCGCGCATCCCTGCGTAAGGCTACCCGTCCACGACAAAGGAGAAACTCCAGCACGCCCAAAATTGCCATCAACCCGCGTGGAAACCGAATACGGAGAGTGGATGGCCTGGCGTTCCAGAGGCTTCTGACTCGCGTGGTCTCCCAAGAGCCGAAGGAACATCGTCCGGCACGGGAACTCGCGGCAAATCGTGGCTTAGCGCCGCCGATCATCCACCTCCTTCTTCGTTGGCGTCGTAGCATCGCATTCCGGTTAACAACATTGTCCGTGTTGGTTATTAGCCCATGCATCCCTAGCCCTGCCGGGTGGAGAGAGACCCTACGCAGCGCCACCTGATAGGTAATGATAAACGATTGTTGCCTATTGTCATGGATATCGCTACTCCGCAGACCTCTTGCTTCAACGCCAGATATTAGGTATCTCTCCAATCGGAGGCGTCTTATTTAGAAGCGTTGGTCGCAACTTGAAGACATAGGTAGGTATACATAGCGAGTCCATACTTAAGCCAACGCCGAGACGAGGTTCTCGGGCAGATTACGGCGAACCTGGCGTTCGTCTTCATCTCTACTTCATATTATTAGTACGGCGTATTAAGAATGCTGTACGGTCCCACAAGTGAGCCCTCCGCCAGACAGCCGCTTTTACAAAGAAAGCCTCCAGAAATCCCTTGCGTCAAGATTATAAATGAAATGCCGCCCGTCTAGACACCTTCCTGGCCTATCTCTATCTCCCAGGGCCAACGTAGGTGTGTTCATACGTGGACGAAGAGTCTACGCGGCAGCAGCCTCGTATCTCTCTCTTTGACGACGGCAGGGAGCAGGGGGTTGCCAGTCCGGGCTAATTCCAAGCTCCAAACCCCGTTTCTTGGCTCCGGACTCTGGGTAAACTAGCGAGACCTCACACTCGGTTCCGCACGGTGGTGGAAAAGAAGTATTCGTAGACACTCTGCATTGTACAGCCGGCCCCGCAGTAACTTCGCGACATGATATCGCCGTGAAGGGGCTAGGTTTTTGTCGTTAATGCATGATTTCTTTTCCCCATCATGTCACATACCAATTGAACCAGCCTTTATACGCCTACATACCGCAGAGCGTAAATGTAGGCGTCTACGTTTTACACGACACATCAGGCAACTTCAATTCCACGCATAACACCCAATACCTACCTATTCCCCTATGCTATATGAGAATTCTGAGATGATAAAACACCCGGGTGACGAGTAGTATTATTACTATTACAGTATGTACTCGAGCCATCTAACACCGGAAGTTATTCTAAACAACTGCGAATATGTGGGTTAGCCCAGTTACCGAGATTTGGAGGTCATTTGGGTATCTACAATGAGACAGTAAGCCACAACATTTCCCCTCCTGCCACGTCGAGCACATGGATCCCGCGAGATCGACCAAGAAAGGGGGCGCTCCAGCGACCTAGTATATAGTCGGGCATCCAGCCCCCGGCGACCGGGCGACATGCGGCCGACTTTTCCAAGCGAGCCTCGCACGGCGAGGCGGCGATGTATTTGTTTATGGAGAAAGCAGCGTGAGATTTATCTGCCTAATCGGAAGTGTCCATCCGTGTAGAGAGTTGTGAGAGTATTCAATTAAAACGTCATCAACACGCAAACAGACATAGGGGTCTTTTATTACCCTCTCCACGTTCGACCACACCCCTATTTGAGAGCGATATCTAAGGCTTAAAGCCATATCTGAAGCCCGATGTTGTGCTGCCCAGTTCAGGAGCTTTCTTTATTAGTTTCCCATAGGAGATCTAACTACAAAATGTGCTTCATGAGGCTCCGGCTATCAGAGTGGGCTTCATTGAGACGGTCATTATACGACAGGAACCGATGGACACGCTGAGCAGGCCCCGCGGCCATCCTCGTGGTCCGCACGCACCTTTTTATATATTCTCCAGGATCCATTCATCGTCGGCCAGTGCCTTCGCCGAGGCACGCTTGGAAGGGTCCCAATGGAGCATCTTCCGCATCATAGCAAGGAACCTCTCTCGACTCTCCCCCTCCAGGTTGGTCTCTTTCTCCTCGAGCGATGTGCTTTCCGGGAGCGCAATATCTTTACGGAAGTCCCCTGTAGAACAAGCAGAGTCTTGTCAGTAAGGAGGAGAGCTCATAGCCCAAACCTGGGCACGTCGAGCTTACCTGTATCGGTGAAGAATTTATGGCTCGACTTGCCGGAATGGAGGAGCGCCTGCGGAGGTTGTCCAAGCAATGCAACTATCTCGGCAAGGTGCGCCCGGCTGCGGTACGTCTGAGACTCCGGGTCGTATCCCGTAAACAGGTGACCGCCCTCAAAGAGGTCCCAGATCTAGAAAAGATGGTAGGGACACGGGTCAGCTCTTGAATCTGCGAAGCCCCATGTTCGGTTCGAGTCCTTACCATGCAGCCCGTGTTCCATATATCAACCTGATACGACCACGGTGCTTCTAGGATGACCTCAGGTGCTCTGTATATATCGGGCTGTATATCCTCCAGATGCTCCGTGTCCCCAGAAACGGCAGAGCCGAAATCACAGAGGACCGGTGCGCCCCAATGCTTTGGCATTTGGAGCTCGCGCGACACATAAATGACTCTTCCATCCACCGACTTTCGCGGGGACGGGTCGCGCAGCTCTTGCTCCTCGAATGCGCTGAAAACCGAATCGTCCTCGATGCCAAACATGATATTATCGGCTTTAATATCTACTCGGCAGCAGTTCAGCACTGTTCTTGGTGGGTGGGTGAATGAAACACAACCAAGGATAGATCCGCTCGGTTCAGTCCGCTCATACGCACCTGTGTGGATGATCTGGCATTCTGTATGCAGAAAATCCAAAGCAAGGAAGAGACGGCGGAGGGTGAAGGCGAGGACTGGCACGGGTAGTCTCCTCACTGGGTTACGGTGAAGAAAAGTTAGGACGCTCTCCCACAGTGGAGGGTGCACTAGGCACCGGTGGGATCCGTCTGGTCCGGTAACATCGAAAGAGTCCAGGAGTTCCCTGACGGCACCGCGACCGGGATGCTTTGCCGAAAATGCGGAAATCCGCTTGTACATTGTGAGTTCGCGATCCAGCTGCTCGCCCATAGACTTCGAGTGCACGAAAAGCTTCACTGCCACATGCCGACGACCCCTACACTCTCTATTAGCAAAGCGTCGCGTGTAGCAGGTCACATGAATGGACACCAGAGCATCTCACTCTAGGTCGCGCGCCAACCAAACTGTCGAGCTAGATCCAAAGCCCAGCTTGCCGACAATCTGGTAACGATCCCTGAGGACTTCGCCAATGCAGACCGGGTAGTAACGCGATACGACGTAGTCGGGGAACTGCTCCTCCTCTATCTTCTCACCCAAGGCAATTCGCGTGAAATTAGGGTTGGAGAAGATAAGAGGCTTCCATACCCGGCCAGGCCAAGCCAACCGCCGAAGAAGTGACGCCATATGAAAGTGAGGCGAGAAAAACAAGAAAGCTGAAGCCGTGAGTTGGTGCGTGTCTGGTGCAACTAGATCCTAAAAGCGGTCGCTCACGCTGACTAAGATCTCACTTAAGTTTCATCTCAGGATACTATTATTTCATTTACCAGCACATAAATATTCGTTTACACAGCTCTTCATGCTACTAACAGTCATGCACCGAACAACCCAGGATCAACACTCACTTGAATTTCTTTTTCAAAGCCATATTATATGGCAATCAACACATATATTATTTAGCTCAGTCTGAAAAGTCTCTCTCTCGCCGTGTTCCCTGTTACTTCGATGGAATACAAGTCTCTCGACACTTCATTCCTCTCCTTTGTTTCTCGCGGGGTCTCGTTGTCCTGTAGAAGTGACCAGTGCCTCGGCTTTTCAGGCCTTCTCTGCTAATTCTATGTAGAGACACGGCATTTAGCATCACTTTATCAGCGCGGTACAGCCGTTTGTTTTCAAACCCTCCGCAACATAGACTTGGTAAGCAAAGCTCACCCCTTTCGGGATATCCAGCACGAGAAGAACATGGCACGAGAGGCGAACTTACATAACCACGAATCTGCGGTAGGCATTGAACGTGTGATATGTTCGTGACGAAAACATGTACGCTTCTCGAGGCCAGCGGCCCGAGGCATTACCAAGAGGCAGGTAGACGAATTCGATATATGCCTCGTTTGACCCTCTTCCTGCGTCCGTCTGTTAAGTGCTCAGTTAGAATTACAATGCAACATGTCGACCTGGAGGATTATCAGTAGGGCAATGAGATGAGCAATTCCAAGTCTAGTCGGCCCGCCTGCAATGTCGATGGAGTCATGTGTAGCGACGAGGGGTTCTTGTCAACACCACGTGTATAGCGACATACTTTCCGCCACCAATGGCTACCCGGCCTGAACCCCCGTCTTTACTCTCGTGTCGGCCTAATGCGAATGTTGCGGAGAAGCCCTGTGTGGCCACCCCCTATTCTCCTGCGTTCCTACTCCATTGGACTCGCTTGGCACGCGGAAACCAGGACAGTCGTGCCGGCGAATCGCCGTGCTCCCCAGATTCCCCATGTAGATCATCGCGATAATCCCCATGATTCGTTTCCAATATGTTCATCTTTCTATGAGGGCCGTGATACGGAACCACTCCCCTTAAGGAGACCCTTCCCCGCGTCCAATCAGCCCAGGCCTGGATATGAATTCTGGCTTTACCGGCTATATTACCCCAGATCCACCGGAGATGTGGCAGCCATACGGAGGCCTTGTCCAATATCTGATGGCCTCCTTTTGCATGACATAACCTTCCCCGTTCAACTTCCGAATTCCGACCCGCCAGCGTTGGCGAAGACTCGACTATCCCTCTACGGCACGGAGTTAGAAATAGGGGGTCCGCTCGTATCGGCGTCGCCCACAACTACTATATTTTGTTCGGCATATGATGCAGCGATGTCGTGCATGCCCGATATCATATTCTATAAGAATGTCCGATGGCGTCCCGGAGGATTGAACGCAAACTCAGCTTACCCAGGCCCATTCTACGCTGACACCCTCCATCGTATCCTCGACCCAAATAAAAGCAGACAAAATGAAGTTTTCTTTGGTTGCCGCTACGGCCTTCATTCTGTCAGCTGAGGCCCACACCATCTTCCAGGTAAGACCAATTAGAATAGTTGCTTCATCATTCGTCCAGCTTACCATTCTTGCTACAGGAAGTCTCAGTCAATGGACAAAGCCAGGGCAGGCTGGTTGGTCTCCGGGCACCCAACGACAATAACCCCGTCACTGATGTGAACTCCCAAGGTGAGAGCTCTCAGGCCAAAGAGATGTCATCTGCGTGACCACCCCCTCCTCGAACACTCGACGCCCGTGTGTAGAGAGTACTCGGGTTGGGGCCCCAATCGCTGACGAATAGGTCGGCAGACATAATCTGCCAGAAGCAGGGCACAACCTCCAACCAGGTCATCAGCGTCTCGCCGGGTGACAAGATCGGCGCCTACTTCGGCCACATCATCGGCGGCGCTCAGTTCCCCAACGACCCGGACCACCCAATCGCGAAGTCGCACAAAGGCCCGATCACGGTATGGCTTGCCAAAGTAGACAACGCGGCGACGGCGAGCAAGGCGGGACAGAAGTGGTTCAAGGTGTGGGAGGACACGTTCGACACATCGAGTAAGCAGTGGGGTGTCGACCGCATGATCGCCAACCAAGGCTGGGTCAACTTCAGCCTGCCTCAGTGCATCGCGCCCGGCGACTACCTCATGCGTGTCGAGATCCTCGCCCTGCACTCGGCCCACATGCAGAACGGCGCCCAGTTCTACATGTCGTGCGCGCAGATACGCGTCGGCGGCAGCGGCTCCTTTTCTGCCAGCCAGACAGTCAGCTTCCCCGGCGCCTACCAGCGCAACGATCCCAGCATCGTCATCAACATCTACGGCCTCGCTGGCCAGCCCGACAACGCTGGCAAGCCGTACAGCGCGCCCGGAAACGTCCCCGTCATCCAGTGTTAGATTGGAGAGGGGAAGAGCGAGATCTGTGGCCCCCTTTCGATAGCGATGCGCCACCGAGGGTGTCTGGGAAGCCAATTACGCCTCGGGCCGGTCGTGTATTACCTAGCTGTAGTTAACCAGCCGTAACCTTGAGAATTCCTGCCAACATGACAACCAGATGAAACGTTCTCATGACGAGCGGAGAAACTAGTCAGCCAAGGTGTATAGCGTCTCGATAGCTCTCTCCACCTCGCCACGGAACATGTAGGCGCTTACACTTCCCTGTTTGGTTAGGGTAGGCTTACACAGCTCCCCACGCTATTATACCTACCTTCCCTGTTCGTCGGACGGGGTATTGGATCGGTGACGGCAAATGCGTGATGATATGCGTTAAGGCTGAAATCCGCCGCAGTGCAACGGTCTCATCGAATCGGGATGGGAACCCGGTGGGGATCACAGACCGCTCGTCTTACGTGAGGGCATAACAATGCTCTACGTGTAATAGCTGTGGTATCTTGATGTGGCTCCATCCCTTATACAGCTGTGACTCGATCGTGGCTATTTTTACTCCAGACGGTGCAAGGAGCCTAACTCGAACTCGGATTCTGATGACCCATCAGATGCAGCCACATGGGGTAGGTCGTATGCGTGAACAAGGGGCAACGCGAAAGGGTAGCCGTCTCATACCAATCACCTTCGGGTTTCCACTAGGGGAGCCACTCGACAGGGAATATTTCCCTGGGTTGGCTGACCTTGTGTGATGTGGTCAAGCCATGTTAGGCCGTGCCGGGGTATGCGGCGGCATGAAATTCGCTCGTCGGAGTCTCGAGGTTTCTACACTTAGAGGTGGGTATTATAGCGAAGAAGTATAACAATAGACAGAAAGAACACTTACGAATACGCGGGAATATTTGCTTCACTCTGTTTCCAAAGTAGCTACAGGCGAAAGCAAGAGAGGTTCGTTTTAACATACCTACAACCATACGGCACGTGCCATAATGGCACCCTCAACCTTGCAACCGTCGACGAGTGGACTAAGCGTCGGTGCGGCCTCCGAGAAGGCGACGGACCTAGCCGAACAGAAGGAGATCGAGGCAATATGGAAGGAAGTCAATAACAAAGTCGTCGAGCTGGCTGGTGGAGACCCCACCAAGATCCAGAAGACTCTTGACATTGACGCCGTTCTCAAGTTCATCGATGGTGTCCAGGACTCAGACAAGGAGAAGTCGGAGAAGTTTGGCCTATTCAAGAAAATCGTTGGGAGAACTCTGCAGTGCATCAACACCGTTGGTGGACTGGTTGCAGAAGGCGCCTCAACAGTAAGTACCTCGCCGTGTGATCGGATCCGTGTGCTCGCCCCGACTAGGGCTCTCTCTCCCTAAGAGCATTTCTTGGTAGGGATGTCTTACTGAGAAGGGTCTAGGTATTTGCGCCGGCAGGGATGTGCTATAACGCACTCACTTTCGTCATACAAGCTTGGCAGGGTTACGAGGGTATCTTCGAGAACCTTGCCGAGCTCCTAGAAAAATGCGTCGAGTTTCTCGAGCGTCTCGAGTCGTACCAGGGGAGGATGGACTTCAGGCTCACGCGCGTCGCGTGCCAGAATCTCCGCCTGTTCGTCGAGATATGCGACCGCACCATCAAGTTGCGGCGAAAGCACAAGAGGTTTCTTGCCTTCACGAAGCAGCTCTTCCTGAACGACAACGGTATCCAGGACCTGCTGAGTATGATGGACCGGCTCAATGCGAAGGAGTCCTTGCTAGTCAACGCCCAGACCTACAGGATAGTGAGCGACAGTGCCGGAGACGTCAAGTTGATACTGGAAACCCAGAAGGAGCAGAAGAAAGAGGACGAGGCGAAGAAGTGGCGCCGGAAAATCGCCAAAACGCTCGGGTTCCCGGGCACGACGTTGGATGTGGACGGGGAACCGATTCCAACGTGGCAGAGGACGTTCGATTCCCGCAAGAACACGCTGGTTGGCGGAACGGGGGAGTGGTTGAAAGATGATCAGGTTTTCTGCCAGTGGGTGCAGTCGTCCTCCCTTAAAAGGTCAGCCGTCGTGCTAGAAGGCAAGAATGGCTCGGGGAAGACGTCTGCAATGGCCAATGCTCTGAGATGTGTTAGGAAAGGGGAACTAGCAGGGCCTACGTCTCGAACGGTCTCCGTTTACTTCTTTATGGACAGCGAGAAGAGGAAACCCGAGGACGAGGACACTAGTAGTATACTGGAGCTGGTATCGCGAATACTGCTTTGGCAGATCGCTACCTCCTATGAAGCGATGACGAAGTCCGTATACCAAATCATTGAGCGATCTCCCGACTTCGACGGCACGCTGGACCTCTGGCAGCAACTGTTTGTCAACAACAAGGAGAGAATGAATTCGGACACAACTTTCTTCTTGTTCGTTGACGGCCTGGACAAGACGCTGGTCGAGCTGTTCCGGAAATTGACCTCAGTCCCCGATGACAAAAAAGCCCGCGTTTTCTTAACGGCCAGGACGGATATTGTATCCGATTGGCTCGACCAAGACGGCGGCCTCGAGTACGATATAATTACACTCTCCGATCAGAACAACGACGATATTGATAAATACATCACGGATCGGATGGATAACATGCCTATTCTCAAGGATTCTAGCCGGCCTGGTATCGATGACTGGAGGAATAGGATTCTGGAGACTCTGCGAAGAAAATGTGACGGCGATTATTTCAAGCTGAATACGAGTCTCGATGCCCTTTCCAAGGTTGACCTCGTCGACGACATTAAAGAGGTGCTCAGGGACGCTGACAAGACTCGTACTGACCAAATTGACAGCGAGATCCGCCGCCTCAACAGGACGCGTACCGTTAAGGAGATCCAAGAAATCAACGAGATAATGCTGTGGGTCGAGACTGGCCGAAGCTGGTACTCAGTTGAAATAATGGAAGCTATTCTATCTGTCAAGTACCGGGCCAGAGATTTCCCAGATGCCCTTACTGCACCTCCAACGCTCACAAGGCGGAAGACCGGCGTGTCGGTTGCTGATGAGGGGGAGACCCAGGCTACACTAACGATATCGCTTCTCCCTTTTGCCCAGAAGCTCGCCGAAAAGTACCCCATATTCACCATTACGGACACGGGTTACGTCGACTGGCGATCTTCCGAAATCGTAGAACGGATTCCCGAGAAGGGCTCTCAGCAGGATGCCCTGTTCGATGTAGCCGCGTACGGTCAACAGGTTATTCAGGAGTCCGAGATTTCCATCGTTCGTCATTTCCTCAACAACGTCTGCCCCCCCGAGCTTTATGCCAGGTTTGGTTTCGAAGGGTTCTTTGATGCGATGCTTGGCGCTGGACGAAAGGACTACATATGCCTCGACAGCGACAATGCGAACATAAAAATCGCTCTTACCTGCTTAACCATCCTGACGGAAGAAGAGCTGCGGAGCAACAAGGTACTGCGCCAGTACTCGGTGAACTGGCTACTGGACCATCTGAAGGAAGTCGACCTGGCAATAGCGGACCGAGATCTCAAAGGCAGGATTGGACCACTCCTTGTCAAATTTCTCACAGAGGAATGTGGGATCGACTCTATGTTCTGGCCCTTCGATACCAACGTAAGCATGAACACCTGGGATCAGAATGAATACAAAACCCTGCATGAGGCGCGATGCGAATGGGTGTACTCCATGTCTGGCGTTCAAGAACTGTCCCGGTGGTTCCACGATTCCTCAGTGACCAAGCACATCACCGAAGAGCCGGGCGTTTCTCTTGTCGCAGCGGTGAAGGCGCCATCAGCCAACCTACATGAAGTGCTCTACTCATACGCGGCGAAGGAACTGGCGCATCATCTCTTCCGCCGCGTCGAGTTCACCCCTCGCCAATTTCTCAGCGCCTGTTGGTTCATACGCGGCTATTTATCACGGGTAAGCCATCGACGTCTACAAGTAAACTCCTCGCTAACATATCGGCTCAGATTGATCCGGAGAAGTCAAGCCGGATGCCGAGCGAGCCGGATCCGTATCGGGATGAGGACTCGGAAATGTTCGCGGAATACGAGGGACGGGAGTTCTCCCTCGATCACATAGCGATGATCGAGGCCTGGGCGGCGAAGGTGCTCGACAAGCAGAATGACTCACTGGTCGAGCAGGCCAGCTGGGAGATCCACGGAGCGCTCATCACCTTCCAGCTGTGCCCGTTTCAGCATGGTGCGGTCGAGATCTACCAAGCGCGCGCGCGCAAAACCGTCCAGCTCGACCCCAAGAATTGGCACGCGTGCCACTTCATCGCGAAGCAGCCGAACACGAGCTCCACCGAGGCTGTCGACCTGCTCTCGCGCGCCAAGAAGGCCATCGACGAGCTGCGCAAGGAGGACGAAGACTGGATTAAGGACCACGCCAACTCGTCGCTGCTCGCGCGCATCACGCTCGACCTCGGCGACCGGCTGTGGGACCAGGGCGAGGACGACGCGCGCGCGGCGAGCATCCACCGCGAGAGCCTCGACTACGACTACGTGCACTTCGTCAGCTACGTCGAGGTGCTGCTGCGGTACCGGGACCGCGAGGCGTGGGGCGAGCTCATCGCTTTCGTCGAGGCGCTCAATGCGGCGAGCGACAGCTGGGCCGCCTTCTTCGACGAGCTTGTTAACGAGTTCGTCTTCGACATCGTCCACGTCCGCGAGTCCGACATGCTCGCCCGCGCCGCCGACGCCACCGGCCGCTGGGACGTAGTCGAGAAGTTCTTCACCCTCGCCATCGGCGTCAGCCACGGCATCCACGAGGACACCCACGACCTGCTCTTCCTCGTCCGCGACGGCTTCGCCCGCACCCTCGCTTCCGCCGCCGACCCCGCTCGCCGCGACAAGGCCATGGCTATCCAGGAGACGGCGCTACAGGACATCCGCCCCACCCGCACCGAGAGCCTGTCGCGCCACGCCATCGAAGCCATGACGGACTCGCTCGCGCAGACGTACCTCGACCGCGCGTTCCGCGAGGGCGTGTCGGCCGAGGAGGCCGCCAAGTACGGCGACTCCCTCGCCGGCTTGCTGCCGGACATGGCCGACGTGGCCGACCTCTGGATGAACTCGGTCACGGCGTGCTGTCTGATCCGGTTCCACCACAAGCGCGGCAGCGGGCTGAAGCTGGCGCAGGACTGGACCCAGCACATCGTGCGCACGAGCATCGAGCTCCTGTCGGACGACGACGAGGAGAACGACGACATGGCCTACTGGATGTTCGCGCGGCTCACGAACACCGTCGACGACGTGCGCAACAACCGCATCACCTGGGCCCTCCGCAACATGGTCCAGTACAACGCGCTCCAGCGGTGGCAGAAGTGGGTCGACGCCGAGAAGGAGGCCGCCGCCGCCAACGGCGCCAACGGCGCCGAGGACGAGAGCAAAACCGCCGCCGCACCGCAGCCGCCCGACGGAGACCGCGAGGAGAAGGCGGGGGACGCGCCGGGCAAGCCGACGTGGTTCGTGAGCTGCGACGGGTGCGACCGGGAGTGGGCAGTGATGAGCGAGACGCTGCACTCGTGCGCGGACTGCGTCGGCGCGCTGCAGCTGTGCGCGGCGTGCCTGGAGAAGCTGCGCACGGGCGAGCTGGAGAAGAGCAAGCCCGACCTGCGGTGCCGCCCCCAGCACGAGTTCATCGAGGTGCCGTCCTGGGACCCGCGCCTCGTCGAGGGCATGCCCCGCGGCTACGTCCCGCTGCCGGACGGCGGCGCCGAGCGTTGGATCAGCATGGACCAGTGGAAGGCCGAGCTGAGGAAGAAGTACTTAGACGGGGATGCGAAAAAGTAGGATGCGAGGTAAGGAGGGGACAGGCGGCGTTGCGATGGCGGAGTGCCGAGTCGAGTCGGTCGGTAGGTATGTGGTACTAGAACTGTCAGTCGATACTGTTCAATATAGGGATTCAGAAATAGGCGTGTTCAGTGTAAATCCGGCCCCGGGCTCTACCAAAGGCCTATCCTCAGCTGAATTAACAGTTGCATCTCGACATTCGCTACACACAATTCTTTAGAATTTGGTCGTTCCCTAACTCTTCCGCAGATCGCCCGTCCCCGCCGCAGCACCCTCGTTCAGCGGCGGCACACTGACCACGATAGTTTCGTTCATCCCTGCGCCGCGGTACGCGTACGTGAAGGTCCAGCCCGAGCCCGCGCCGCCGTGCCGTCCCTGGCTGTCGACGACCACGATCCCGCTCTGCAACGCGGGGTACCGGCGCACCATGCGGCGCACCACGTCCGCGGCCGCCCTCTGCGGGTCCATCCCCAGCCTGAGGTTCTCCACCGCCTGGTAGCACGGCAGGAAGCGCATCATGATGTCGCCGTCGCCCGTGGCTCCGCAGCCGCCCACCTCCCCGTCGACGTACGACCCGCTGCCGGCGATGGGCCCGTCGCCCACGCGCCCCGGCACCTTGCGCCCCGCGCCGTTCGTCGACGTGCCCGCTGCCATGGCACCCGAGGCGTGCAGCGCGATCATGGAGATGGTGTCGTGGCCTTCCCTCGCCGTTCCCGACGGCTCTTCCCCGTATTCGTCTCCCGCCGACGGCGAGTACGGCCCGCACGAGGTCGCCGGGTCCGGCGTCACGCGTAGGCGGTAGTTGGGCTGGCAGGCGGCAGCGCGCCACCGCGCGCACGACGCGATCGACTCGGGCGTCGACAGGTCCTGAACCGCAAAGCCGTTGGATTCCGCGAAGTCGGTTGCGAGGTCGCCCGCCAGCAGAGAGTGCGTGGTGTGCTCGAGCACGGCTCGAGCGACGGAGACCGCGTCGCGGACGCGGCGCAGCGCGGCGACAGCGCCCGACTTCATGGTCGTTCCGTCCATGATCATAGCGTCAAGGGTAGTCTTGGTAGCCGGTTAATAACGGGAGGGGTGTAGTGAGAGGGGTGGACGGTGTCTCACCTCGCAGTTCTCGTCTGGAGATCCGCCGAACCCCACGCTCCCATCGCACTGATTTGCTTCGCAGGTGGAGCATCCAATCTCGACGGCGTCGAGGGCAGACGTCTCAGGCTGAAGGAGAGCGAGGTAAGCGGCGTCAGTCGCTGCTGTAAACGGCCCTCCCCACGTGTTGATCACCATGGGCAGGCCAGGCGAGTTGTTGCCCGTGTACGTGTCATTGGTGCTTCTAGCAAGAATAGATGTTGACAGCCACAGTATGATAGGGGCCACCGTGAACTCACGAAGAGGCGCCATGATAGCTGCGAGCGCAGCAAGAGAGACGATGAAAGGAAGGAGAAGATGCCGCAGCCGCCCCACGAACAGCCCGGTTTCTCTGCCTGAAGTCATGGCCGTTGCAACGTAGCGGCCGGGTGTAAAAGGCCGGCCACGTACATTCGTTCGGTTATCCGACGAACTTGGAACTCGATGCGCCCCAACAAGCCAAGCTTTCCCAGGTGCTTATCGCCTACAAGATGGCATCGTGTACGGAGTCGTGCTAACCTATCCCGGAAGCTAAGAAACGGAGGTTCCTGGATTCTTTCCCCGCATCGGACTCCCTTCATTTGTTTATCTTCCCCGTTCGGCTTGGCTATTATCTCAGCGGGTGCAGCAATTGCAACATCGTCCTCTCGCGCCCCGTGCAAGATGTACCGTATCGTCGCGTGTGGGTTCGGATAAGTCGCCGTCCTCCCCGCTAAGACCGTCAAGATTATACTGGCCTACGGGGCATTTAGGACGGGGGGGGGGGGGGGGGTTTTCTGAAGACGGCTCGCTTGAGGTGTAAGGAAGCACAATTTTGGTTGAGCCAACTGGTACATACGGTCGACATACCGCCTTTCCCACGCTGACATTACTATAGGTATACTGCACGTATATATGAATCAATTCGAATCATTTGCATATCGATGCGGCTTGGGTGTATATATCGATGTCGCGACTTAACCCGACATGTAGGTAATTGCAATCAGTCCAATTCAACGCTGGCAAGTGCTTCGTCGACAAAACGGTCGTCGCCTGGGGCGTCTGCGGATCCGGGCGTGTCCGGGGTCGACTCCTTGGATTCGACGCTCGCCCAGTCTACCGAGTCTTCACCGACTTCGCTCCTGCTGGCCTCGCTGTCGGTTTCGGGAGGGGTCTGCATCCCACGCTGTTCCACGTTGCGCTTCAGCATGCACATCTCGACAGAGACCCCGGGTCCGAACGCACACCCCACAACGTAGTTCCGAGCGCGACCGCCCGGGGCCATTTCATCCATCTCTTTGCTTCGTAGGCGGTCCATGACGCTAAACATGGTCGCCGAGCTCGAGTTCCCGTGATTCATGTATCGGTCGTAGCTAGCGCGCATGTGCTCCGGCGAAATACCCATCGCCTTCTCCGCTCCCGTCAAGATCGTTAAACCGCCCGGGTGCATCGCCCAATCGAAGTCGGGCGCTTCACGATATCCTGAAGGGAGTCCAGGAATGCTTCTTAATAGGTCGGCAAAACTTGGTCTGAGGGCCTGAGTCGCCAGAGTAGGGACGCGGGGTGAGAGCACGACCTTCCAGCCGACAGGGTCCACGTCAAACCCAAGATCGGCTTCGGTGTCTGGGATGATTCTGTGGTCCCATCCTAGCAGTTCGTAGATCGGTTCAACCGTGGGCAGTCCGATGCCATTGCTCAACACCAGGGCGCTGGCGCAGTCTGAAAATAAGCAGGCGCCGATGCGCGTTTCTTGTAGCTTGTCGATGCTATTTAGCTCGCTTCGTACCATGGTTGTGCTCACTTCGAGCGCAACGCAAAGAATCCTGGCGGACATCCCCCTCATCGAGTGGCCCAGAGCCAAATTAGCAGCAGTACGTAGAACGGCCAATCCGCCTGAGCAGCCGACACCATGCAGCAGGACCTTCTCGACCGGGTGCGTGATGCCTAAGCCTTTTGCTACGAAGTGGTCGAAGCCAGGATTCGCGCTATCCGTGCACGTCGTGGAAACTATGTGGGTTATTTGAGAGACATCCATCCGAGCTTCTGCCATGGCCGTCCTGGAAGCCTCAACAGCAAGCGGGACGCCATGTGACACGAACAGCCCGTGAAGCTCTGCTATCGAGGGGGCATCTGGCTTATTCACCAGGGGATGGTCAGACGTGCCGACAGACGACCGGGTGTCGATGCCAGTAAAGCGATTTATGGACAACACCCTCTCCATTCTAGATGTATCGTCAACGATCCGGGTGCCGTCCCCGACGATCTAGTAGGATTACTTACGCATGTGACTCGGGATAATACTTCGCGGCGAGCTTAGCCAGCTCGTCTGGTTTGAGGGAGTTGGGCGGATACTCGGCTCCCAGGCCGAGGATCGAGAGGCCTAGGCCCCTAAAGGTATTGGGCAACGCCATCCTGCGAATTCAGGAGGAGGCTACTCTTTACGAAGGCTCAGGCGGCACGCTATGGAGTGCGAACGAAGCTTCTATCGTCGGCTCTACTACAGCTTATACGTCTCGGCGATGGGACAAAGCAGCTTGAGAAACTGCTGGGTAGCTCCGATGAGGGTAGGCGGTGGGCACGGCTACGTAAGCACAAATTAAGCGAGGTCGACTTGTTCGGTGCCCCCTCGTGATATCGTCTCGACAAGTCCTGAGGATGCCGCGGCGGCGTATATATACAATAGGAAGGCAGCGAGTATAGAGAGCAAGCCCGACTAGCTGACGTCGAGTGAGGCTGTGTAGCGAACTTGGGTGAATAAGGAACGAAAGCCGTGGATTATGTAAAGAGAAGAAGGAGAGACGACGGACACCCAGCGACGGTTGCAGCGAGTGAGGGGACAGCATTCGACGCTCCAAGATGCCAAGCCGCCTAGACAGGATTCGCGGCGAGGAGACGAGAGGGAAGAGAAACGCAGGAAAAGCAGAAGAGACGACGCGGCCCAGGCGACTTTACTACGCAGCGCTTGGTCTGAAGCCAAGTTGCGCTTGCTCGAGGTACCTAAGTAACACGAGACTGTGAGAGCGACGAGGGAACGAACAGGGCAGTGTCGGGGCAAGTGTGGGTTGCTGCAGTGTTGCAGTGTTGCAGTGTTGCGGTGTTGCAGGTACCTGTAGGGCACAGCTTAGGTGCTTTCATAGAGGCTGGGGCTACCTAAGGTCTCTCTCTTGTTGTTCGGCTGGCGAGCCGCTAATCAGGGGTCTATGTACTTACATAGTACCTGGGCAATCCGTGACGCGCCCGCTGCCGAGCTGGGTATCTCTACGGTACCCGACTCACCTCTCGTTCAAGGAGGTATAGCGCCCGAAGCTATGAAACCATCATGATACACCGCCTAACGGCTGGCTGCCACACGCTGTCGCCCGCTGTCGCCCGCTACCACTCCAGCGCCCTTGGCACCCCTGCCACCCGCCGACTTGGGCCACGCTCGGGGCGAGCAGAGCAGGTACTTAATTTGCTCCCTGGGACCCTGTAAGGGGTGCGTCGGTAGGTAGAGGTAGGTAGGTACCCACGGCTCTCACTCAACAGTCAATGTGCCTATGCTGATATGTGAAGTACCTAGGCCGGTCCGAACAGGTCTACATGTACACGTAGAGACGTCGGCGGCGGGTTTTGGGGGTTTGCATAGCCAGATTCGGTATGTACGTCGTGCTCACTCGCAACACCACGTTGGAGGTGAGGCCTGGCTTCAGTGCGGAATAGGGGATGATAATAGAGGCTAGATGCTCCCCTGTCGAGCCCACTCCCGCGAGTCCGCTACTATCGCCGTCGGATTGGCTTGATTCCGCTGCAACGCCAGTACGTCCGCTAACTCCATTGGCCTGTCCTACTCCTCTCCTCTCAGTAGATGTGCGGTAGCTCTCTAGCTAGCCCCAGCGGACGCTTCCAGGAAAGTTTCCAGTTCGCAGTAATGCCCTTCTCCTAAGCACATGCCTATGCTAGGAGGTATTCTTCGGACATCTGAGTATGTGTAGGTACGCGAGGTTATGTGCCTTGGAGCTACACGCACCCCTGTCGGCTCGGGGCGTCGTCTGTCAGGGGTTGTTGGGATTTTACCTACATAGAGGTATGTACACCTCTTTGCTCCGTGAAGGGCGGATGGGAAATCGACGTTCCCTTCCCGATGGTTCTGCCTCTCAATCCTTTCTTGTTTTGGTCGTATCAATACCCGCCAGAGGGTCGATTTTAGGAGGTAAAAGATGTTGTTGTTTCCAAGCACCGAAGCAGGTACTTAGGTCCGCCCAGGGAGGTCGTGGCTAGAGGCACCTAAGATATTGTTGTCATTCTCCCCCTACCTGTTACACCGGTACCATGCATGGGGGCGGGAGACAGTTTGAAGTCGAGAAACACCTGATTATGTCACCCGGCTTCTGTCTGCGTACATGCGATAACCTGCCTGCCCGGACTATGAAGGCTTAGCTACCCTCTTCTCGTCGCGAACTTGTTCCCTCTTCGATACGACCTCAGCTCTCGAAGTGCAACCCACATTGCCGACTCGCCGAATCGAGCCGAGGCGACGCGCAATGATCTCAACAAAACTGCCGTTCGCTGCACATGCCCTCGTCGAGACCGCTGCCGCTCTGTCGTTCATCTTCCGTCCGGAAAAGCAGCTTCCGGCGTGCACCCCTGCGGCGAAGCTCATTCTACGCCAGTATGGCGGGCTGCTACTCGCAACTAACCTCGTATGCATCGTCATTCTCGCCCAACCTAGCCTTGGCGATAACACGATACGGCTACTCGCCGCCGCCTTGGGATCCTATCATCTTTGGCCATGCTATCGAGCCTACATCCGCATTGCTTACCAAGTTGACGCGCAAGAGCAGACGCAACCCGCATTAGGCGGCCCGTCTGTGCATCTGGTGGTGCACCTGTTATGCCTAGCCATGTTCGTACGCACCGTCCTCTCGTGAAGGTCCCACTGAGACCATTCGATTATCGCGGGGCGGGCGCTATTCTAGATCTTTACGTCCTATCTTCGACCACCGAGGCTCGGGGGTGGGAACACGACGTCGGACGGGAAGGTGATCGCGCGTGACACCCCTTCACCTCGTTCCTAGCTTGAAAGCCGATGGGCATGATTCATGTCACGTACCTGATGAAAGTGCGATAAGTCTAGGTATTTCTTCAGCAGGGATATGGACGCGTTATCATTTCGGAGTAGCTGGCTACGTGCTGGCTACGTGCTGGCTACGTGGCGGCTACGTGACTAATTACCTACGACTACTAAGCACCGTTGGCCTTGGCCTCCCGTTCTTTCAGCACCTTGCGCACGCCCGGCAGCACGTATCGACCATAGTCTATCGCGTCGTTGAGGTTGTCGTACCCACGGATGGAGATGAGCTCGCATCCAAGGTCGACGTAGTCGACGATCGAGTCGACGATCGTCTGCACAGACCCCACCAGCGCCGTCGACGCGCCGCGCGCGTTCGTCGCCGTCACCGTCGGGTACCACAGCGCACGGTCCTGTACCTCGCCGCGCTTCGCGATCTCCAGCAGCCGCTGCGAGCCGACGTTCTGCGGCGGCGGCGCGTCCGTCGGCACCCGGCCCTTGCCTTCGGCGCGGTTCCCCTTAAGCGCGTCGAGCGTGCGGTGCGCTTTGGCCCACGCGAGCTCGTCCGTCTCGGCCAGGATGGGCCGGAATGTCACCCAGATGCGCGGGCGGTCGGTCGGGGCCCGCCCGGCCTTGTCTGCGGCCGCGTAGATGCGGTCGATCTGGTCCTTGGTCTCCTTGAGGGGCTCGCCCCAGAGCCCGAAGATATCGGCGAGCGAGCCGCCGATGCGGTACGCGTCGTCGGATGAGCCGCCCACCGACACGGGTATTGACTTGCCGTTGACGGGGCGGACGCGGTTCGTGAACTGCTTGAACTGGTAATACTTGCCATCCCAGTCGAACGGGTCTGCCGACTGCCACGCCCGCTTCAGGATCTTGATGTACTCCTCGAGTCGTGCGTAGCGTTCCTCCTTGTTCAGGAAGTCGCCTTCGCGCGCCTGCTCGACGTCGCTGCCTCCGGCGATGAAGTGCACGACGGCGCGACCACGGCTGAGCTGGTCGAGCGTGGCGAGCGCCTTGGCGGCAACGGTGGGGTACAGCGTGTTCGGCCGCAGGGCGATGATGATCTTGATATTCTTAGTCACGGAAGCGATGGTGGCGCCGACGGTGAAGGGGTCAAAATATGACGAGTCATAGGGCACGAGGGTGTAGTTGAAGGCATAGTCATCCAGATTCCGGGCGTACCGGACGAGGAAGTCCGGGTCTATGGCCGTTTCGGGGAGCGGGTCCAGCTCCGTCGAAGGAGAGGGGAAGGTTAGGCTAATGAATTCCGTCGGCATTTTGGCGCTTTTTTCTCTTTTCCCCCGTGGTGACAGTCACGTCCGTCTGAGCCGCTATTTGTTTTACAGAAATTTGGCCAGCGCTAGGAATGCCGCCGGTCATCGTTATATACAGACGTCGGAGGCGTGACGTCGATGGCGACAACTTATCGAGAATCACGCAATATCGATTGGGCCGGTGCCGGCCGCATACATCCCTCCATCCTTCACCCGCCGCACCATGGCCTAGTATATACTACGAACACATCTACCGGTATATCTCGAGTCCGCCACTGGACTTGTTCGACATAGTTGATAATGTCTATTTATCATAAGCTCTGTCGCCGACTGCAAGAACCCGGTCCCTCATCCGCAGACAGCAAAACCCTCCATTCTCCAGACTATCCACCGAATAACTGAAATTATCACCGCGGCGCACTTCTAAACAAAAACCTCGCAACGGTATCCGATGGGCCGTGGGCTGTTTGACAAGGGAAAATACGTAAAATGGCACGATTTATAATCATCAAGCCATTCCCCATATCAATTATCTCGTCGCCAGCTCCCCCCTTTCCCCTCCACTACCCCTGAACGGTGAAAGGGCTGTCGCCGCTGACGGAGGAAAGGAGTTACGGTAACACCTCCTTGTCCTGTTATAGGACCTGCCCCCAGTCGCGTGCGGGGTCGGTTTAGCTTGCGAATCTGAAGTCGAGCCGCTTGCTCCCTTCATCTTTAGTATTCTCGCGATAGTCATTCTGCTCCTGCGAGCGCCATTAGCACAATATTCCGTGCACGCACGCCATTATGTCGGAACGAAGATCCGGGGGGGGGAGGCTTTTCGTCAGCGCGGCGCGCGACGGCTTCGGCCCCATGCCCCCCCCTCCTCCTCCTCCTCTAAACGGCTTACCTCCGGTGTCATCGCGTCCCATATCTTCTCTCTGCGCTTGTTTGCGTAGACGTAGTAGAACTTGGCGGCGAGATATACGAAAAAGTTCGCACAGTTGATTCCGAGAAGCACTTTATTACCCCGACGGTCTAGATCGCATAAGCAACGTGTCTGCACTCCACCTCCCAGCAGAGAAGAGTAGCTACCGAGGGATGTACGAACACAGTGGCTTGTCATCGTCGCGATAGATGTTGGCGCTTATGATGGATTGTAATTGCACCGAGATGCTGTGTCCAGCGTCAGTTATACCGCGCACCCCCCGACGCGGAGCAAGGTGTAGAAACGCACTTATACGCGGCGGCAGAAACAGTTCTAGTACGAACAGTATTCGAATTTCTGCTCGCCCATCCGACCTGCATCGGGTGCGCTACGACACGAAATGTCAGCGAAAGTGGACAGACCAAACTTTGAGGCCGTCACCCGGCCGGTGGGCTTACGGGTCGGGTATGACAACAGAACCGTCAATAGCGCATACGTGCCCCAACGTGACGTGTCTGCCGGTAGCAATACTAGAGCTATAATGCACGGAAGATACCAAAATTGCGTGAATATACCGGTGTACGCTCGCTGGTCGACAAGCTCAGAGATGTAAGTCAGGATCAACATCTGCCACTTTGTCAGCATATGGGCGCGCAAGGGAGGGGCCAAGTCCTCTTGTATCTGCATTTCTCGCTTGTATGCCCTACATTGACAGTGGTCATGACCTGCGCCGGGATGCTGAGCAGGTTCGAGTTGAACGTATCGAAGCCGAGGGCGCGCAGCGTAAGCGTGAGGTAGCGCTCAGGGGGTCCAGGCGGGATGCCGAAGGTCAGACCGATGGCGTAGATAGGCCAGATGTCGTAGTCGGCGAGGGACTTCCACAGCATGGCGAGAGTGATGCCTTGGCGGTTGTGCATGTCGCCCTTAGACGGATCGTCGCGTAGGATCCGATTGACGAGGATCCCTTCCTCGCGCTCCGTGAACCACCCCCGCGGCCGGTACCACGCCCGCGTCTGCGTCGGCGATGGCGCCATCATAAACCACGACCAGATTCCGATGACGAGCGTAAGGATTCCCTCGATAAGAAACCTGTTTCGGATGGCCGCGCGCCGAGCGTGAGCATCACTTTTCATTACTGAAAATGCGAACGAGGGAAATGAATTGAAGAGGTCTCAGGGATTCGTAAGACTAGAAAGGTGAAATCCCGACCTACAGCCAGCGCCAACCCTCATACCCATGATAGCCTCTGAGCCTCAGGAGCCCGTAGGCGAGCAAAGGAGCGATTACATCCGTCAGCCGGTTCGCCATCCAGAATAAGGCCAGACGAAAGGGCAACTCAGTGCCCTTGTAGAAATACGACTGCAAGGGCGTGGTCAATACCCGACTCTTAAAACCGGAGGCATAAGAGGGGCTTCCTTACCAGGTAGAGAATCAGGTCCGGGATAAACCCGCCTTGTAGAAGGCCCAGTAGGGCACGGCAAGCGAGGAACGACGATCGACTGCGCATAAAAAACTGGAAGCTTGCGACGAGGCTCCAGAGGATCATCTGAATCGGTATCTGCGTCACATTAATATTCGAAGCCTACCGGTACATTTTAGAGATACTAAATGAGTGAGAAAGGAAGGAGTATTACATACCCAACGATCTGGACCGATTTTCTTGCTTACCAACTGAGAGGGGAGCTCGGCCAGCAGGAAAGATACGGTGAACACCGTGTTGCCATAGTTGTAATCTAAAAAGGCGGTGCGTGAGATCCCACTGCTATCATAACCTATCCGGGGCTGTGGCCCTCACCATTAGTTGTGAAGCCCATGTCATCGAGGAAGTTGTCCGTGTTCGCTTGGCTAAGGTTGCTCCGATCCAAATCCAGGGCGAAGAAGGCGATGCAGGCCCAGGCGGTGACTTTCCAGTCGATCCTCCGAACTAGTATCTGTTGTGAGCGAGTCAGCTGCTCGGTATTTTATACAAACGGCTTGCTGCTGTCACCCGTCTTCTTCCACCGAACAGAGTTCAACTCAAGTTGTAGACGGTGGGTACCTCTTCTTCCCGCCACGTCCATCTCAGGGACGGTTCGAATCGGTGGAGATTCTCATACTTGGGGTTCGGCTTGAACTGATGTGCTCTGGTAGGGTCGTCGAAGACTGATGGCTGGGTAGCGATTTCATCCGGCCTGTGTCTGTCTCTCCGCTTGAAGAAACTAAGAATCGGATGTTCAGGGCGAGCGCTGTCTTCTCTGGTTGCCACGGCGGACGTCTTCGTTTGCTGCTTCTCTTGGTCCGCATCCTTGAGCCCGTCGCTAGACGAATTGTCTAGTCTTGAAGCTTCATTGACCGTGATTATATCACGCTTAGTCGCCATCTTGTCGTCCTATACTTGGTCGGACCCGGCCCGAACCAGTTAATGACTTCACATCTGCCGATACCGAGAAGAAAGCGGCTCGCGCTACACCCATCGTATTTATTGGCCGGTCAAGCTCCTCTCATTGATCCATCGCCATTGCGGTAACACTTGACGATCGTTTATCTTTGCCAGCGGATGCCCATCTTGCGTGCTCCGCACGCACCGTTACCTGGAGCGATAAGTATACTAGATCTTATACTATCTCCGCGACAGGTGACGAAAGAACGTAACAGTAGACGGGCCAACTCAACAAACGAGATCGAAGCATTTGCAAATCTAGGCAATCAGAGAGGAAAGCCCGGTCTTGGCTGTATCTCGCGTGCTCACAAGCGTTGAGCTTGTTGGAGAAGATACTGGGATAGTTGGTATCGCACCATCCGCGGGAGGTATGATGAATGTGCGGGGAGCAACTTGACTCTTGATAACGCCGTCGACGGCCTATAACGTCGATCCTAGATAAATAACCGACAGGGAGACCACCTAGGAAACAGGGATCTCTGCTTCCCAAGTTGAATTACAACTCTCCGTGATACATCATGGCCCCCTCAGTCGCTGCTGAATTGCCAAGCCGAGATGAGCTGGCCGCTCGGGCAGAAAAGAAAATCAGTCGTGCCTACGACGAAGGCCAACACGCAGCAGTAAGTGAGGATGCATTATACGAAGGCGGGGGTTGTCACAGAACACGCGCACTGAAGCGAGTTCTGTAGTACAAATATACTGCCTACCTGCCAGTATACGATGAGGTAACCAAGTTCCCTCCGACGGAGCCGTTCGAGTTCGTAGACCGGGGCCTCGCCGCCGACAAAGCGAAGCCCCATCTGCTCGGGTTGAAGGACCCGAACGTAAAGATCACGAAGCTCACGCCGCGGGTCGGCACCGAGATCACGGGCCTGCAGCTCTCCGAGTTGACCGACGAGCAGAAGAACGAGCTCGCTCTGTTGATAGCTGAGCGGGGCGTTGTCGTCTTCCGCGGTCAGAACTTCAAAGACATTGGTGTCGAGAAGCAAAAGGAGTTCGGGTCCTACTTCGGGCGTCTCCACGTCCACGTTAGTTACTATCTCTCTTTTTTCCTTCCCTCTACCTCTACCTCGTCATCGCTGACCGTAGGAATGTACCCGCGCCACTCTCTCTCTAGCCCGTGGGATCTCACGTCGACGGCGCCATCGAGTTCCACAACATCTACCTAGGGCCGGACAACCTGTACCGGGCGCAGTTCCGGTCGGACCGGCTAACCACGACGGGCTATCACTCAGATGTGTCGTACGAGCACCAGCCACCCGGCATCACGCTGCTAACGCTGCTCGCGGTGCCCACAACCGGCGGCGACACCGCCTGGGTCTCCCAGGTTGCTGCCTACGAGCGCCTCTCTGACCCCATCAAAACCCTGCTCGAGGGCCTGCGCGCTGAGCACAGCGGGTTCCCCCAGGCTGACCGGGCGACACGCGACGGCAAGTTCGTCCGCCGTGATCCCGTCACATCGTACCACCCCATCGTCCGAGTGCACCCGGTGAGCAGCCGAGACTCCTCCTCCTCTCCCTCCCCTTTAGCCGAGTACACCGCTAACCTGACCCCCAAGGTGACCGGCGAGAAAGCACTCTTTATCAACCCAGGATTCACGAAGCGCATTATCGGGCTGAAGCAAGAAGAGTCCGACGCCCTGCTGCAGCTCCTCTTCAAGGTTTGTCGCTACTCCGTCCCACCCCCTCTAGCCTACCAACCACTAGCTGGCCCAGTCCCCCGTTACAAAATCCTCGCTAACGCCGCCCGCCTCAGCACATCTCCCAGAGCGCTGACCTCCAGGTCCGCGTGAAGTGGGACGACGAGACGGTCTCGCTCTGGGACAACCGCGTGACGGCGCACACCGCCATCTCTGACTACGACGTCAACGTCGCGGCTGAGGGCCTGCGCCACGGCTTCCGCATCACGACGCTGGCGGAGCGCCCCGTCGGCGTCAACGGGTTGGAGACGGTCTGGTGAAGGATAGAGAGAGATGTTGCGGGAGGGGGAGGGGATTGTTGGTCGGATTCGGGATGAGAACCAGTGTGGTGGAACAGGCCGGGCCACGGTGATTTATTAAGCGTGAATTAGGCACACCTACGCACCGAGAAGAACTGCTAGATTCGGGCACCCTTAGTCGAACTTATACGCCCTATGACTGCTTAAGGCACCCCGTCTCGATTTCTCTTAGGAAGGGTGCTCCGTTACGACACGCAGTTCGCACGATCTCGAGAACATGCTAGACACTCTCCGGTATTGCCTAGTTTACATAAGTACTGTAAGTGCGGGATCCCCTATGCTTGTCCGTGGATGCCTCCCGCCAAGCCCCTGATCTTCAGCTCCCACAAGCCCATCATGTCCTCCGCTTCTTCGTTCGCGAAGCCGAAGCCGAAGCCGTCGTACTCCTCTCACATTGCGCTCGCGTCGGGAGGCTCGTTGTTGAACGGGATCGGCTGGTAGCTAGGGACGATCGACGCAGCCGCACCAGCAGACTTGTATGCATGGAGATCTGCAGGCAGATGGGCAAGTTATGGCGGGTACATGGACTAGACCGGAAGCGCTGATACCACGTACCTACGCCTCAGCGCCCACTCAGCGCGTCCATCATGTCCCCGAGGCCTAAGTAGAGCAGCTTACGGACCTTGCGCGGGCCCTCCGCGGCGGCCAGCGTGTGCTTGAGTCGCCTACGCGTCTCGCTCTAGCCCCAGCGCCTCTTGGCATCAAGGAGGCGCGCCTCGATAGGCGTATTCGACAGCCGAGGGTATTATTACGTACGGGATCTAGGGGTGTGCCCATGCAACCGAGTAGGGGCAAATATGCCTTGCCATCACCATTAGATGGAAATGCGGATTCCCCAGCAAATAAATACCGGTCATCGTGAAACTTGACAACTGGAAACCTGCGTTTAGACCTTCATTAGTTGGATTAGGTGCTAGGAGACAAGTTTCCGCGCGTAGGAATGGTCTGGAGATGCCTTGGATTGTGTACGAGAACGGCCGCCCCGTTAATGTGGCGAAGGGCAAACGTCAGTTCGGAACGGGAACGAGATAGTTGCTCCCCAAACCCGGTGAGGTCGCGGGCAACCCAGAGTTTTACGCCGGAGTCATAGAGCTGCTAGAATGCCTGGTCCTCCTCGTCGTGAACATGATTCCCGGAAAGGGGCAAGGGGTTGGGAAGGAGATTTCACTCGTCCCGCCCCATTGCTTTGAAAGGGGGGCGAGTTTCGGAGGCGCTAGAAGCTTTATAAATACATAAGCCCTAAGTAGCGCTAAAAATATCGAATGTAGGAGTATTTTTCAACTACATCCAGAAGAAGAGAACGGTGATTTCCTTGGTTAATTATACGAATAACCGGCGAGGCCAGGTTGCTCCTGGGAATATTGTAGGATAACAAGTGAGCATGAGATAATCGAGCATAAATACGTGCTAGAGTAGACGCAGTTGTGAACTCATTCCCTCGTCCCACATGGATCTCTACCACGTCTCCGGCCCAAAGGTTTCACCCTCAGACACCGTCTTCAACCAACTTGAATAAGAAGCGTCCTAGATATATCTGTAAGTACTTCTGCATATACCGGTAACGGCAGCCATCGGAATCGTGTCTTGACTTACGACTGTGTTGAACACGTCAACGTTTCCCCACCATTGAGGAATAGTAACGCCGGGAAGGGTGATAGCGAAGAAGATGATGATAGTGGACAAGATGAGTCCCGCATCAAGAGCAGCCGCGGTCACGTAGTTGTACGTGCGCCACCACCCGTTAAACCTCCTCCGTATGCCGTAGTTGAATACCAACCCGAAGATTGCCCACGACGAGAAGCTGAGAGGCGTAGCCGGTGGCAGCCACCCCATAGCCCCAAACATTACCGGCGCATTTAAATGGCGTACGAACCCAACCCGCATCTTCCGAGCCAAGATCCATAGTAACAGGGGCAGGCCAGCTCCAATAAGCCAAAACCAGTTGAAGTTCACATACATTGACCCAGGCCCGAACATGCGACGGGGCCCGAGGACACCCCATACGATGGACGACGAAAAGAATGCCCGGCCGTTCGGGCAGCTGAAGTGACTCACTTGGTTGCTTTGAGAACTACGAGTTAGTCCAGCGTGAGTAGCTAATAGTGTGAAGTAGCTTACTTGGAACAAACGTCAGGGATATTTCCCAATGTCCAGTTCATGACAGCGATTTGCACAAACACCGCCCAGATACTCGCTACCACTTGACACCAAAAGGTAACCTTGGGGGGGATTTTCATATAATGGCCCAACTTCAGGTCGGCGCTCTGCATAGCATCAGTTATCCGAAAATGGACTTGCACAATGGAGTTGCCCCTCCCCATGAGCTCGGGTCAGGGGTAATCGCTTTTGCAGGGAGGCGGCGCAAAGCTGAGCAGAGGAGACGGAGGAGGAAAGTGAGATGAACTACACATACTGCCGATTCGTTAGCTCCTGTGTAAAAAGGGTAGGTAGCGTCCCGCATACCATATGTCTGAGCCTGTCCTAACGTAATTGTGCTGAAGACTTTGAATATCATCACGCCTATCGGACGGCCAGGGAAGATAAGTCCAGCTATGAAGGGAGAGAGGACATTCAAGGATAACAGAATGTTCGACACAGCCATCACCATGCACGTGGGGATCACGAACACGAACGCCAGGACGATGGATACGAAGAATCCCCACCAAGGAAGTTGCGAGTCGTAGCCCAAGACAGTGCCCAGACCGAGCGCGATGGAGACGAGAAGAAGTGCGAAATACCACCATTCGGGGCACTCCGTGTACCTCTTCATCAGCATGAGGTGTATGTCGGGCTCCTGGTTGCGAGCAGTCTTGAAGCGGTACCATATCTCCTTGCCGTTGAAGAGAGAGATGTGGACGAGTGACGCAGTCAAGGCCGCAAAAGAAAGGCCGTAATTCAGAGCCAGGGTCGGGGACAAGAATAGCGGAGAGTAGGCCCGGAACTTATCTACGTCGAGGGTAAAACTATCTCCGAGGACTCGCGAGACGGTGAAAGGTTTCTGGGTGTTGTCGTAAACCTGAGAGGTAACGAGGGGAAGATACTCGGCATAGCTGCGGGTACATTAGGAACTCCACGTTATTGTACCTACGCGATGATAAACGAGCCATAAAGCAGAGTTGGTCTCTAGTAGGATGGTGGTAACTTACATGGCCCCCGAGTACGTAATTCCGATCGTAGTTATGATGACAAAAATGAAGAGACCGAGTAACGTATTCACGTGGGAGTGTGTCGGGGCCAGCAGAGGATCTTGCAGGTATGCGGAAACGTAGGTCCAGTCGAACGTGATGGGGAGAAGGGAGAGTCCCGTGAAGCCACCAAAGAGCTGATTGAGCACAACATTATCGGGTCTGATCCAAGTGACAAACGCGAATACAGAGAGGCCTTGCCAGAGAACGGCTGGGATCCAGTAATAGCAGAACATGGCGGTCATCACGATGAAAAAATACCGGTAACGGCTAATGACCCATCCATTGGACTGTGCCCCATCGCTTTTGCTCTTGTCGTGAAGCGCATAAAAGAGCGAGGTGTACGAAAACTGGTTAGGCCACATCATCGCCGAAGGCCAGACCAGAAACCGTCTAAACATGCCGGACAGGGATATGCCGATGAGTTGCGAGCTCAGGGTAAATATCAAGGCAAAGCCCCATCCTAGGTTGACGTCGTAGAATGGCTTTCCCTGGAGCGCGAGTAGAGCATCGGTGGAGTAGGCATATGAGATGGATACGTTCGACATGAGGGTGACGACGACGTGCTCCTTAATAGTAAATGGGCCAGTGTTTAATGTCCACGCCAACCCTAAGATATTGAACTTCCTCGTGGGCATAACCTTGGCCCAAAGACATCCAATGGGATAAACTAGTAGTACCACCACTAAGGCCGGGAAGTTCACAGCAGGGCTTCGCATGCTCAGCAGCATATTCAGTCCGCTGCCAAGGGTGACGAATATCATGCCCAGTATCCACGCCCTGACGGTGCAGGCGACCTCCCTGCCATCGGTATTGCGCACGGCGGCACGAACTTCTTCGTAGGGCGAGTCCTCGGTGAAAATCGGTTCGGCTGCGGCAATATCTGTGGCGTCTCCATGTTCGAGTGCTGACTCGACAGCATCGAGCTTCTCTTGGGGAAGGTTAGGGTCCCATTGATGGGCGTGTCGAATCTGGGCCAGGTCCGCGATTGCAGTTGAGACATCAACGCGACCGCATTTCTCATCGTACGAATTCCCGGACGATATTTCAGTGACGGCCGGATCGGGGCTGGTTTTGGCCGACATTCCTATAGAAGCAGAAGCCGACTCGTTGAACGGATACTTCATGATGGGGGATACGGCCAGGCAGAGTCCGTAATCGCGGCAGAGACCCGGATCACCCTCCACCGTGCCATATCCGAGAAGGGGGACGAGTGAGTTTTATCTCCTCCTGCTCGGAGGGATAGATAGCCTTCACCTGTCCCACGTCCGATAACCGCCTATCGAGACTCTCGACGGGCTGAAGAATTGGTAACGCCACCGGCATATCTTAAGTTGCTCCCCGCGTCTTTCACCCTCCCTTGCGTCGGCTGCATACGTGTGGTACCTATGTGTGGTACGTGTGGCTATCGACCTTCCCAGTCTGATAGAAGCGTCTCTGCGTACCAGACGAGTTACATCGCCGAATAGCTTAAATAGGGTGAATCGGCCTTCCACGGGTAAACAAGCATTCGGACCTACTGCCAAGATTCGGCAGCTTTAAACCGACCCTGGCCAAGGAAGATGGTGATAGGGGAGAACCAGAGCCCGTCGGTTATCAATACCCACTTCCCCAGGTTGTCCCAGTCGCGGAGATAAGCCACACTCATATGCGTGTGTATGGATATGTGGTCGATAAGCAAGAGACATGCAGGGGTGAAAGGAGGCACTGGTGTGTTAGGAAAGATAACGAAGAGACAAGTATGGATCGCTGTCCTAGTAGGGTTGGTTGCGAAGCACTACCTACGTATCTTAACCGTCGCGGCTAGGTAGCCTGCACGAGTACCGAGCTTGGGATGCATTCCACGGCGGAAAACCACGTCTTTCACTCGTTCAATGACTAGGAGCACATACCCATATACTCGCAGGAGATTGTGAACGCCGAGGGGTAGAAAACGGCCGGGTGACCTAGGTGCTAAGTAGCGAGTGAGGACGACAGTATCCATCAGAGGCATATTCCCACGACTCCACCCGGGGTAGAAGCGAATCCAGCAATTGGGACTAGTAACCAGAGTGACGAGAGAGGAACAAACGGGGACAGGAATTCGTTGAAAAGCGCACGTCTGTTGAGCTGGTTAAGGGAGGTCGACGATGTGATTGGACCCCTGGTTGTCTGTATCTGTCTCGCCGCAGCCAAGCATACATAGGTAGGTAGTGGGTATATGAATCTGACGCCCGCCTGTAATTTTGACACGGCCATCCGGAGCCTCCTCTCGTCGCCTATTTATCAGCTCTCGCCTCCGGTCATTCCTCCCGCAAGGGGAAGACAGAACAATGGCGCAGAATCATCCGAGAAACCACGTCGTTTTCGCACCGTCGCAGGAGCCCCACCGTGGTATCAAGTCCGTCTTCTTGGCCGGCACGACGACGAGGACAGACGACCGAGACTGGCGCGAGGTCCTGGCGGAATCGCTCGCAGACTTACCCCTTACCATCATCAACCCGTACCGGGCGGATTGGGACAAGAGCTGGCGCGAAGACGCAGCCTGTGCGCCCTTTCGCGAGCAGGTGGAATGGGAACTGGAGATGCAAGAAAAGGCCGATATAGTGGTTTTTCACTTTCACCCGGCCACCGAGGCACCCATCAGCCTGCTAGAGCTAGGTCTCTGCGCGAGGACAGGGAAGGCTATCGTAGTAGCACCCGAGGGATACACCAAGCGGGGAAACGTACAGATCGTATGCCAGAAGCACGGGCTGGAGATGGTGGGAAGCATCAACGCTTTGAAGGAAGCCATAGCGAAGAGACTGCCCGCCGACTCTCCGTGACGACAGCAATATCGGGTGATGGAAAGAAAAGTATCGTGCCTTGTAGGTATTCGGTGCTCAGGCGACGCGAGGGGCGGCTTATCGATAGGTACATAGGTAGTAGGCACCTACCTAAGCGATATTACAATATTGGATAGTCTATGTGTGCGTTTTGGCAAGGCTCGCTTACGTTACTTCATAATTACTTAGTTATTTAAAGGTATACGAAACGTTATAAACTAAACCTAACTACAAATTTATTAAGAGGAGATTCTAAGTTCTGGAATTACAAAATAATTAGCTTTTATAAAGCTTGATTTATAAGTAAATAAATAAGCCTCCTTTTAGGTAAATAGGTAATCATTATAAGAGTCTTTAACTATAAATAGGTAAGCGTTGCAAGAGTCCTTTACTGATTAATTAGATGCCTTAGGATTCACATATACACCTTGCAGCGACCTAACTTCACGGTATTGCATAAGCGGGCGGGGCAAGGGTATACCTACTCGGGCGGCGTCACAAGGTTACGAGTAGACAAGTAACACTAGTACCTATGATAATATGCCTGAGCCGCGTTAGCTACGTAACCTCGATAACCCACCTCACCTTGTCTCGGAACGCGGGGTTTAAGGGAGAAGCAAAGTGGCCGGGTTTTCTCCGCCTGAACTCCCCCTCCTGTTCTTCCACCATACAGCATCTTCTCTGCTTCGAGTCCCTGTCCTATCTCCATGCCTCCATTCCATCCCCATTGGACACTTAGGCTCCTCCCTCGACACGGTACGTCGTTATCGTCTGCTCTGCAGTAGGTCAGCCAGTCAGCCAGTGCGTCCGCTGCTTACATACGAAGGGAGACAGTCTCTTACCGTTATACCATCCCTCCCTTGACTCGGACTCGGATCTGTACCTATATCGACCACATGTGGACGCGTGAACGGACATTCCAATATTCACCCACGTGCCCACATCACATACCTACACTAGCCGGGCCTTGCGAACACCTGTTCCTTGCATGAATTTACTTACACAATTTCCTCTCGTCGTATCTTCTCTCTCGGTAGTATCCTCCGCACTCACCTTAGCACCTCAACTACGGCATCTGAGCACCGACAGTCATCGCTTTTTGGATAGGAAAAAGTTGCCCGTCATGGACGACCAATTCAACGGCCGGACCGACGACGACTTGTTCGCGGATGACTTTGAGCCCGTGATCGCCCAGCCGCCGGCCCACCGTGTCGAAAACCCCGCCGCACCCGCGATCGACGAGAGTCAACAGCCCACGCCCTCTGCACAGGTCCAATCGGCCACTACGCCAAGTATACCGCCGTCCCTAGCCCAATCGCGCCACGCAAAGCCGTCGCCGCATCACCAATCGCAGCGCCCACGCAAGCACTCTCCGAAGCCTGCCGCCGCCACGGGGGCGGGGACGGGGGCGGGGGCGGGGGCCGCTTCGACAGCGACGATAGCATCAACAACCGTAGCTACAGCAGCGAACGGCGGGTCCTCTGAGCCATCTCACGACGCCCCCTCCGTCAGTGTCGGCAGTACCAACAACGGTGACGCCCGACCTCCTAGACATCCGCATCCGCATCCGCAGCAGCAGCGCGCATCGCCCGCGGTGGGGACCGGAGCACCAGGTCAGAACACGGCGTCGGTGGACCGTCTGGCGTCGGGTGCGAACCCGCGGACGAAGCCGACCGACGCGGAGCTCGCGGCCAAGATGGAGCAGATGCGGCTGCTGGCGGCCGAGAAGACTCGGCGCTTCGAGCAAGCGGAGCGCGACAGCCGGTCGCACGCTATCGCGTACGAGAAGGGCATGGAGGAGGCCCGCCGCCGCCGTGCCGAGGAGGCCGAGCGTAGACGCCGCGGCGACGAGGAACGCCGTCGTATGGACGAGGAGCGCGCCGCTAACCGCGAGCGCAAGCTGCGCGCTATGGGGGCCCGGGAAGGTGGCGCCAGCGGCGCTGGCAGCTGGGACGAGGGCAAGACGCTCGACGACGAGCGCGACCGCCGCGCCGGCTTCCGCGGCGTGAACGGCGGCGTGCGCGGGGCCCGCAGCGCCGGATCCTCGCTGGCGAGCAGCCGGTTCGCCGAGAGCGACGATTTCGTGCCGCGGGAGTTCGGGCCCGACGATTTCCGGGGACGTGGACGCGGGCGCGGGCGCGGACGCGGTAGGGGAGACCCGACTCGGGGAGGCGGAAGAGGTGGCCGAGGAGGAGGGAGCTTTTACCAGGACGGCGACAGGGGCAGGCCGGCGCAAAACGGCGCGGCCCACCCCCAGCAACAGCATAAGGGGCCCGCTCAAGCTCCACCGACCATCGAGGACTTCCCTGCCCTACCGACGCCCGCCGCCGGGTCCAAGAAACCGGATACGAGTAACAATACAGTCATCGACACGGCCCTGGCCGATCCCCTCGCCGGGCTGAACTCGCCGCCCATCGGGAAGTGGGACGACGAGATGGCCGCGCTCGACGCCACCAAGACCGCCGCCTAGCCAACGTCCTGACCTTGCCTTTTTTTCCTTGATTTTGTTCCCCTCTGACGGTCTGTCCTGGGTTTGGGGCACTCATTGGAGCTTGACGTGGCAGTCTTAAGAGATCTACGAAAGTACGACTGATGGATAGGCAAGTCGAGCGGCGATCCGTTGAAGTGGTGCCTATAGCGCTGGAGATGACGAGAGGGAACACACGCAGTACAAGATACCAGTTCAAAAACGACAACCTAATAGACAGAGATGTGCATTTGTGGATGACTAGCCCATTATTTCCGCCTATTCGTAATGATTATTGAGGTATCGTAACCGTAGTCTGCAACCAACTCTTACCCAAACACCAGGAACTCCATCGGATGCGTCGCAGCATTGCGCATAATACGAACCAAAAAATATCCCACGTCTAATATAAATCGCTTTTCTCCTTTCACCAGCCACCACGGAACCCGCGTCCGCTCCTGCCCCCGTACCCGCCGCGTCTGGGCCCTCTAGGCCCGCCCTTCCACCCACCGTCGCCGTATCCGTCATCTCGCATGCCGGGGCCGTCGTCGGGGAGGGGCGCGCGGGGGCCGCGGCCGGAGCCGCGGAGGTCCTTGGGGAGGGCGTCGTAGGTCTTGCGCATCTGGGCGTAGCCGAGGTGCATCTTGCCGTAGAAGTGGTCGGCGAGGCGGCGGTCGTTGTCGAGGCGGGAGAGGTAGGCGCCGCAGACGTCGCAGACCTGGAGCTTCTGGTGGCCGGAGGGGCCGCTGGTGTCGCTGAGGGCCTTGAGCTCGCGCTCGCGCTCGGCCTTGGCCTGGGCGGCCTGGCGGACGCGGAAGAACTCGTCGCAGGCGCGGCTGACCTCGCCGAGGTCGCCGAGCACGCGGACCTCGTGCAGGCCGCAGTTGACGGTGGCGGCGAGGTCGGCGATGGCCTTGAGCAGCACGTTGGTCTGGCGGATCTCGTCGGGGGTCTTCTCGAGGCGCCGCTGCGCCGCGTCGATCCGCCGGTTGCACTCCTCGATGTACTTCTGCAGGTCGCGCATGTAGTCGATCTCGAAGCCGTACTTCTGCCGCGCCGGCTCCGGCAGGGCCTCCCACTCGGCCTTGAGCGACTCGGCGTGGATCTTGGGGCACGGCCCGAGGTCCTGCTTCGTGTTCGTGAAGAGGTCGTGCGGGCACGTGCCGACGAGGAACGAGCGGCACACTTTGGGGTCGGTGAGGGAGACTTGGGCCGCGCGCGAGGTCTGGGGGCCGCCCATGAGCTGCTCTAGAAGGAAGGAAGACAAGAGTTAGCAAATAAATGGCCATACGACAGGTAATGAACGAAGCAAGGTTGCTGTCGAGGCCTTACCAAGCAGCTTTCGCTGTTCCGCCGCCATGCTGTATGTCCTCAGGGAACGGAGCCCTCGAGGTCCGGTGCAGGTATGCTGGTACTATCGCGAACGACGCTCCTGATTCCTTGCAGGTGATGTACGGATTTGCGGTATCGCCGGTGTTGTTTTACTTAAATACGCGAGGTGAGGTAGAGCAGGTGTGCCAAGTAGACGACGCGGTGGTACCAGAAGACGGCGAACGGCGACGAGGCTGAAAGAAGAGCAATGTAATGGAATGGACCTACAAGAAAAAAAAAAGGTACCTACCTAGGTAAGGATGCGGGAAAGGCGCAGGTTACCCGACACTATAGGTCCCGTGGGGCTTTGCGGGGGGCCAATTAGCTGTTCTAGCAGTGGTCATCTCATAGGTGCCTCTAGGCCAAGATCGCTATTGGTTGGCTGGCTGTTACCGGAGAGCTCTAGGGATCTGCACCGGAGGCCACTGAAGGCGGGAGGTAATGGACAGCGTTACCTGTATCAGGTACGTAACCTGGGTACCTGACTTACAGGCTTGCCTGGGCCAGATGTGCATGTACGTATACATGTATTATACCTGTATTCAATCGGCGCGGGTAACGCATAAAGCTGGAGAGAGGCTTGGACGGCCTACACATGGCTTAGACATATTTGGTTGGTATTATCTACCCCTGATTTTAAGAGGTACCTTACAGGTAGGTATACGGTAGCATAGCAGTATACGGAGCAAGTTGCCCCCCCCCCCGACTCTGTCAAGTATCTCCGACCTCTCGTCGGAACAACTAGAGGTATCTACCCCCCTCTCCCAACACTACTGAGTACCTACCTAGCGTGCCTAACCTAGCGTCAGGTACCTGACCTGGGCACTCCCCAAGCCCTGTTCCTCAGCTAAACAGTGTACCTGTCCTGTTACCTCGCTCGCTGTCATATCTTGCTGCCCCCAGAGGAGCCCGTCGAGTCCATCCTGTTCCCTCTTCAACTAACCACCAACCATTTTCCAACCCAGGTCGTTCTGATGGACCATCGACGGCCACGATGCGTCCTTTCTTTTCTTACTTGATACCCTTGTTCTTCCTCTTTTGGCGGTCCGCCGCTTCCGACTACTACGAGCGCCTCACCCTCAAACCATTACCGCAATCCGCCCTCCTCGCCAGCTTCAACTTCAAATCCAACACGAGCCTATCGCAATTCGAGGCGCACGACTTTCGCTTCTTCCCCCGGTCGATAGGCCAGATACTGCAGCATGTAGGAACGCGCGAGCTCCATCTAAGGTTCAGCCTGGGGAGGTGGGATGCTGAGAGCTGGGGTCGGCGGCCGTGGGATGGCACGAGAGAGGGCGGAACCGGCGTCGAGCTCTGGGCGTGGTTGGAGGCGGACACCGGCGAAGAGTACGTGTCGCCTGGGGCGGTCCCGCTGTCGACGAATCTCTGCCCCCCTCGCTGACTATGTGCACCGGTAGGGCTGACCATAAATGGCTGACTCTGACGAACGCGTTGTCTGGCCTCTTTTGCGCGTCGCTGAACTTCATCGACGAGACGAGGACGACCCGACCTGTCATGTCCTTCCAGCCCGAAGGCACCCACGTCAACTCTACCCTCGCCAACCTGCACCTCTTGCACGGCGTCCTACCGAGAGAAGTCGTCTGCACCGAGAATTTGACCCCGTTCTTGAAGCTCCTCCCGTGCAAAGGGAAGGCCGGAATCTCGAGTCTCCTGGACGGGCACAAGCTCTTCGACGCATCTTGGCAGAGCATGGCGATCGATATCCGGCCTATATGTACGGGCGGGGAGGGGTGCGTGTTGCAAATCGAGCAGACAATCGACATGGTTCTGGATATCGAGCGGTCTAAACGGCCCAGGGGTAAGCAGAGAAGACAGCCTGGTCACATCCCCAGTTGTTTAACATGATGCAGGTAATCCGATTCCCCGGCCACCGCCAGGTCACGATCTCAAATGCAACTCGACAAAGCCATACCACTCGGACGACACATGCTTCCCCAACGATTTCCTCGAGGGCCAAGAATGGACTCTGGACCAAGTTTTCGGCAAGCCCGTTAAGGGGGCTTGCCCATTGGCTGGTCTCGATGCCACCCCCGTTTGCATCGTAGCCCCCTATAGCCGGGATGTCTTTACAGCAGGCGGCGCGACCGAGGTTAAGTATCCCGACCACGCCACGCGCTGCTACAAAATCCCCACCGATGTGGACTTCTCCATGGTCCTCCCCCGTATGTCGCGGGAGGGAGAACACGGCAAGACGGATGCGGATGAGATGTTCCAACCAGATGTCCCGCTTCTCTATGCCGAGCGCAGTTCCACGGGCCACGGACAAGAACGTGGCGGCATCCGTACTATTCTCACTAACCCGAGCCCGGATTACGAGGTCGAGTTTATCTATATGGAGAGCCTACCGTGGTTTATGCGAATATATCTCCACACTCTCAAGACACAGATTAGCGGGGGTAAGCGAGGGCATGGCAAGGAGATACTCGAAGAAATATACTATCGTCCAGCCTTAGATCGCGTCCGGGGAACACAGCTCGAGCTACGGATGCGCATTCCGCCAGCCAGCACTGTTTTCCTCAGCTATGACTTCGAAAAGTCCATCCTGCGCTACACCGAGTATCCCCCAGACGCGAACCGTGGCTTCGACGTCGCTGCTGCCATCATCACCATACTGCCGTCCACCGCGCCCGACGCCCCTCACGCGCGAGCGATAACGTCCAACCTACGGACCACGACCCTACTACTCAGCCTGCCCACGCCCGACTTCAGTATGCCATATAACGTGATCATCTTTACTAGCACGGCTATCGCCCTCGCTTTTGGGGGCTTGTACAACATGTTGATACGGAGGTTCGTCGGCGCCGACGAAGGACCCGCGGTCGGCCTCAGCGGCCTCAAGGGGAAGGTCATAGAGGGCATTATCAAGCTCTCTCAAAAAATAAAGGCCGCCAAGGGGAAAGTAGATTAGGTAGACAACCGGTCTCGGTATTGTCTTTCTTGGGTAAGTATCAAAATAGACACGAAGGGTTGACTCCCGTGTCGTTCATTTTTAGCTTAGCTATCAGCGTCTTATCCCCATGTATGATCCCCGAAGCAGATAGAATAGCAGCATAGCGAAAACCGAGCAGTGATAGACTAGTAGAATATCTACTAGAGGCACCAGGTCAACCACTAATTAAGAATGGGCGCGTTGCCGCCTATTACATTACGATATCAAATTGGTGACGGAACCCTCAACCATGAGCAAGACTAAACAAGTCTTCTCGTAGATAAGAATTTTCTCGGTCTGTTTATTATACATTATGATACACATTACTCTTCCGCGGTTGTATGTACCTAGTCCACACAGGCTCTCCTTACATGCTTCGAGTCGTCGGACAGGACAGGAATAAAGGAGGTCCTGTCTCCCGATAACAGTCTTTTGCTTTTCGCTATATGTACTGATATGTAAGCACGTATACACGCGTAGATATGTGCATTGAATGTGCGCCCCTTTATACATTCCGTAAACTCCGTTTCTCTCTTAAATGCTGCTGCTCCTCGCGGGAGTATTTCTTCGCGTTATCTACTTCGCATATGAGGACGCGTGTGCGTAGATACTTGGACATTTCCCGCCTCCCCTTCCTTCTGGCTTTCTAAATACGCGCGGGTCGGTCTTGTCTGGTTTACAACTGACGGGATCACGATGGGGTATGCAAAATGCGCAAAAAAGAAAAAATAAAGAAAAAAGTGCAGAAAGAGAGAAGAGAAGAGAAGAGGCCCCGAAAGAGCAAGACGAAAAGAAAAGATTTATAACCCCCCCCCCCGGAAAACACAGCACCCCCACGCTAGAAGCATCTCCCTCCCGTCTACGCCCTCCCCGCCAGCTTACGATAGGGCGCCGCCCAGCACGTACGCCGAGGACCGGAAGTAGTCTTGCATGCGGCCCATGATGATGGGATTCGGCGGCAGGACCCAGACCTCCTGCGGCGGCGGCGGCGGCGGCGGCTGGAACTGCATGTGCTGCGGGTGGGCCCAGCCCCATCCGCCCTCGTAGTACGCGGCGTCGGGGTCTCCCTTCGCGTAGACGTGGGCGTCGTCGGGCCGCGTCGTCGTGGTCTCAAAGCTGGCGCGCTGGCTGTTGAAGGTGCTCGAGCGGAACGAGTCGACGCTGCCGGTCGACGACGCCGTCGAGTGCCGCTGGTGCCGCTGGCGCCGCCGCGGCGCCGCGTACTCGTCGTCGCCGCCGTCGTCCTCCGGGGTCGGGTCGGTCTGCACGCTGGCGTCCGCGTAGCTCGAGCGCGCGGGCGGCGCCGCGCTCGGCGCGGGGCCGTGGTGGTGCGGGCAGGTGCAAGTGCAACGGTCGTCGTCGCGGGGCGGGGTGTTGCTGGCGCGCGGGCGGTGCTGCGGGTAGCCGGGGGGCAGGGCGGCGGCGGCGGACTTGGGAGGCGGGAGGTCGGGGCGGTGGGAGCTGGGCTGCTCCCTGAGCACGCCGAGGTCCTCGTGGTGGTAGACGCCGGCGCCGTAGACCATGCTGCGCGGGCGCGTGGCCCACGACCGCCGCTGCTGGCTGACGGCGAGCGGCACCAGGGCCACGCGCCGCAGCTTGTCGACCGACGCCGAGCGGCTGTGGCTCGGGCTGACCACCTGGTGCTGGTCGGCCGCCGACCGCAGCAGCGACCCCGTCGTCCTGAGCGTCGGGTGGGGGCGCTCGCCTGTCGCCGCCGCCGCCGGCGGAGAGGCCGACGGCGCCGTGCTCGCCCGCGGCCGCTCCGCGTCGCCGATGAACCCGCCGATCCCCCTCTCGGCGAGCTCGCGCGCCCTGCTCCCGCGCCGCCGCCCCGTGGGCGACACGCTATCGCCGCCGACGGTCAGCGCGCGCCGCAGCCGCTGCTGCTGCGAGCTCGGCTGCTCGCTGCGCACCTCGCCGTCGCGATCCGAGGCCCAGAAGGTGTCGTCGCCCGACAGCACCACCTGCAGGGTCTCGAAGTCGCGCGTGCTCCCGTCGGCCGGGAACAGCCACTCCTGCAGCGCCTTGGGGAGGTCATTCGATTCTAGAACACGTTTGAGCATGAGTCACGGCGGTGAGGGAAGGGGTCGCCGCAGCGTGTCTACTTACGTTGCTTGAACTCGCCGGAATTCGTCTTCCAGCAGACGTAGTGTTGCCCGCAGGATCCGATGGCGGTCACGACCAGCTGCGCTACGCCATCCGCGTCGTCGGAGTCGTGGGCTAGGGAGTGGAGGAGATCCGCTATCATTTCCGACATTTAATGAGATTCGATATTCTTCTCCTTCTCTTCAAAATTCTGGTCTTCTTGCTTCGCTTCTTTCTCTCGTTTCCTTGGTTACCGTCGTTTCCTGGTTCGAAAATTACATGGCATCCCAGCCAGTGCCCGCTCCCAGTCGTGAAGTGTGTGTGTGCGTGTGTATGCGGCAGGAAATGGAAAGCGGGAAATTAATTACGAAAAGAGATAAATTAAGAAGAAAAAAACGTTCGTGGCCAACCGGTGGACTTAGAAGTGAAGGTGGATGTAGAGGGGAGGAAAAAAAAATAAAGCGAAACTACGGTGTGTATACGAAGTGAAGAGCCTGCACTGGATATCGATCCTAGTGTATAGATTAGAATAGAATCTCCGCGAGAGAAAGGATCCAAACAGGTCTTCCTCGCCGAGCTGCTAACAACCCACGATCAACCCAAGATGGCGGATGGCTCATTTGCAAGCGAAGCTTAGCTGGGCTGCCTTGCAAGTTGCTGGCTTGGTCGGCCTTGGAGGGCTTGGTCGACTGTGCTGGCTTACTACTAACAGAGCGATGGCTGAGGGAGGGAAGGGCGAACGCGTGATTGCGGCCGCACGGGGAGTAAGTGAGACAGAAAAGCCCTGGAAAACAGCTGATATGGGCCCAGCCAGTCCAGCTCCCTGGGCGAGGTTACATCTGAAACTGTGGCAGTAGAGGAATAGGAACAGGAGGGCAGAAGGGGGGGGGACGATCATCATGTCGACCAGGCAAAAGAGCCCTTATCATCCACATTCAGGCTAGGACTCGCTGGCCCGTCCGTCGGCCCCTGAACCGATCGTCCCAAGTATGAGGGTGTCAACACGTCCTCTTCTGTCAACTCCATGGGTCCCAATGGCCACACTAAAACGTGAAGCCGCGAGGGCCTCGTAGGCGACATCTCTCCCTCTAAGCACGTGGTATGCCTTTGTAGTATGTACATACCTCTGTGTTATGCACTGTACACTTATCACGAGTCGAGCACGAGTGACCGGTCTCTGGAAATGAGAACTCTACCCCCAGGCGGAGACCCGCTGAGCAGTACCACCCCCGGGCAGCAAGGCACGGTCACGAACAAACTTAGCTTCACCTCTCCGCCTCCCTAGCCGATGCGACGATTAGAACACAGCTAGTAGCTTGAGTGATATTCTAGAAGCCTCGTCATATATATTCATATTGGTAGTTACGTTCCCATGCCTTTTACTTGCCCATAATAAGATCGCCGGGTACCCCCCGCAATGTGTCCCTAGTCTCTCGTTCCCTCCCCGTCCTCCCTCCCCGCGGCTTGCTGCTCCAGCGGATGAGAGTACCAGGCTCTATCTAGATGGCGCCTGCGAGGGTATACATACATCCATGGCCCGATCCCCACAAACCGACCGACCAACCTGCCCGAAAATGAAGATAATAGTTTCGTCATGTCCTCGCCACCTCCTCCTCTCCCCTCTCGACATCGTCATCGCCCTCGTCCTCGACATCCTCGACGTAGGGCCGCTTGTAGCCCGGGTCTCCCGAGACGCTGTCTGCCTCGTCGATCCCGGCGGCGATCGAGCTCGCCGCCGTGACCGACTCGCTGTCGCTGATATCGCTCAGTTTCCTCGCTGACGACCAGAATGAAGCGTTGTCAGTTACTACGCTAGGTGAGCGAGGATTACTACCAGAGGGCTCCGAGCTCCCGCCGGGTACGGCGAGACGTAGTTTGTCTAGATCGAATGTTACGCTCGCCTGTGCCACATCCTCCGCTTGATCATCCGTGTCCCCCACGCCATCTGGCCGCTCCTCCAACTCCTCCGCTACTTGCCCGTTTTCAGCGGCAGCTGCTGCCTCTGCCGCTTGTCGTCGCTCCTCTTCCTGCTTACGGTAGAATTCCTCCTTCTCCCGAGCCTCTCTCTCGGCTTGTTCCTGGTGTTCCTTCATCTTCTCGTCCAGCGTCTGCGCCTGGCTCAAGTCTTCCGGCTCGGGCTTGCGCTCCTTCTTCTCGCGCCGGGTGAGTTCGATCTCGAGCACGCGTGTCCCCATGGGGACTTTGGTGACGAGGCCGTCGTCGTCCTTGTCGAAGTACAGAGCCCAGATCCCCGGGAACTCTTCGACGGCGACGAACCCCTCCCAGCCTTGCAAGGTCATGCGCCGGTCCTGCCGGGTGCAATCGAACGGGCCTGTGATGTTGGGCTGCGCGTCGGCGCGGACGCCGTACTTGACTTCATACGTGTCCTTGTCGACGTATATCCAGTTGAGCATAGGCGGGTCGTCGCTAATGGTGCTCACTAGGCCTTCGTAGGGCTTGTCGGGATAGGGCAGATAGTACCCAGCGAAAGGGTACCCACCGCCGGCGGTGGTCGGCACGCCATCTTCTGTTGATGGGACGCTCGTAGTAATGTAGAGCTACAAACACAAATTGCATCAGTGGCACGTCCCGCCAATTCGCCCTCTGCTTCTTCTCATGGTAAACGGTGTAATTGTATTTACCTTGTTATCCTTGAGCACGACTAATTTTCCGTGGATATCGCGGCTCCTGATTGACTGCTTCACGCAGGACACGACCAGATTGCACCTGCGGGAGCGGTGCTCTTCGCGCTTGCTCTTGGACTGGCTTTGTCGGATGGCTTCCTGTGTTCCGAGGAGAGCAGGGCAGATCGTGATGGCAAGCAGCAGAGGGATTGACATTGCGAATTCTTCGAGGGCTTCCTGGAGGGTCTTCCCGCGGAATGTGTAGGTTTGAGATGTTTGGGCGGTATTAGACGGCGACATCAGTGTCTCTCTCTCGCACTCGACAAGCACTGCTTATCGAAAGGCCACGCGTATGCACGCAGAAACAAAAATAGACCAGGGTAGCGAAGAGTATTGACGATGTTTACCAAAGATGTTAAGATCTGGGTTTCCAGGGAAGACGAACTTGTTTCTCATTAGCCCGAGCAAGGCGGCCACACCCTCAGCAACTCCCGGTTCGGCTCTAGACCGTTTTCGACTTCAGGGTCCTTGGAATAGGGGAGGGTCCCATTGCATCCGAGAGTGCCTATTCCCCGACGAGTCGTACCACTCTCAGATCAGATCTGAGCGCTGTCATTCGAGAACAGGGGTCAAGCGAGACCCAGGGTGTTTGAGGCTCAACGCTTTGATCAAGGAAGACCCGCCGCGTCCCAGTGAAAGACAAGGAAAGTCAAGCAATGAGAATACGACACAATACTCTCTCCAACGAACCCAGCCTGCCCCATACACACTCCTGGGAGGCTCCAATCATGCCATATCAGACGAGAATGTTACATCCGAATGCTTAGGAATAAGATTTGTGTTGCAACGAACCAGTCGCTACTCCACCGTCCCGATAGTGGTGGGAACCCCTGCGCAAGCTCGTGGAGAACATATAGCTCGGCGCCATCGGCTGTGCGTAGCACCCGGATTGTATAAGAGCTAGCTTTCCCTTCTCCAGATCGATGAAGAGAGTCTTTTCTACGCATCCAGCATCAAACTCCATCTTCACAACTTCAGCCGGGCTGACTTTCAAAGACTTCGCATTCTCCGCCACAAATCTTTTCGAGATCTCTTCCCGCCACTTTCCAACCAAAACAACCTCATTTCAAAATGGCCTCCACTACCGCGTGAGTGACACGGTCTCCCTGGCGCCCCCTCCCTCCCCCCTGGTCCTTCGGGTCTCAGAGGTAACGTGTGACTCGGACTAACCCGCGTCTCAGTACTGCCCCCATCCCGATGAAGAACAACGTCGCTTACACCAGCGACTCGGACTCCGACGGCCAGGCCCGCGGTGGTCGCAAGGGCGGTCAGCTCTCTAGCCTTCCTCAGCTACCGACCTCGGCCGGTCTCGCTCAGCCAGCTGGTAAGGCGCTTCCCGGGAGAATTGTCCAATGCGGCGTATTGACATCGTTGTTCCAGGTCAACTCCTCCGTGGTGCTACCGACGAGAACGGAAACCACAAGTCCGCCGCCCTGCTGGTCGGCATCAAGCTCGACCTCGAGGCCGAAGTCCACCTGACCGCCCGAGTCAGGGGTGACGTCTGCGTCGGTCTGTACTAAGGGATGTCGCAACGAGAAAATATGGCGTCCGCCCCTCGTGGGAGAACAACGCGGGAGGGATAGGAGGTATCAGGATCGAAGCTGGAGCTGGAGCAAAAAAAAGATACCCATTTTGCATGGATTGTTGAAAGCATCACACTTGGAAGCATTTGAGCCTCGACATATCAACATTAAGCGCTCTGCGGGCTGGCTGGCCGCCGCTTAGCGAGGTAGACATTCAATACGATTGGGAGATCTTGAAACATTGTTCCTTTTAGACCTGCTTAGTACGTGACCACTTGTCGAGATTCGTTTCGTCATTTCCTCAGATGGCACATCCTGTGAGTATCAATGGTAGTCAATGCTGGTGGCTTAGTTTATGTTCTATTTGGAGCGTGTCTACGCATGGCTATAGTTCTACGCCTGAGTCTTCATCTCCATCCTCCCCAGCACCAGTCGGAACTCCCTGATTATGTGTGCTATCTACATGAGGGCCGTCATCGGGGCCATCGTCAGCGTAGTTTATAACATTGCTCTGGAACGCTGTACAAGGCACGCAACCGTGGATAACTAGGCTGCGAGCGATATCCTGGGAATACAGGTGAGCGATTTCTGCCATGTTGCGCGGGAAGCCGGGCAGAGTGAGAAGCACAATGCTTCCCCGGACTATGCAGGATATCTCCTCCAGTACCGCATCCGCGACTACGCATAGATAGGTCCTCACCGAGCCATTTTCGCCCGTGCTGTACGTGTTGACCACGAAGAATACGTCCCCCATGTGCTTCTGGACCACACCGTATTCTTGCCCCTCCCCTTTGACGGGAAATGGAGGAGGGCAACTGCCACGTGGATGTCTGCCCCTAGATTCGCGGCGAGCGGGGCACGCAGGCGATGATGGCCTTGTTTCGATTGCTGTCATTGTAGCGATGCAACAGTGCTTGTAGTTAACAATGGTAGTTCTGGTTAAATTATGTCTTTGCTTGGTTACCAGAGAGTGTGGTGTTAGTCAAGTGGCGGATATCCTTCTGAGAGATACCAAGTTGTTAATATATCCTGCGTGGTCCTTTCATCATCACAAGCAACACTCGGACTGATGGGAAACAAAATATTCGTTATACTCGGAGACAGAATTGTTTAATCGCTACCATGTCCTCCCTAAGTTGTGACTGTTTCTAATGTCCATAGGATACGTCTTCAACAATTCCCGATTACTAATGGTAGGTGTTCAAAGGCGCATTATTACAAACCATGAATATCTGTCTCAAAGACATTGAAGCGTTACAATAGACAGTGCCGCTATTATCTCATGTCTTAAACAAAACTCGCATAATAGCGCAAGCCACCATTTTGTGTATGTAACGAAATGTGGACAGTGGCACATGTTGCATGTGCTGTTAGGCAGTACTCGATCTCGAGACGCGTCTCTGATCGAGTTGTTTTAAATCTGTCAGATCACTACAAGGTCAACATCAGGCCTGTTATCCAGGACGTAGGACCCTAGAATGGCCAGTTTTGCGAGTAGTAGGATCTCTTTCCCGAAAGCATCTAGAATCTTTACCTGTCCCATTTTTCATTACTCTATATACATCCGTTTTCTCTTTGTAACGAATGTTGCGGGGTTGGATTATAACGTCTTATATCTGATGTGTACATATTTCGAATGCTGCCGTGATGGATTTAGATACATAAAACCGCAGCAGGATATTCTCGTATAAACGACAGGTTTGGGGCAAAGTCTTGCATGACCGGACTTCCGGCGCATACACCCACGATAGTAGCGTTGCGGCATAAAATTACAGAGGAGCGGCTCCCTGGATACGTCCGACACACTCACCAAAGCCCACCCTTTCTCCCGGCTTCCCGCAGATGCCGGTGATGGTAACGGTGTCGCCGTCTTTCAGGAAGCGACGCACGTCCATACCGTAGAGCAAGATGTCCTTCCTGCCCCCGTCGCTCAGCTCGAGGAAGCTCCCCTTTTCGCTGGGCGACGGGCCGCTGATGGTTCCAGACCCTAGGAGGTCGCCCGTCCTCAGCGGGCAGCCGCCGAGGGTGTGGTGGGCGATCATCTGTGGGAACGACCACATGAGATACTTGGAGCTGGTCATCGATATCAAGGTCACGTCTTCTTGCGGTGCTGCGCCACGTTAGCCCTGCCCATTGCCAGCCGGCCTGACCGCAGAGGTATTTTTCTGGGCGAGGTATACGTACTTTTCAGTTCGACCTGCAGCTCTATGTCGAAGACATTTTCTTCTTTGCCTTCGTTCAGGTACGCCTGGAGCGGTGTCCAGTTGTCGACCCCCCTGGTCCGGAACGGCTCGAGGGCGTCGGCGAGCACGACCCAGGGGCTGATGGTGGTGGCGAAGTTCTTCCCGTTGAAGGGCCCGAGCGGGACGTACTCCCACTTCTGGATGTCACGCGCGCTCCAGTCGTTCAGCAGGACATACCCGAAGATGTGGTCTTCGGCGTCCGCGACCTTGATCTGGCTCTCCATCTCGTTCGGAGTCGCGATGAAGCAGCCGAGCTCCAGCTCGATGTCCAACTGCCGGCTCGGGGCGGTGGTGGGCTGCTTGGGCTCGGCGGTCGGGTCGAGGATGATCTGACCGACAGGACGCCGGATCGACTTGCCCGAAACTACGATGCTCGAGGCGCGTCCGTGGTAACCAACCGGTAGGTGAGTGTAGTTTGGCTGCAGAGCGGCCTGCGGCCCGCGGAACATGGCGCCGACGGTATACGCATGGTGGAAGCCGGCGTAGAAATCAGTGTAATCGCCGATGCTCATGGGTAGGTGCATCTGGACCCCTGTCCGGGGAAGCAAGGCTTTCCCGCGAAGTTCCGCATTGTCCCTCAGGACGTCCGGGTGTGCCGTCTCAGCGGCCAGGAGACCTTGAATGGCCCTTCGCACATCGCGATGCACCGGCCGTCCCAGCGCCGCGAACTCGTTTAGAGTCGGCTGCGAGAAGACGTGGGCGCAGTCTTTGAGCGCGGGGAAGAGGCTGGCGAAAGCGGGATGCGACGACAGCACCTTGAGATCAAGCACGCGGGACCCGATGGCGACGGCAGCGTGCGGCGCAGGGTCGGCGGGAGAGCTGATGATGCCAAAGGGGATGTTGGCCAGGGAAAAGGGAGTCTCGGCGGAAACGCCGGGCACCCAGGTCGACGCCATGATGATCCCCTCAGAACTGCGTCCTGCTGCTGTGTCGGTGGTTTGCGGGAATGTCTCGTGGCTGTGTGCCCGGTAGCGGTGGTTTCTGTTCATGTTACCGGCATAGCTGCATATCCGGGCGTTGTTATTGATGATAACGCCCGCCTTGGGGTAGGTACCCACACAAGTACCTAAGGCACCGTTTACCCGTGTAGGTAGGAGGAAGTTCAAGGTGGGGGTACCCGACCACAATTGCCGGTCCGTCGCGGGAGGTCGCGGACGAGGTCGCAGACGAGGTCGCAGGCCAGCCCAACCAGTCCCCTGTACCTCACCCCGGCCTCGAACCGGGTTATGCGAAAAACCCGCTTTATGCCGAGCTTGATCCGAATTCCTTATAGGGGTTCTAAAAATTCCTCTCCAATGCATTTCTAACCTCTGTGCGAGAGCGCATGTAATTGATTCTTTTTCGCGACAAAACGTTGCCCTAGATGCGTACGTTCATATAATAGAGCAAGTGGTGGTGGTGCTGCAGCTACTGAGTGGTGGTAGTTGGCTAGTACCTAGTGGTGGCAGTGGTGGCAGTTGGCGGTGGCAGTTGGCGGTGGCAGTTGGTGGTGGCAGTTGGTGGTGGCAGTTGGTGGTGGCAGTTGGTGGTAGCGGTAGTGGCGGCTTAAGTAATCGAAAAAAAACTTAGGTACCCCAACCAGTTAGTGGAGTTGGTGGTTTTGGAAAAAGCTAACAGAATCTTTAGAAAGCCGTGGCCCTCTTTGGGGTGAGGTATAGGGGGACTAGTTGGGCTGGTCTATGTACTCATATGAATCGCATATACCTATGCAAAAAGCGGTTTATTTTCTGGCTACGAGAAGATCCGGTCCCCTAGGTACCGTCGGCGGGAGGCCAAACTCGGGTACCTGATAGCAGGGAATACAACTCCATACCTAGGGCACGTCTTCCTCCCGAAAGGCCTGGACGATTCATTGGAGTGGCCGTTATAGATAGGTATCTAGTGGCGGGCATCAAGTCGCAGTGCAATAAAATAGCAAGCACCCCACAGCAGCTGCTGCCACATGGCTGGACGACTGAGAGTCGGGGCGACAGCCTGGCAGCCACCTGTCGTTTCTAGTACTGATACCTACGTCCCTACCTCATCCGCCACATCTCTCTCCTCCGACTCTGACCACCCTCGTCGACATCCGGTCTCGTTGGCCGGCACAGCCCTTCTCCCTCTCTTGCTCTGCCCCGGCCTATGGGAGTAGTAAACCAAGCAGCCTCTGCTACGTAGAATTTGCCTGGCTGGACCAAGCTGAAAGGTCGCTGGCTCACGTCATCCGCCCAGTCGATCGCTGCCTAGTTTGCAGATCTAAATCGGAGCCAGCGTCAGTCCCCAGCGAGTCACCGGCCAATGCTTCGACAATACACACAGTCAGGGAGGGCACGGGCTAGGATAGGACCAAGGGGGCCCTTTGTGGCAACTCGTGAAGGCTGGTGGTGTTGGCATTGACATAGGTAAGTATGTATACCTATATCTATAGGCTTACGTGCGCGTGACGTGCGAGTGACGTATATGGGGGTAAGTCGACCCTGAATATGGCCGGTCCCAAGTGACGATGGACCTGCGCTGACGAGCACCCATGATAAATTCATCGCCTTTGTTTCTACCCCCGACACTAGAGCTTATCCTCACACATTGATAGCTCTCATTCTCCACTGGGATTCATCGCCCCCTGTGTGTCTCTCTGGGTTTACCCTCGTTCGCTACTGAGCTTACGTCTTGACTAGAAAATATGTCGCTGGACCTGAACAACCGCACTCTCCGCACCAGCTCCAGCAAGGAGCTGGTGGAGTACTTCCGGCAGTCGCTTCGAAGTGTTGGTTGGAAGCCGATATCAGATCATATTTATGCTAGTATCGACTCTGGCGCCATCCCACCTATTGTCGTACATGTATTCCTCTGCGTCTGCAAGGAGCCCGGTGCTATCGTCGAAAGTCTTTGCCAAAATGTGTCCGCTGTTGGCAGACACGTGGCCATCAATCATTTCGGTAAACTAATTCGGACCGAATTCTTCCCTGATATGTGGAAATCCGTCGGAGGAACTCCCGGGATGCTTGCCTTGATGTCGGCAATGTCCGTTTACGAAGTACGTCTCCTCTGTCAGTGCATTGGGGGATCCAGCACGGCAACCCACCATGGACGGCAGCGTCAGGAATGCATGTCTGAACTCTTCGAAGCGTTGCATAATACCAGCGGCGGAAACCCCAACGTGCCGGTGAACCCTGATCCTAGACCTTTAGGGTCTCTCTATGACGCTATCGCCCCTGCGTGTACGTCGGATATAGTCACAAAGCTGACTTGTGTCTATGAAAAAGGCCGTGCTAGAAGAAACACCTGGCTGGCACATGTGGGCGCATATCAAGAAGAACTGGTTGCTGCTGTTTTCTGCGGAGAGGGCACGCCGAAGAGGATCACGGGCTACAAGTTCGTTCTCGAGGCCAGTGATGTCACATTTGCTCTTGGGCTCCTCGAGAGACTTTCTGCCGCGCCCGATGCACTCAGGGAGAACGCAGAGAACTTGGCTCAGGACCTTGCCATTCCGTTGGCTAGGCGGCTACGCAATAGGAGAGCGAACTCCAGCCTTCAGATACGCTTTTACAGTCTCCTTATTGGGTGTATAGGCGTGGAACCCCGTATCGGGAAAACCATCCCCGACAATATTCTCTACTACGCCATTAGGGCCTGGAGGAGAGCGTCTCAGGGGAAGAGAGATGGACTGGAAAAACCTCTCTCGACCTTGATATCCCTTGTGGCAGAGAACGGCAAGTGGTCCTTGACCGAGGTCGCCAGCGTCCTCCGGGGCGTCCAACCCGCTCAGCGATTTTCGCTCTTGCAGCTGCTGCTCCAGAACGTTCCGCTTCTAGGCTTTACGATCGACCTTTCCGATACGCGCGGCGAGAAGATCAAATCTTGGGACGGTGTCTGGCCACTAACACTCTTCGATATTCTCCCGAGTGCCATTTCCCACCTCCTCCTTGAGTACTTGAGGAAGATATACGCGCATAGCCACTTCATAGAGTATCCTCGACACATGTTTAATAGGGAAAACGCTGGCCTAGTACGGCTCTACGCGCCCAGCTGCGACGGGCTTACCAATCTGCGCATAGTCTCCGCTCAGCTAAATTCGCGACTGCATGCTGGCGACTCCCACGATGCTACCTGTTTTGTCGAGATAGAGAAAGCCCTGCAGGAGCAAGAGCGCAAAGCCGTATCGGAGCCGATTGCGCGAGAGAGGTCGGAGAGGGCTGCCACAGCAGTCCTTCTATCCATGGCATCCGGATCGCTAAGCCTATATGAAGATACGATGACTTGGGCACGGCGATTTGATAGAGATGCCAACGCCGTCTACAGAATTTACTCGCGGGACGTCATGTGTTCAAAAATAAACATAAATCTTCTGAGTGCAATTCCATATCATGTGGGAATCCAGGGCCTCTTGCATGAACAGCTTCGGGCGGACGTTCAGCGGGCGAATCAAATCATAATGAACTATATGGAAACGGCAGCCACATGTCTTCGGGAGCCCTATTGGAGTTGGAAATATATGATAGGTCTTTCTGACTTGCCTTCCGGAGTGATCTGGAAACGTGTAGAAAGGCTGACCGCCCTACAAGACCGGATAACACTATCCGATGAGGAGATCTTCCTCTCTGTTTGGGAGCCAACCATCGACATGCTTCTAGAGATCGAGAGCTTTGGCCTACGAGAGGCTCACAAAAGCCTTGGCCTAAACACCCTTTCCGGGCCCTTGAAAAAGGGGTATCCGGAGGCACTCTTCCTCGATAAGGTGCCACGGCATGTCCACAAGTTCTTGGACAATCTCGCGCAATCTCGCGACAAGCTATGGCGAGAATACCGAGTAAAGGTGTACCCCATGACCGCAAGGCTTCAAGCACCTTGGCCAAACGGCCTTCCCATCCAATGGCTGACGCCTCTGATCCTGAAGGATATGCCGTATACTAAGTCCAGAGTCGAGGCGATTGTGTTTGCCCGTGGAAACGTACTCTTAGCCCCCCCGCCGACAGAGTCAGCAATGATCGAAGCAATAGGACCATTTGTAGACGATTACGGCTTCGCCCTGCGCCAATTTGTGTTGGCAGCGGAGGAGGGGACCCAAAGAGAGGAGAAGGTCCTCAAAGCGTGGAATCATGTCACAGGAGAGCTTACCGGCAGTCGTATGTCCCCAAGAGAAGGGCTCTATTTTTGGAAAGATGTTTACGATGAGATCGATGTCACGCTGCCGAAGTCAGTCATATCATTGTTTGAGATCGAGCACCCCCATTTGCCCTCGACGGATGAGGGTATCGGAAGTCCTACTGTCTGGAATCCAACCTTAGCATATGTGCCACTCTCGGAAATGCCGGAAACCGACACGTCCGGGGAATTCTCTGCTTATTCCCTTGACCATATGCTCGATACCTATGGTCTCCACGGCATAGTCACTGCCGATTTACCATTCCGCCAATACACGCCTAGAACTCGCGATACTGAATACCTACCGTCCATATGGGAGTTCTATCGGTCGTCATCCGGTCTTCACCCCCATGTAAGGGATGCCGTTGCTGCGGCTGCCATCGCGTTCCTGGAGACGAAATATGTCCTCGAATCCGGTACATTCGTGAAGCCGTTCCCCTCGTTATATGATGCTCGGTTTCCTGCTGTGCGCCTAGACGATCAATTCCTCCAACGAGAGAATAGCGCCAATATGAGCTCAGTATTGTCGACGTTAGAGCGTTTTTCGTCCACAATACCAACGCGGTTACTTGGTAATTTAGCAAAATCTCTCTTGAAATGCCTCGACTCTGAGCGGATGGGAGACGGACCGACATTTCGACCTGTAATATCCTGTATACGGAGCATTTCCCGAGGGGATCAGCCATCGGTTGCTTGCGAGTTCGTTAAGCAGGTCATCTTAGCTTACCAGGACGAGAGTTCATGGCACAGGCATATATGCAACGCCAAATTTCTCAGCAGCCTTCCTGCACACGACGCGAAAGCGTTCGTGAGCGATCTCTTCTCGGAAATACACGATAGGCTTCGAAAGCAGAACGATGCGACCTCGACGGGACAGGAAGAAGAGACAGGAAGCACCGCTCCCCACATCAGAGTCACCATTGTTAAGATGGTTACTCAGATACTATGCCAGGGAAAGTACCTGGACCAGGCATTTGCTTGCGAGGCTCTCGCCGCCCTGCTGAAAACTGCTACTCATCCAGACATCCGGACAGCGATTGTCGAAAATCTTACCAGCCTCAAATCAGTAACCAACGACGACAAGCTGAAATCAAGTATTATCGACCTGATAGAAGAGCATGCCGTCCCAATCGCGGCATCCATAAATGAACGTCACCCGCCAACCGAGGAAGACTGGCTGAAGGCTGAGTCTGGAGATGGCCCCATGCCCCGGATCGACAAGAACTCCTGCTTTCCCCCAATCCTGGGATTGCTTGTGGGGGCCATCCCGGATCTAAAAGACAGAAGCGAGGCTGCTGTGCGAAGTAAAGAAATTTGGATGAAGCGGATCATTATCCCGATATTGGAACAGTCATCCATCAACCACCGACGGTGGACTACACTATTCCTGAATCTCGGCGGATTTACCCTCCCTGTGGAGAGCCTGCCTCTCGTGCCGGTGCACCCGAAACTTTTGCTTGACATATTCCTGGACCACGCTGAATTTCTCCCAGAGGCCGCTTTCCGGGCGATCAGAGAGCTATCCATGATAAACATCAGAGCCCCGAAGGACATCGACGCAATCAACAAGGCGGCTAGAAGGGGGATCATCAACGACGCGGGGTCGCATTGGATTTCCGTCTGGAATGGGGTAGATGCCACGAGCTTTGGTGTAGCTCAGAGCGTGAGCCTTCTCTTGAGCGAGAAGATGAACTCTCACCCCCACCCGCTGGGCAGTGTTACGATCGCGGGCCTTCAAGAATTCCTCGTCGACGTAGCGGATGCCTACATTTCTGCAGCCGACACGGCGGGGTTTGACCGGTTCCTCTCCTTATTTGACCATCCCTATCGTGGGGCCAGTCTGAGCGCGCAACTCTCCGGGTTCGTCAGGTCGAACTACTTACCCCTCCTCGAACGCTTCATCGCACGTATCGGGTCGCTGCGAAATCAAGAGTGGCTCCGCGACCCGAATCGACAGCCACCGAAACTTCCGGCCACGCTACCCCTAAAGTTGAAACTGTTCAAAGGCAGGTATCAAACGGTGCCACTAGAATTGTTTGGGGAGAGCGTTCAGGATTTCGTTAGCGATATAACCTCACTACTTGAAGAACTCGTGGGGACCAAGCGGCCATACCACCAGACGTGGCCGTCCGTAAAGGAGACTGCCCTGGGGTCGTGTTACCGGATGTATAGGATCCCCGTGGCTCTCGAATTGGGCTCCTTGGAACGACGCCCGCAGCCAGAATTCAGTCTCGTCGACTATCTACGTATTGAGCTTGCGGGAGAGCTCATGCTACAAGCCCTAGGCCTGAAGGGCGAAGGGTATGGCGAAAAACTACGTGACATGGTTGAGAGCTGGAGCAATTGCCACGATGAGATTGTTCGGATGCAGTACGAGTCCTTCATGGAAGGGATTAAGACTGCAGATAAGACAGAACAGAGAGAATGGTTAAAGAAGATCATAGGATAGGTCGGCGTCGGTGGTACACGCCGTCAACGGCGCCCCTTAAGTATGTACGCAGGTGGTTGTGTGCTCCCCCGGATGAGCCCGCCTTCTTCCTCACTAGGTTCACAGGGTGCCGGATACATGCATGCATGGCTTTTTGATGAGGCCCTCCAAGTTCTACCCGAGCCATCCGATGCGGACGGATAGTGGTGGCCAGGGATGCCTGTTGCATATAGATCTGGCCACCAACCCGGAGCATCCAGCCAGCGTATACCGAGACCGACTGGCAAGCCAAGGACCAGCAGTGGTGCTATACGGAGAGTTGAGTGACACCGTCTTGGTGCTCTATCTTGAAAATGGAGGCACATTTATTTCGTGTAATGTTCCAGTTGCAGCAAATCTCGGGCAGAGCTCCCCGGTAGGGGAAAGGGAGCAGTTATATTCTCCCAGTGGCTCTACGGTACGACCCGATGCGAGGTGCCCTCGGGCTTGCGCGTGTGTATCTATCGTAAGTGCGATCAACTTTGCGAATACAAAAAAAAAAGGGCGTGCAGAGAGCATCGATCGACGGTCGCCGCCGTGCCCGCTGCCCCCCCCCCCCCCCCCCCCCCTCCCCTTTCGATTCTGTCAACAGAGCCAGCGAATGTCGGCGGCATCGGCACCAAGTCGCATCGACGGATGAAAAGAGCCGGAAAGTTGGTCGTCCGATAACACGAGATGTCGTGCGCCGTGGGCAAGATGTTCGCTGGCTAAGTATAGACCGCTCGAACCCCTTTCGCAGCCAATCGGGAGGGACGAGTAATCATATTCCAACGCCAGCGACGAGAGGGAGAGTCGAGGTGGATTGGCTGATCCGCCGCAGCCGCGGCTTGTGACCCACCGTTACAACGATGCCGAGCGTGCCTCGCGCGTCAGGCGAGAGCTGAGCTGGATCTGTCCTGTATTCACCAAGCCCTGTCTTATATATAGGTATACGTAGAAGTCGATGATGCATGGCCCCCCCCCCCAAAGCTGCGGGATGAGAGGGATTGACGGAGAAGCGCGCCGTAGGTCTTCGCCGACGATCATCATAACCCGCGAGTCGCAGTGTGGGTGGGGGAGGGAGGCCTGTAATTACGCGCTCAACCGCCGAGCGCACCTCATCATATACATAGCTGAGAGTGTTATCGACTTGGCTTGACGCCTCCCCTGCAAGGCCAGGGGGGTCACCTGTAGGACAAAGGCTCGGCGATTGGGCCAGGTTGATCTAGCCAAGGTGGAAATGCAGACACGAGCTCTGTCGCCCGCTCGATATACCTACATTTGACGACCACGACGCGGCCGTGACCCAGCCAGAAGGAGCGGACACAAGAGCGAGGCTCGCTGCCGCGGGATTCCTCGGTTCCGACGTATGGGAATGCCTCCATTACGCATCGAGGGCTATTGTTAGGTCGCCAATAGTGTTGGATGCGCGTCGGCGTTCGTGCCATGACATCCCGCCGTGCTCTAGACTGAGTTCCGACGCAGCCTTCTGTGCGATCACGCTCAGTGAGCAGCACACATCACCGTCCCGTCCTCACCCCCCCTTTAACCGCGCGGGCATTTGTTCGCCTCTCACCGTGCATGATGCGTTGTTGCTAGGCTCTCGCGAGGATGATTTCCATTCGTGTCACGCGCCGTCGGAGGCTTGCCTGCGCCGTCCACATAATTCATGCTTATCTGTCTGATGAGGCAGCGAGAGGGTCCCTCTTGACGGATAGTTCTCAGGCAAAGCTTTCCAGCTGATGATGGCGAGCTGTACGCGAGCCTGGCCGAGATGTGCCTCTCGGTCGTATGGATGGGACCCAAGGGGGGAGGTATCCCGCGAGGGCTGAGAGATGCCGATACATATACATATCATTCTCGATCAACTTCTCTCGTTTCCGCCACCGAACCGTTCGCCGGTCGCCCACGTTTCTCTTTCCTGTCTGCCACCCAGTGGCCCAATCATCCGTATCGCAACGCGACACGACGCCGGTTTACTACCTAGTAATACGACCGTGACCCCCCCCCCCCCCCCGCGCGCGCACACCCACACCCACGCGTACTTGCACGCCGGGCTCGACAGCGAACACCTGTCCATCATGAAGGCTTCGACTGCGCTCCTGCTGGTTGGCTGGGCGGCTACCCGGGCTTTCTGCTACCCCGGACTAAGCCGCGCGATGGCCGAGCTCCAGGGCCTCGAGGGTGGCCAGTCTTCGCTGGGCAAGCGGTCGACCGAGGTCATAGGCGACCTAGCGAGCATGCCCGACGACGCGCTGACGCCGAGCGGGACGGCGATCAAGGAGATCCTAGCGGGCGGCAGCGCGAACGCGGACAGCACTACGTACACGCCGCCGGGGGACTTCCTGTCGGCCACGTGCCAGCGCATCCTCCTGTGCGTCTGGCACTGGGTCGTCGTCGAGCTGCGCGCCGCGTTCCGCGACGACGCCGGCTGCACGGCGCTGGCGCGCGGCGCCATCCGCCAGGGCTTCCACGACGCGGCGACGTGGGACCGGGACTCGGCGTACGGCGGGGCGGACGGGTCGCTGCTGCTCAACGACGAGGAGCTCGCGCGGCAGGACAACATGGGGCTGGCGGAGATCGCGGCGCAGACGCGGGCGTGGCACGCCAAGTTCGCGCCGTACGGGGTGGGGATGGCGGACCTGATCCAGACGGCGGCGCTGGTGGCGACGGTGTCGTGCCCGGGGGGGCCGCGGATCCGGGCGTTCGTGGGGCGGCGCGACGACGCGCGGCCGGGGCCGGCGGGGCGGCTGCCGCTGCCGTTCCAGGACGCGCCCGAGCTGCTCGCCCTGTTCGCGGCCAAGACCTTCACGCCGGGTGACCTGGTCGCGCTGCTCGGCGCGCACAGCGCGTCGGCGCAGCGCTTCGTCGACCCGGCGCGCGCCGGCACGCCGCAGGACTCGACGCCGGCCCGCTGGGACACGCGCTACTACGGCGAGACGCTCGCCGGCGACAACAGCACCATCCTCATCTTCCACAGCGACAGCAGCATCGCCGCGTACGCCGAGACGCGCGCGCGCTTCCGCCAGTTCGCCGCCGTCGGCGGCCAGATCCTGTGGAATCCCGTGAGTCTCTCCCCTCCTTCCCTCCCTTCCTCCCTCCCTCCGCTCTCTCTCCCCCATTAGCTAACGCACCGGCGCAGGCCTACGCGCAGGCGTATTTCCGCATGAGCATGCTGGGCGTCACCAACCTGAACAACCTCACCGAGATCACCTGGGTGCTGCCCCTGGCGCAATAGCAACCGTGCGAGTGCTCCCCACGGGGTTCTGGGATGCGGATGGTGAGACCGTCCGTGCATGCCAAGGAGGAGCGTGTGGGGGGGGCATCGTCATAGGTATACCTTACGCGCACCACGGCTGAGACAACGGTGGCGGCTGATCGTGGGTTCTTGGTAGTTTTAATACCCACACCGCGTACTTTCTCTCATATTACTTGGATTTGATCCTTGTGCACTCCGCTGTTTCGTTCCACGTGAGGTGATCTGAAGCCATCGTGTCGAAGGTATTCTGTGACGGTTGGATTATATCCTAGTATTGTCTGTTTTATGCTGTTGACTCGTCCCCCCGCGAGTACGCGAAGGTAGGGAGCAACTGAAACGAGGACAATGTCTGTCTGCATTAAGCCTGTAACGAAATTGGGGATTCTTACGTTTCTTTGTATGTTGTAAGTAGGTCGCTCTTCGCCTTCCGAGTCTCGCGTTCTTATCTCCTGTGAACGCTCCCTCTATTATTTCTTGATACTGACTTCTTTAACATACCCCCTTGACAAAAACGCTAAGATCTAACATGGGATTAGAACCGGAGGTGTGCTTGCTCGCCGGCATCCGGAACGAGATGAAGGACACGAGAATCTACTCGTATTGGCCGATGTGAGTTCTGCCGGTCTAGCTTTTTTTAAAAATCACTGACTTAATGCAGCTATGTCATCTACGGCCAGAAGCCTTATTGCTGGTTTGCCAGGGTTTGGGGATAGCCTTGTCGTTTGGGAGGCATGGCAAAGTGAATTTGGGTGTATGTATCGTCGTCGAATAGCAAGCAGAGCATCTTTTGCACAACTTGGAATTGAACGCTAGCATAAAAAAACACGGGACTCAAGCTCATGACTTTCTTCGAAGTGCGTTTCGGACATCCCGACTGCAGCCAAACCCTGCCCAGCTTCCTCCACCACAGCAAAAAGGAGACGAAAGAAGAAGAAAAATAAAAGACATTGCAGCATTTCCAAGCATTGCCAACGTCCCATATGGCTGGTCTTCGCTTCACCGGAGCTCTCGTACGAGATCTACGGCTACTAACTCAGGACACCACGAGAAGGTGCCAGCCAATCGTCCTGAATCAGCCAGAACTTCCTGACCGATACCTCCGCCGAAGACCACTTGCCCAAGGCTTCATAGGCTGCCCCAATTATGGTGAGTGGTGCCAAGAAACAAGCGAAAGAAAAATATCCAACTCACATTTACTGGGCGTTTGCCCGGATGGCAGCTCTTTTGGCCCGTACCACGGCTCTGGAGGCCTTCTGGAGGGCCCGCATCAGCCGGCGAAACTTGCCGTTATCGAGACTGTCGAGGACGTGGACAGCGTTCCAGGCGGCCAGGTGGCTGGCGCGGGCCCTCGCGAGTGCGGCGTCGGCGGAGACAACACGGCCAGATCGAAGTATCGGCCTAAGGGAAAGGCACGTTAACTAGATATTCGTTGAGAACACGCGTTTCTCCCATGGAGGTTGATTCATGACAGATCGCAGTCAGTCTGGACCAAGTCCCATCAATGTTGATGCATCGGCTCGGTCCAGTCTAGACCAATCGAGTCCGGCAAGGACTGGTGTGAAGAGCCGAGATGGGCGCAAAGGGACGGTGATAAGACCAGGCAGTACTCACATTGGTGGTGGCGATGGTAGTGGTGGTGGCAATGGTGGAGAGGAGGAGGACGAGGAGTACGAGGACGAGGAGTACGAGGACGAGGAGTACGAGGACGAGGAGTACGAGGACGAGGAGAAGAGAGGGCGAGACCGAGGCGGGCAGAGGACGGCCATCTTATTGACGTCCGTCACAGGAAGGAGGACTCTGTTTGACGGGGGAAGTTGTCTTGCGCTTTTATGCGCTGCGATCGGTTGCTTCCTTGCGTATTTGCCAGAGGGACACGGGCGAAACCACTTGACAGGGAAAGTTCAAATGATAGATGGCATCGCCATGGGACTCGATGACGCCTCGCGCCCGCTGCTTGTCGACCCGAAGTGCGTGACGCGAATGGCCCTCGAAGGCCACGCGTCGCCACAGTTCGACCACGCGAGGGCTCAAGTCCATATTCCATGTGCCGCGCCAGGCGACAGAGGCATGGTCCTTGCCCGTGTGGTGTATAAATGCACATGCATTCTCTGTGTGGCCATTCCAGAGGACTAGAGTCTGCAGTTTCGGCATCCGAAGCGCGGTAATACCAGCGTTGAACAGCAAGGCATCGATCTCCTTACGACTTCCCGTCTCTCGGAGAAGTTGCGATGTCAGCGCCAGTCACTCCAGGCGCTCCCAAGTCCAAGTTGGCGTGCAAGCCTGGAAGAAATCCCGGGCGTTGACCATGTAAGAGACGGAGAGCTGTTCAAGGTCGAGACTCCTTGCAGCAAAAGCCGCGCCAAGCTGGGGTTCTACGACGCGGGAGGCGCTCACTAGGATCGCCCCGGGGGCCGTGTGCGACAAAAAGGACCAGCTCCAGCTTGATGCGGGGACAGCGCCGCCCAGTGCTGCGACAATATCTTCGCTGAAATCTTCAAAAGCCGATATTCTCTTGAGAGTTTGGGGAAGGTGTCGCTTGACGAAACTTATGAGCTCTGCGACCCAGATCTTAGTGACCAAATGTGAAAAATGTGTGTGTGTATCTGTGTGTGTTTTTTTTTGGGGGGGGGAAGGTCTCGACACGTACTATTATCTTGGAGGACTCTCGATCGGTTAGCCCATTCCCTCCATGGCTCATAGATAAGGTGTTCCAAACGACCAAACTTGTTCAATATACGCCAAAGATCCCCAATCCTGATGCGACGACGTAATTGTCGACGTAGGATGAAACATGTGACGCCGTCGACTTGAGCAAGTTTTTCCTGGTTATGCAGCTGGAGCGGCTCGAAGAGCCCCCAGTATAGCTGACCTAGGGGGAGTCGTATGCTGTCGGCCATTGGCCCAATCGTGCTCTGGGTTGTGCCACTTGCGGTTGGTTTCCTGTGTAAAATGTGTAGAAGTTGCGTCTCCGTTACCGTCGTTACTGGAGGTGAAATAATAGTTCTTAAACCAGTGGTCCGAGTCGCTGGGAGAATAGGCGTTGAGCTCCAACGTCAAGCCATTCGCTAGCTTCCAGGTGCTGAGGATACGGAATAACTTTTCGATTCCCTTGGTAAAGACTAAGCTGTTTTGCCCTAACCGTTCGCTCTTTTCGCAAGTTCGGCATGTGTACTTCCGCAATTCGATATCGAGGCAAATATGGCGAACGAGCTCTCTCGGACGAACGATGATACGTTCAAAATCATTGAGGCAAGACGCTCGTAGCTTCAGCCGGTGGAAGTTTCGCCTCTCTATGACGGACTGCCATTCTTTGCAGACGGATGCGAAAGAAGCCCAGCCGGGATGCTTCTGCTGTGTAATCGCATCCAAAATCATGAGGCGAATCTCGGCGGGCAGAGACGTCCAGCAGACAGGTCGTTGTCTTGTCGAGCCGCGAAGTCTCATTCCATGGCGACTAGTAGTGCTGGAAGCGTCCTCCATGCCGGAAGGGAGGGGAGATGGCTGGTGTTGAAATGGAGGGTAGTGAGAGAGAAGGGAGATGATCGGGCCCGATGGCGATATCAATCTTACCGCGAACCTTCGGTACTGAGGATAGTTGATAAGGGCACAGAACCCAGACATCGCAGCCACACCTGGCCACCTGTGGCTATGTGGCACTAGGTATTAAGGGCTACGCAGAGGGGCATCGAATCATGCATTAGGGTATGCTAGGTATAATAATATAATCTATATCATTGTGTGTATTACTTATCTGTCACGTAAAACGTAGACGCCTACATTTACGCTTTGCGGTATGTAGGCATATAAGGGCTGGCTCAATTGGTATGTAACGTTATCTTTTATTTACTTACCTTAGAGCAACGCTCTGTATTTCGAGAGTCGTTCGCGTCTTACCTACCTACCTCTGCTCTTGGCCCTCTCTCATTTTCGTGAATTCCAACCCAATCTGGAAACGAGAGAGCCTCGGAGTCAATTGGGTCCCAGCGCAAGGCGGGTTTACATACCTACCTACCTGGATTCCATTCATGACGGTTCGTCCGTCTCGTTCGTGAACTTCAGCCCCCACTCCTTCTTATACCGCGCAAGCCTCTTCGCCGCAAACTCTGCCTCGGCAAATAGGCCAACCTCGTCTAGCAAGTCTATCACATTGTACGGGGCTCCCTCGGCTTGGGCTTCATGTAGGTGATACATGACACTCAAGTACTCGGGGACGGGGGCGTGGATGGCGAAGTGCGTGAGGCCGACGCAGATTCTCGCCCATACCTCGACCCAGGCGCCATCTAGCGTTCCCGCCGCTTGACGGAACTCTACAGTGTGTTGTTCGAAGGGGCGGCTCTGAGCTATGGGGCACGCGTACGAGTCGAAGTTGTAGTTCGGGCGCTCGTTCCTCGAGACTCGGTGAAGCAGTTGCAGCGTGCACGAGCTGCTTGCTGAGAATATCTCCGCGAGACCGGCAAAGACCCCGATGTCGGGCTCTGCCTTGCCATTAGGCCGCCATATGGCATGTTCCACATTGAATTCTCTGCGGATCCGATCTTGGTCCTCTGGTGTAAATACCGGAATCTTAAAATGGCCTAGACCCCGCCGGGGCCGCGTCGAAACATACGGAGCGCCTACGTCCGCGGCGATGCCTTCGTCGTCGGCCTTCGCTTTGTGTCTCTTTATACGAGACTCGATTTCCCAGTCCTCAAACAATGAAGCCAACTCAAGTTCCGACGCCGACTCGTCGTAGGTCTTGCGGGTCTCGTTGTTTTTCCGTTCATCTTCGGCATGGTCTCGCCAAATGAAAGGCTCGTAATGGCCGGGTGCTCTAGTTGCTTCGAAAGCCTCGATGTGATGCCGGCTACGATTGTCGCGCCGCCACTGTATTGGCAGTTCCCCGTGCCGCGTCCCGGCGAAAACATATCGAGTGCAGAATTTGTCACGCGTTCCATGGCTTCCCGCAAAATAACCCTTACTGCTTTTACCATGTGATAATGCACTCCCCTCCCTTATGTTCTGCGTGTAGTAATTGTATCTCCGGTGTGGTGGGTGCAAACAGCTCAGCAGCGGGTCCGCAGCCCAGAAAAATCCGAGGGCTCGCCGGATGTGCTCGAGCGTCATGTCGTTGTCGCCGTCGCCTACATGGACATGGAATCCGCAGGATGTGTTGGTCAAGATTCTGTAATTCGACTTCAGTAGCTCACAGACATAGCGAAGTACCTTGAAGACCACAGGAGTGTTGGCCCTTTCAGCCGGCGACGTTATCTCAACTCCCGTCCAGTGATACCCCTGAATCTCAGGGTGTCGGATACTGCGATCATCTTTTACCACCCAAGTCTGGGAGACGCTTTGAGGGGTTAGGCTGGCAGGGAGGCCGTGGGCGACGAGCGTCTGTAGGATGTGACTTCGTACACAATCATCCTCATAATAGTAAGGTTCATCTCGTTTCTGGGCGGGTAACTTGAGAAGTGGTGGCAGCTGACCTGCCAGGCTTTGATGAATATCAGGTTCATCATCCCATATCCATGCAATGACCATCTCAAGCTCGATACCAAATGTTCGGGCCCGTGGCCGCGGATATACCTGATCCGTAGCGCACATTGTAGGATATCGAGTCGGCGAGGTTTCGGTATAGTATCCGAGGCGTACGTGTCGACAGATGACAATCAGAGCGAAGGGACAAAGACGGTTATCTTATGCAAGGTCACTCAACACGTCTATTTTCTCACAAGGGCATTGTTTACAAAGAGAGACAGTATTCGTCAATAACATCAGGCTAACCCCGAATACAAGGAAGCACGGATCCATGACCTGCACGAAAGACGCCCGGAGAACGTAGGAGGAGTACGATACTTCGCTGCCCAGTCCGATTAATACCCATATATCAGCCTAACCACCTTCGGTGTAATAGGCAGAATTATTGCTCGCGGCATTCCCTGGTTCATGTCGACATCCACCTGTCGTCCGCATCGTCTGTCACTGCAGAATGGACAGGGTACTTCTCCACCCACCGGTCAACCGTGTATCGCATAGCACGAGTGTCATAAAACTCATCTAGGGCCTGGTTGAGATCTAGGCGGAGTTGGCATTAGTTTTGCTTCGTGCTTAGACGTTGGTGATACGATCTTTACCCCGAAGTGGCATGCCACGCGACGGCTGTAGAGAGAACCGAGATGAGCTTTCGTTGATCAAGGTGAGGTGGCTCGGGATGAACGTCCCTTCGCAGCTAAGTTTAGCTAATGTTTGTTGGTATAGATGAAGTTCTATTACCTTTCGGGATGCTATATATGTAAGGGGCATAGACTGACTTGTCGGCCATCATCATCTCGGCGATGAGCAGCTTCATCAAGGTTCCGGCGTAGCAGCTCTCTCATTACGACAGTGTTTGGGGATAAGACAACGCCGTTTGAGACACCTACGTCTATCAGCGCTGGATATTTCTCAAGAGGTGGGGGGGGCAAAGTGACCAACGCGAATCATCGGAGACGCTGGGATACACGAGGCCGTTTTCCTTTACACTAATGCTATCCTTGATGGAGTCGCGTGGTCTAACTCGGGCGATCTCGTTATATAAGTTTGATTTCTCACTTATGCCGTAATGCTGCCCGAACCTTGCCCTCCAGAGCCGCAGACAGCCTGCCGCCTTACAGGTGGTAAGCCGGCACTAAATAAACAGGGCGGACATAGGGGAGGCACTGGGTGCCCCAAGCTTATGGTTTAGTCAATTGGCAGTGTTCTGTAACCGAGAGGATGCAATGAACCGGAAACTCTTCGCGAGGGCTTCGACAGGGGGTCGTTTTGGGCGACTCCGACTTTGAAGCCAACACAAGGGTTCTCTTTTCTGCCACCAAATGCTGCACACTATGTTTCTATATACGTGACCTTGATTGATCGTACCCATAATACATGATACATACCTTTACAATATTAGATATATCCCTTATATAGCGAAAGGATCGGAACCCATTAAAGCCGATATCGATATTTTAACTCCTCCGGCCTCCCAAGACCGAAGGAAGTAACGCCAGCCAGAGAGTGATGGCTGACAGTTGATGTGGTCATAGGAAGAGAGGCCAGTGGTAGGTATAGGTATATATTTGTGTGAATGGGCATGATCGCACGACTTTTTCACGGGGCCCTATGTTTGAGGCTACATTATCTCGGACTGTCCTGGTTATTGACTCAATCCCCGAGTAGGCAGCCCGTAACTTTATATTTGTATATTATGAATCCGTAAGCAGTCTTGGAGGTCATACAGTAGGATGTCACCCTGGACAAGTAAGATACAGGAGAGGGAGGGGGAGGGAAAGCGGTGATCACACGCGACGAAATTCAGCGAGCCAAGCTTTGATTTGCACGCCCGCCGGCAAGCCCGGTCTAGGCGATAGCCGTACCGGGTCTTAAAAAGGGGTAGCATCAACACTCCACCCAAGACGTTCATGCAGTAAAGCGCACAGGTCACGCGGCGAATTGGACAACGGCATTAAAGGGTGTCCCATGGACGAGTCTTGCAGAGCAGCAGTTTATAGGTGACTGTTGGTTAACAGGCAGCATTTTCTCTGCATAATAGTACGCAGCTGCTAGGCCTGCAGCTAGGAACTACATTGCCCTCGCAGAGCGTACCGACATGTCTGCTTTATCGCCTCCGTACACTTTCTGAACATCTACGCGCGCAAATATTTCCCTGGCCCGGTGAGAAAACCCTCCGTTCATTTGCCACCAGAAGGGATCTCAAAAAACACCATTGGCGACGTGTCATGACCACGATAGGGTGCGTCCAGTCGGTAGTACGCCTTCCGCTCAAACTGCACAACGGCACCTTTTGGCAGGTCCACCACGTTGCAGTCAGCGAAGGCGCGAGTTGTGAACTGCGTTGTGGGCGTAAGGCACTCCTCGAGCACATCCGAAGGCTCGAGCTTGTCTTTGGTGATAAGATGGTCAAAGGCCATCAGCTCCACCGGGACCATGTTCTCTTCCACGGCCGCCAGCCACGTAATCTTCTTGGTCTTCTTGAAGTCGCGCGAGTCGAGGTCCAGCTCTAGGGCCAGGCGTTTCACGACAGAATGCGGACCGCTGCCCTGGCCGTGGTCGTCGGCAGTGGCCGCGCCGGCGTCACCAGTACCACGCGGCTGGATCCTAGAGATGTCCCGAACCGTGGCGTTGCCCCAGTTCATCAGTGTGACCACCTCTCCGATCTCTAGGCTCTGTGCATCGGACTGCTCGAGTATGATGATCCTGTCCGTCTTGACCTTCCGAGTGCCCAGGCTCAGGTTCTTGACGTACTTGGGCACGTCTGATGCGGCGGCATCAACAGGCGTGCCATCGCGGTGACTCACATCACAGTACACGACGTCGTCGGCCGCGATGGCAGTATGCCGGGGAGCTACAGGGTCGATGTACTTCCTGTTGGTGGCCCAAAAGGTGCCCCACTCCAGGTTGAGGATGTTACGGCTGGGACCCTGCCTCAAGATGAACTCGCGGAGGGCGGGCACGGCCATGCCGCGGCGGATGATGCCTCGAACCGTGGGCATGCGCGGGTCGCTCCAGTCCCAGACCTTGCCCTCCTTCACTATGCGCGTGAGCTTCCGTTTCGAGAGGACGGTGCGCACAAAGTTCAGACGACTGAAGTCCCAGATGGGCACCGGGCGCAGGCCGAGGGCCTGCTGTATCCATTCGTACTGGGCATTGCGATCACGGTACTCGTTGGTGCGGAGGGCCAAGGTAACGCCCTCGATGGAGTCCAAGATGGGCGCACAGAAGTCGTACGTTGGATACACCTTCCAGCTCGTGCCCGTACGGTGGTGTCGGGTGAGGTTGCACCGGTAAATGACGGGATCGCGCAGGGTGCCGTTGGGGCTATCATAGGCGATGCGAGCACGGAGACACCATCGCTGGCCCTCGGCGGATCCCGTTCGCATCTCCTGGAAGCGTTCCAGCGTTTCTTGGATACCCATATCTCGGTGCTTGGAGGGAAGCCGATTCTTCCTGCTCTCGTCGCCTTTGCCGAGCTCCGAGTCGTCGGCAAAGGCCTTGCCGTCTCGGATCATCTGGACAGCCAGGTCGTACATCTGCGGAAAGTAGTCGCTGGAATAGCTCGTCTTGTCGGGAACGATGTCTAGCAAGGCCAAGTCCTCGGCGATAGCGTCTTGGAAATCCATCGACTCGTTTGACGGATTAGTGTCGTCAAACCGACAGATGAGAACGCCGCCAGGATTCCGGTGGGCAAAGTAGTCGTTGAGAAGCGCTGCCTTAGCATGCCCGATATGAAGATAGCCGGAGGGCTCGGGAGGAAACCGGGTAACCATGGGACCGTCAACTTCCGGCAAAGCCACCACGTCGAAGCTGGCGCCAGCCGCCGAAGCGGCGGCTATTGCTCGAGTGCGTTCCTTGACGTCGGCAGCAGTGAAATCGGTGAGCACGTCCGCGAACCACGGGTTAGAAGCCTCGATAAAGTGGTACCACCGCGAGACATTGCAGTACACCTTCTTGGCCAGGGACAGGGCAATAGGATTGCCTCGGATGGTTGCCCACACGGCAATGTCGGCGGGGGAAAGGTCGTAGCGGACGATATAGGTGCGTAGGGTCAGATGAGACTCGATCTCTAGGAGTGACTGGTTCAGGTTCTGAGGGTTTCTCACGGCCAAGTCGTAGCTACGTCGAACCCACTCTTGGACCTGGTAAGGACATGGTGATCAGAACGAGACGGCAGCTGGTCAGAGAGCTCAGCACTTACCGAGGCGCTTTGCGGGGGCGGTAGCTTCAATGTAGAGGACACCAGCTGCTCCATGACATCCCGGTCACTCCAGGTTGTTCCCTCGGCTCCAGGAGAGGTAAGCTGGACAGAGGCGCCATTGCGAAGGGAGGCAGCTCGAGTATACGTCTTGGAAAGTGGTAGCCAGCTTGAGGGAAGCGACTCGTTTCGTTCCAGGTAGCTCGCCAACAGCAAGCTGGGCAGAACAAGAGCCAGCGGGGCTTTAGTGGCCGCTTCGAAATGAGCCATCTTGCTACAGTTGACTGACTCGGTTTAGAGAGATGGAGGGGAGAAGAGGAAAACCAGATTTCAGACTCGTGAGACCTACCACCTATTAACCCCGCAACGCACGTGTCATAATGGTACCTGAAGGTGGCGGGGTACGCGATACGTACAACTTATGCACTAACAGAAAATCATAGATTGAATATTAAATAAAGAATACCTACGTCTAAGAATATGGATGGGGCCTGTCCAGGTGCATCTCCTCTGCCTCGAACCAATCTCTTCGCCAACTTTGACCTTTACCAAGGTTACAAAAGTTGACCGATTGCTCAAAGATCAATCAGCTGAAGGCTTATACCTACATATACAGCTGCAGCGTTAAGGCCGTCTAACAGCTTGATCGAGACCGAGGTCATCGATATCCCCATCAACAAGATCTATCCTCGAAAATGAGTGTCACGTGTGAATGTCCCCACTCAACCTGCGATCGTTGGTTTTCTGGTAAAAGGTAGATGGACAATCATTATCAAGAACAGCACGCAAACGCCGAAGACGGGCATGTATGTTCCAAACATCTTTGCGGCAAATCGTTTGTTTCGTTAGAAGATCTGAAGAAACACATTCGGCGTCATCGAACTCACCGGTGGGAAGTGTCCGCGGAGTTTATGTTCTAAGGCGCAATATCAGTCAAGGAAGGTCCTGGAGGCAGTCCATTATCCTGCAGCATTTAAAAACCACTACAAGCTAGGGGAATATATTGATCAACATCACAAATGCCCTGAGGACGGTTATGCAGTACCGGATATGAGATATCGCAGATGCCTTAGCTTGAGCAAAGGTATATAGATAGCGTGTAACAGAGTGCCCTGCACCTCTTGCCAGACCGCAGGGCTCGGGTGTGAGTCGCCGCCCGCACACATCAGGCTTGCCAAAATATATGGCGTAGACAATCGCAGGTTTTCTGCACTTGCAAACAAGAGCTGCCGGAATCGGCCAACACGTGTTACCACTGCAGTATCAACGGCTTGGATTGTGATCGAGAGAGGCCTTGTTCCGAGTGCATAGCAGCTAGAAGAGGATGCCGAGAAAGTCCGAGCATAAAATGCAACAAGGTCACTCAACTAACGTATTCGTACCCTAGGTATTTAGGCAAGGCGCCTCGTAGCAAACGAAAAGATCTTTTAATAAGGTCTCAGACTAGCCTAACTAGTCCCCTATACCTTATTCTAACTTCTAACCAGATTAGACGATTATACTAAGCTTTTTCTCTATTAATTAAATAGGATACTGTAGTGGTGCAGTGGATCTAGGCCACGTAGCCTTTTCGATGTCTATTTATATGAGTCGCGCACTCATATTTTCATTAGTGAGACTTAGACCTGTAGCCATCACTAGTTACAGCTATTCACTCCTTTTGCCATGCCTTTTCTCGCCATCCTCGTTGCCCTTTTCTAGTCTCCTTCCCTTTCCTAGCTGCCGTTTCAGCTAGCCGATCAACCGATTACAGCTGTTTACAACTGTAATCTTGGTTGATCGGCACTGAGCCAGTTGTTGGCAGTTGGGTAGCCCTTTTCGTGCCTCTGTCAGCGTGCCCACGCTGCTCCTGTTCAATAAATCTATATTTCTTTATATATTCTATAGATTATCTAAATTTAATCCTATTAAAATTAAAATTTTTCGAAAGTTCAAATTACTAACCTATATATTAATTTTAATTACTAATTAATTAAATTTATAATATTAAACGTATTATATTTTATCATTTTTTATCTTTATATTTAAGTATTAATTTTTTTTCATTAAATATAGATTTTATACTTAATTTAAATATAATAAATCTTAAGCTTAACTTTAAATTAAACTTATTTTAAAATGATAATATTATTATAAACCTTTACAATTAATCTAGAATTAATTTAAAAGTATAAAAGTTATAAAATTTTAAATTAAGAACATATAAGAACGTTATAGAAAAAGAACAAATATTACTCTTAACTTATTAAAGATTAATTTTTAATTGATTTTAAATTATATTACGTAAAGAGCCACCTATACATGGCTGCCTACCTCTTCTCTAGTTGCTCGCCTACTTAACCTAGCTCCTAGCTCCCTATTATCTATATATAGGTAGCTCATATCTCCTTTATTCATTTCCTTCCTTCTTAAATAGTCAGTCAATTCACCTTCTTCTTTTCACATTCCGTTGCTCTCAGAAGCAACCTCAGTGCCTACGTAGCTCTCCTGATCTACAGAATAATTCGCATTACGAGCAACTCATCTCCTCCTTTCCCCTCTGACCCTTATCATCCCCACCCCCCTTTATCCTTTCCACCCTAGGCAGCAACCATGAGAAGACTTTCTGGCGCAAGCATGGTTCTTTCCTCCTCGCTTCCTCTTTATTTATCCCGTTCCAGGTTTACGAGGTCGCAAGAGAGGAACGGGAAAAGACAAGGAGCTGCTAAGCCGCCTACTGGAATGCTCAGATAATTGACCTTAAGGGAAACTCGTGACGACAAAGGAAATCAAAACGAAGCGCGATGGCACTCCCCGAGCAAGTATTGCCTAAGGTATCTTCCATGCTCCCCCTGAGACCTCTTACCCTTTCTGCGAATTTGGTATCTTCCTCTCTCGTCGCCCCATTACTCCCTCGATATGGAAAAGAAGAAGAAAAACATAGCGCATAACGAAAAGGAGGTCGACTGCGATAGTACCGCGGAACCGTTCTTCTGTTTTGTCGAACCTAATAGTAACACACAAGAAGCCAGGGCTACGTCTCTTAAATTCTTGGGCCGCCTGCCTCGTTAGAGCGGCGATAGCCCCTGTATTTGCCAAATGTTTCACGGGGAGAGTTTCGAAGAGAAGAGCATTGTGTTGGACTGTAGACGTCGAACATCGAGAAAACTAGATTCCAGTCTGGCTCTCGCCGAGAAAGAAAAACTGAACGAAATTTTCTAATGGTATCATCGGAATACGGGGGATAGACGAAGTTTAAAAGAAAAACTAGGCGTATTAAAGAGCATCCAATGCGGGTTATGCCGGATGCTACAAATGAGAGTAATGAGATGTGTTGGAGACGACCCGAGGAATGGGAGTAAATGATCCGCGTCGTTTTAGAGCCAATTCCTCATCCTGAGAAACCAACTCTAGCGGCGTCTAGGAGGGGTTGGAGTTCCGGGTCCGGAGGTACCCTCCATGTTACCCGTTAACTCGGCAACACGGGCCTTGATGCGCGCCACACGGGACTCGATGGCTTCGACGGGTTAGCAATTATATCGAGTTCCATAAAAGGACAGAGAGCACTACTTACTCTCTTCACCACTGCCGCTAGTGTCATCGCCGTCTGTGGTCTTGCTGTATGCACCTCGACTCTGCTCCTCGCTCTGTCGGGCGGCGCGATCGGCCGCGTTTTTCCGAATAGCGGCCCATCGGTCCTGCCTCGGAACGGTCGGTGACGGCGCACCTACGTCGTCGTCCTGCTCAGCCGGGGGATGTCGGCTAGGGTGCCTAGCGATCGGCGGCGGGGCAGCGCTGTCAACGCTTTGATCCTCATCGGGGACGAAGGCGGGTTGGTCTAGGAGCGGACCTTGATCGAAGCGAGAAAATTCGTGGCGAGCCTCGGCGGCATCCGCGGTATCAACGCGAGAAAGATTGTCGTCGATCGATGGGTCGTACGCCGGCTCGGGGCCCGCCGGTGTGATGGGTGTCTGCGTGGGTGTCTTGTCCTCGGGTCGTTCCCTAGGGGTCTTGAGGCTGGCGTCAGAATGAGCTGCATCCGGAGGGGCGGGTAGCGAGCGCTGTGCCGCGGGTGCCGTAGAAGGGGCGCCGGCCGCCTCGGGCGTTTGAGGCGGATTTGCAGCTAGCATTTTGTTCACTTCAGCAGCGGCATTCTCTGGCAGCTTGGATTGTCGATTCTTGTTTCGACTAAACAGCTTCTTGAAACCGCTGGGTTTCTTTTCCTCCTTGTGCAGCTTCTTGTGTTTTTTGTTATCAGGGCTGACCGGCTCGGGAGAGAGCATGTTTTCCCGAGTCGCCTCCATGCTCTCCTCTGCACGTGGAGTGGGGGGCAACGGCGAGTTCCGGCCGGCGGGTTCCAAACGCTCAGCAGTACGGATAGGTTTGAGGGGATTCGGTTTCTTCTCGGGAACTGGAGCCGGGGTTTGAGCCGGGGTACCACCTGATGCCGCTGGCTTTTGCTCGGGCTCTGGTGAGCCTTGAGGCACAGCAGCCGAAGACGGGGCGTGTTCTACGGCGTCCGGATTGGGACCGCTGCCATTAGCTGCCGGTCCACTCGCGCCGGCAGGGTTAGACGCTAAAAGTGATGTTTGAGACACACCACGGCCGGCAAATGCATTTCCCAGATAGGCTTCGCGAATAGCTTCTTTATCGTACTTGTTCGCCCACTTCATCGCTGGCGAAGCTGCATTCATGATGCTCGGCTGTAGGGTAAGGACGCTGTTAGTCTTTTCCTTCATTAGCTCAACGTCTGTACGCCCGCGCCGCTCAATTTTGGGTTCCGGCTGCTTTTCCTGAAGTTGTTTTGCCTGTAGTCTCTGTGCGGCTGCCTGGATCTTGGCTTGTTGATCAGGCCCGATGCTCGTCTTACTCGAGCCAAGACCAGCCGGTACACCGGGCCTCAGACGATTATCGGTGCCCGGCTTCGCAGACGACTTGCTACGAGTGACGCCTTTGTTGCGCCTCGTCCAACTGAAGAACCCCTTCTTCTCCGCGATATAAGCTCCGGCATCGAGTTCAGGGGCCGCACCTTTCACCATCTCTTCCATCAAGAGCCACCGGCCCTCGCGGATGACGGTCTCGAGAACGGTACATCGGCCAAAGGCAGATTTGCGATCTGCAGTTTCCTCAGGAGCTAAACTATTCATCCACACCCACCAGAACGCGTCGTCCAGGTCGATTCGAGTGATGCTGGCGAGTTCTGCGGGCTCCAATTTACGATCGCTCTCTAGGCGCGGGCGGTGCGACTGCGAGCTCCGTTGCCTGACTGCTGTCTCGATTGGCGGTAGGATCTTGTCCGGAGGTAACAGGAGATTCGTGGGGCTATTGGGCGAATCATTGACGAATCCAGAGGATAGAAAATCTGCCCAGGAGGGCGTCGTTGGTCTCCCCAGGTTGGCCCCCGACGCAGGCATAGTCCGCAGTCCACGAGGATTGCGTGCCTGGCTAATCTTGGCCAACTCTGCGTCCTCATCCTCTTCCTCCAGGGCATCTCCGAAGCCGATGTCCTCGAAGCGCGACCACGAAGCATCCCGAAGGCCAGTAGAATGCTTGGAGCTGGACACGTGAGACTGGTTCGCAAGAGAAATCGCTTTAAGAACTCTCCGACATTCCTCGGTCAGGGCGGTCACGGGGTCTTCGTATTCCGAGAATTCTCGGAGCGCTCTGTCGTCATCCCGGTACTGGAAGTTGTTGGCTCGGCGCAGGAGCGCAAACGGCGTCGGAGACACTGTTTCCACGATCATAACCACCTTATACGTCGACGACATCATCAATGACGGCGTTTGCGGGGGGTACTCGGTTTCCTGCAGTAGTTTCTGCAAGGACATCGGAAGCATGGATATACCTGCACGAGCCTGTTGGGGAGAGAGGGACCTTAAATAGGCGAAGAACAGGTGGCTCGTCGCATCCGCAGCGCTAGGGGCTCATTAGTTGACCGATGCGAGGAGATTGATTTCGGGGACGCGCGAACCTCAGCCACGACTTATATCCGCCCTCGAAACCACTACCCGTATCCCCATATTCAAAGGCCCACCACGCCGCCATACGGGATAGCTTGCGGCCGCTGAGGCCGTTCGATTTACCGTGTGCCGCGATAGCTGAGAGCAGATCGAAATAGTCGAAAATGATGTGAGAGCGCGCTTGGTTTTCCACGCTTAGCGGAATAAAGGTCGAAAAGGAGTCGCGAGCCATGTTCGAGTCTACATCGTTCGTTTGCCCTTAGCATATATTTCGCATTCCTGCTTCTTTGCGAGGGGTACGTTATCCAGACATACCTTGCTCGCCGACCTTGAACAGCTCGTAGGCATCCCAGCCTACGAGACCGCCCGGCAGCCTGCTCCAGCACCATTTAAGAACGCCAGAGATGACCTGGTGGTTTGTTAATCACGGGACCCTGCGAGCCGGCGCATTTCGACGTGACGAGACGTACCATGGGTGCCACCATGCGTAACTCTTGGGCAAGAGGGTCACCAGACAGGTTCTGATCGCCATCGAAGAAGTGGCGGATAAAGGTGCGCACAGCGCTAGGGTCAGAAGTCGGGCGAAAAGGGAGAAGAAGAAAGGGAAGATCGAGGGCTACGCGTCACGGACTGGTTAGCCTAGGCTCGCGAGGACGAGGGCGCGTCAGGTTGAATCCCACCTCTGGCTTTGAGTTCCTCCGTACAACGCGCAACGAGCTCTTGGACTTCCTCCGGTTCTACCGACGTCCTGGTGTATGCGTCCTCCCACCGTGGCCTATGGGACAATTGGTGAGTCAAGTTGTCGAGATGGGGGTTTTTCCTAGACTTCAGTTTCGAAGGGTTGTCTTTGCCCCTTATTCTCGAAAAGAGGCTCGGCATCGTGATTGGCAGACTCGAGGTCGACGTCTGGATGGGTTAAGAAATTCCGGGTTTACACCATGTAGGTTGAAGTCGAAGAATGGAAGGGAGAGCGAGACACCCGAATCAGTGGTTTTTGGCAGGCGGTCAATGTTTTTTTTTTCTCCCTCGCTGCAGCACGGGCTAACTAACATATGGGATGATTGTGAGGGAAGAGGAAGAACTGTCCAATTTGCGTTGACAGGGAGTGGGGGTTGGGTATCAAGTGGTAAGTAATAATAACATCGATTGGTATTGGCAATGGAGCTCGTTCGACCTATCTGGGCGTGTATTGAATGCAAAGCGGCTGGGTTAGTTCTTCGTTGCTGGCGGGAAAACACAGAAGACCGGGGTGTGTGGGCATTGATTAAGTATGGGTGGGATCCACGCCTCGCCTGGCGACAGGAAAAGAGATAGGAAATAAGAGAATGGAACGACCAAACAACTGGGACTGAGGCCTTCACCGAGAGAGAGGGAGAGATGTGAGGCGACAGGACGAAGGGGTATCAAAATGCACAGGAGGGTTCGGAGCGACCCAAGCTGCGAGGCCGGGGAGCGAAGAGATAAGGGTATGGCAAGAGGAGGGAGGGAGAAAAGAAGAACAAAAAAAAAGAAGCAGCACAAATTAAAAATTAAGGGGCAGACAGGCCAAACGTCCCAAGAGGACCATATTGTCTGTTGCTCTTTCCCATCCAGGCCCAGCGTACCCGAGTACCTGAGCGCAGCTGCGTGCCTGATGTGTGCCGTCTATCCCTTCTCAGTATGGTGCTTGTCGCCAACGAGAAGGGCAGGCGCGGCCACGGCGGACGGAGTGCGATGTCTGGCCGGTAGACTAGCTACGTGGAGAAGGTGAAACCATGCCTGATTGGCCCATCCTGACAGGGGTTGCCATTGAGTTGTATGTGGAGACATGTACAGGACCGCGTACAGGTACGTCTCCGGCGCCGGCCTCGACGTGATGGGTTGAGGTCACTTTCCCGTACGCGACGCGCCTGATAATACTTTCGCGTCACGGGCCCAACAGGTACCTCCACCCCTTTACCAATACCGCACTTCTACCTGTGACCACTTGACGAGAAGAGAAACTCTAATTTAATTGCAGGGCGGGAAGTGCGCTAGCGGCCGGGCGACTTCCGGTTAGACTCTGGCCCAGTCTCATTTGTCAAGCAGCGACCTAACCTACCTCAACCTGCGTATACCAGGTACTACCACTACAGGTATGTACACTGTAGGTACCTAGGTATACACATTTCTATAGGGTACCTATGCGTTAGGTACTAGTACCCATATGAGAATTCTAGAAGTCGATATACAACCTACAACCTTAGGTTGAATCGGTATAGCACCCTAAGGCAGGCACATGGGTACCTAGGTACCTCAGACACCCCTGGAGGTACCTAGGAGGTAGGTATAGGTCAGGTCCAGGGGAAGAGGGGCGGAGGAGGGTTCTTCTCTCTACGTCATGTACGTACCTACGCCATAAATGAAAATCGCACACGCTTCAACGATAATCTCCTCTTCGTCTCAGTTGTTATAATCTTCTTCCCGCGCCTTCTAGGTATTCCCAGGGTCCTTCGTCATCGTCGTCCATGTAGGAACCCGAATCTAGACCTACCACCTTATATACCACATTCCCCATGCCTACGTCTCTTGTCGAACCTCTTTCGCTAGTTTGCCTAGCACAAGCAAATCTGCTTGGGTTACTCGTTCGTGTAGGAGCTCGGCGCCTCCACGACTCGAATCCATCAATATACGATATCTTTGTTTGTTCGTTTCGCCCCTCTCCATCTTTTCTTCTAGCGGTCTCGTGCTCTCGCTAGCTAGCTGGCTCGCCATGTTGTTGGCTATATACCCTATCTCCGACTCGGCCACACAAGCTTTGTATATGTGCGTTTGCTCTCCCGCCAATACGAAGAACTGGCGCTACGTCTCCCTTTAGCAGATGAAGGTGACTCGGGCTCTTCTTCCTGTTAGCTGCTTGCCTATCGACTCCCTAGTCTCGTACGGCACACTGTCAGCTCTAACCGGCAGATGTGGGCTAATCACAATCTACCCCAGCCTGGTTGGCTTAGTGGTAGCTTCGCCTTTTTTCTTTTTTTCCTCTCCTTTTCTCTCTCTCTCTCAAGGAACGTCACACCTCCTGCGTACATCGTCTATCGAATCTCGTCGGCAACGATTTGCGACTGACCTATGTTCCTTATGTTCGCGCATTACTGCCAGGTGTAAGATACCCTAGTATGGTCCTCAAGCCGCCATGTGTCAATACCCCGGTAGCGTAGGGCCTCAACAGAGAAAGGGTTGGACAACAGAGCAACACCGGCACTTCGACACCAACCCCGAGAAGTGCCGCCAGAAATATCGCACCATGTTCTACGTTGCCTATTTGCCTTGCGTCGGGAATTCGAGGCTGCTCGATGCTGTATTTCGATCTAGATTCAAGTCGTGTCTAGCCGTGTTCGCGGTACCTAGGTACAATAACTCACGTTGAAACAGGTGGAACAAGAATGCGTGCCGGTGAGGGAAACGAGATGTCGATGATGCCACACGCGGTTGACAGGTACCTAGTTGGTGGTCATGCGAGATACGGGATCCAACGAGGAGCCAAGACAATACTGCCGGTACCCTCTTTCCCCTCTCGTTCAAATCTCCAGGTCTGGTTCGAAGACATCACGCTTGCAGGAGTACAACTCATCATTCGAAACGAGAAGCCAATGGGTTCGTGGGAGCCACCCTCCCGGGCAGGACCAGTCACTTGCGCGGATGAGGGGTTGAGATGAGTTGGCGCGCGTTAGGCAACCAAACCCTCCATCAGGGTGAAGGGGGTTGTGGTGTGTATACTCGGACTGTCGGGGAAAAGGGGGAGCGCAATCTCAGTACCTCAGACGCACGAAATACCGTGTCAGCCACCACGCCCACCATTGGTCGCAGAACGTCGCGGTCGACGAACGGGTACGTCTAGAGACTCGGAGCTCCAATAACACGCAACGGCACTCCGCCAATGGCTTGCAGGCAACTCTGCCCAAATCAGGCTGCTCCTTGTCAGCGGTCTCGCCACGTCCGAGAGAGGCCACACCAGTCCGAAAACGCTTCTGGGAATGGCCTCCCCTATACCCGGGTCCCTCTACATATCTATACCCAAATAGCTTCATACGCAAACTCGAGCAGGCTACAGGCGGATATTTATTGCGATAATCCACTCTCGGGTCCCACGCCAGCCAAGCCCCCATATTGGAACTCTGGGAGATGATATGCAGGCGTGGAGGCTTGCCGTGCATATGTATGGGATTCAAGGGACTCGCGGACCTGCATGCCTAGCGTTGGATCTCAACGGGCGTCCCGTCGCCCCCTAACAGCCACGATAACTCTAGTACATGCACCTACCTATTTGCCAGTCACGGAGCCTTACTCTCTGCGCGTCACATACTGTTCCGACACCGGTGCTCCGCAGGCATTCGCCAGAAGCTTATGCAGGCCAGTAGATATGATGAATCAATTGCATCAATGGTAGGTGGGCGTATACATCCTGGAAGAGGAATATACCCTAGGTGCTGTCCGTCTCCCTTGCCTGTATAGGACTGACCGGGTGGGCAGCAGTTCATCTAACGACCTCTGGGAATCGCATGGCAAACGGAAATATAACCTAGATACCCAACACTCACAGGGCAGGGCAGTATGTGGTGGGGACAGCCAGGTCTCCTCCGTCCTCCCTCCCTCCATTTCCGGTTCCCGAGACAGTTCCTAGTTCCCGTAGCGGCATTGCATGCATTGCCCATTCGCAACCGCGATATCAACACATCCATGTGCTGACTACGGCTCTTCCGTTCTAGAAGTCTCACTAGTAGACGTGGTCACCGGGATGGAGGGGAGCGTGTCGGCGGCACGGTGCAGCGAATCCGTTCATGCGCCAAGACCCCGGTGATGCGCTGTGATCATGTTGCACACTCTGTCTACGGCGCCTTGGCTGGCTCTAGTCTCTGGTCGCGAGACGTACACTATGTATAACTGCCAGCCTGCTCTTACAAACCCTCCCTCTACCCAGACATACATGAGCTACGACAGGTACGTATGTGCTTGCGTATGCGTGCGCAATTTCCAACGTTGAACTGCTTTAAGGCTCGTTCGTCGCAAAGATCGTGGGCCGCTATCTACCTAATCTCCATTGGTGTCGTGCTTCGGTGCCCAACTGACACCACGATGCTTATCTGACCACGCCGTATGCATACCTACATCTATGCCACGCCAATCCCCCGGGTACGAGTCTGGAAAATACGATCCCTCCGTTTCACTTTGCGAATCTAGTCCGCCTCCCTGAAGGGTCGATCCCCCTCGATTGGCTAATAGTATATGTTTTCGAACAGTTGCTGCCGGACTATCTCTCGCCTGGTCGCCTAGGGAATGAAGCTGTCTTAACGTACCTGAGCCGAAGCCCGACGGCTCTAAGACATGCCGATGAAGACTTTCGGGACTTATTAGATACCTATCCTAGACAGCTTTACTATCATTGCGAATCGCATCGTAGCAAAAGTCGACATAGGTACTAACGCTACGTCAAGTTCCACGCTACAGCAGCGGTAGTACAGGCATCCTCCCTCCTTGCTGGGCGCCATCGACAACACCTAGGATTTAGAAACTCGACCAAGTGAGTACACACGAGGATTAAAAAAAAAAAGGCAGCATTGCTATTGCGCACTTTATTAATTTATTCTACATCTCTCCGTCCTAAGGGGGCGAAGGATATGCAACCTCAATGGAGGTTGAGAGGCTCGTACAATCTGCGACACGATGTATTGATACCCAGCACAATATAACCGTCGGCCCCGCGGTACAAAGAACGCCGACCGGAACGCCTCTCCCCTTGCCTATCCCTTTTCCCATTCCTTTCTCGGGGTCCCTGAGCCCACAATCCGGGCTCACTTTGAATCTGACTTGGCCTCCTCTCCTGCCGCCCCGTCCTCGTCCCCCTCGTCGTCCTTGTCTTCTTCCCCTCCCTCCACTGTCTCATCTGCCTTCTCCTCTTCCGTGGCCGGCGGCGGAGATACTGCCTCCTTCTTCTCGACGGCGGCGGCGGGGCTCAGGTTCCAGTCGATGACGGCGTCGTCGCCGTAGCGCACCGCAAGCCACTCGTTGCACGCCTTGAAGTGGCCGCAGTCGAAGAAGCCGCGCGACGCGCTCAGCGGGCTCGGGTGAACGGTCTTGAGCACTAGGTGACGGTGGGTGTCGACGCGGGCGACGCGCTTGCCCGCGGGCGCGCCCCACGCGAGGAATACGACGCCCCGCGCGCGCTTCGCCGCCACGAGGTCGATGACGCGCTGCGTGAACCGCTCCCATCCCTTGCCGGCGTGCGAGTTCGCCTCGTGCGCCCGCACCGTCAGGCACGTGTTGAGTAGCAGCACACCGCGCTCCGCCCACGGCGTTAGCAGGCCCCCGTCGCGCGCCGGCGCCGTGAACGACGGGTAGTCCTTGCGCAGCGCGATGTACATGTTCTTGAGCGACGGCGGCGCCCGCGTCGGCGGCCGCACCGAGAACGCCAACCCGTGCGCCTGGTTGTGGTTGTGGTACGGGTCCTGCCCCAGGATCACGCACTTCACCGAGCTGAACGGGGTATAGCGGGACCTGTAGTTGTCGCGTCAGCTTCATATTCTTGCTTTGCTCTATTTTACATCTCGCCGTGCATGACGTCAAGAGACCACAGCGTAATACACGGACAGATATAGACGCGCCAATGTGATGCGTGAAATGCGTACAAATCGCGCGAACGTAGTGACCAACGACAGGCCCAAAAGAAGAGCGTAGTAGAAAAAGAAGAAAAGAAAGAAAAAAAAGGTAAAAGAGAGACGACATACCACGAGTAAATGTCGTCGCGTGGGGGAAACACCGTTCGACCGGCCTTGACCTCGCTCTCGAGGAACCTCTTGAGGGCGAGGAACTCGGGGGTGACGATCTCATCCTTGAGGTGGGCGAGCCAGCTCGGGTGGAGGGTCTGGATCTCGAGGTGGAGCAGGCGCTTCTGCTCGGGGGTTAGGGTCGCGACCCACTTGGCCAGGTTGAAAGTGGACGGGGGCGCGTCGGAGTCATCGGGGCCGGCGCCGGCGCCGGCGGGGGACGAGGACGGGGTCGTGGACTTGGCCTTGGCCGGCGGCTTGAAGAACGACGTGATGCTCGCGTTTGCGGTCGTCTTGACCTTCTTCGCGGCGTCGGACTTGGCGCCGTCGACCGGCGCCTTGCGCTTCATGTACGATATCGGCGAGGACATGACGGCTACTCTGGGAGGGGGGGGGAGGAGCGGCGTTGGTGGGAGTGGGAGTGATAGGGAGGGTCGGGGTGCGACGAGACGGAGTAGCGACTGCGTATTGGGCGGAGCGCCAGGACTGCGACGGCTAGCTATCCCGTGTCCCTCAAGAGCGAGCGCAAGACTGCGGAAAAAGCAAGCGTCGAGCTCCTTAGGTTGCGGGCAGGCGAGCAAGCAGGTAGCCGGCGGATGGTCTCGTCCCAGCAACGCGGATGAGACAAATCCCACAGCGTAGCGTATACCAAGGTGAAGAAAGAAGGAGAGCGAGGCAGTCGGTGAGGAAAGCGGGCTGTATAAAAGGAAGGGCTGAATGGCGGGAAGAGGTTGTTACTTAGGTAAGGAAAAAGGGCTATAGGCAAGGAGGTTGTAAGCAGGTGGTGCATGGGCTCGTTAAAATTGGTTGAGGTGGAGGCGGGTCTCCGAGACGCGGTCCAGAGCCACCCCCTATCAAAAAAAAACGTGACGACGCGTATAGTGGTGTGGTGGCTCTCGGGGCTGAAAACATTCTACCTACACATACCTAAGTCAAAGCGCGGACAAGGGGAGGAAAAAAACCCCAGGATTTTCGCGGTCGTGCACTCCAGGAAAAACAGGCATAGTTTGATTGCGTCCCGATACGATAGGCACAGTGGGCCGATCGTCAGAATTACTCTCACATTAGGTGGTCCTACTGCCACGCTCCAGCCTCCCCGCCCCCCCGACCTACACGAAGTGGATCGATCCTCTAGCCTGGAACAATGGCCCGTCCTTCGCGTAGCGTACAGACTCGTGCGCAGTCAGTAGTAGTAGCAGTGTATTGTACAAGATGCTTTTCTTTTTTCTCTCCCTCTTTCTCTCTCTTTTCGCCGCAGACGCCGAACCGTTTTCCCGTCCCTCGATGCGATGGAATGGGGCCAACTTTTTCTCGCAAGCCGTAATCGTGACCATGACCGTGATCCGTGACCGAACCCACACTTCCAAAGCGACAGCCCCGACCCTCTAGGCAAGGTATCATCATGGTTGTGCGAAAAGAAAACGCCTCGAAATGCAAAATCTAAACACGGAGGTGGGAGCGGCGGGAATGATGTCCAGGGCAATATCAAGGCTCACCGTCCCGTCCCTTATGCTACTTCCTAGCATTCCGCTCGTTGACGCTCCGGAAGGCTCGCTTGCCGACCTCGTAGCTGCTGATCATGATCGCACACGACGGTGCCGTCTTGAGCGTTCGGGGGAGCCATCCCTTCCACAACCCCGCCAGGCCCTCAGTAGCGTATATGTGCCATAGCAGCCGGACCATGTTCTGCTGTTCCGGCGCTGGCGTGCTGTGTGACGACACCGCGGCCTTCCTGGCGGCGTCTCGGTAGACCTGCGTCCTCGTCTTGCCTACGTCGAAGGGCATCGTGATCGTTGACGCGAAGGCGCCCGAGAGGGCGCCCGCGGTGAAGCTATCTACGAAGGTCTGTCCATGGCCCTCCCGACTCTGTGACCGCTTTCTATCTCGGGACGATCTATTGCTGTCTCGAGTTAGAGATCGGCTGTGTCGCTCTTCGCGCAGGTCGGTAAGCTTGCCCCTGACCGTCTCGTAGCCCCACCAGTACATTCCCGAGAAGGGAACGTCTCGCCAGAGAGTCAGCGTGAGCCCTCGCCAGAGCGAGCGATAGCCCTGCTCGGCCACCATGCTCTGCATGCCGCAGAAAGTGTTAGCCAGGTGGTTGGTCGCAGTCGAGCCTGGCGTCGCCTGGAGACGTGTTCGGAACAATTCGATCGGGTTCACCGCAGTGGCGGCGAGCATCCGCGCCGAGGAGCCAGCCACGAGGGGTGCGTAGCCGTCTTTCACGGTCTTGTATATGGGGCTCGCCTCGTCGAAGCGCAGCCATTCATAGCCGGTAAAGTATATGATGTTCGCCGGGATGGCCATGACCAGAGTCGGCGAGAGGCCCCTCCACAAGGTGGTGAACCCCTCATTGCGCACAATCTTCCTCATGCCATCGAAAGTGGAGTTGAACCGCCTCTTCTGCACCTCCTCCACCGCGCAATCGCCGGGCGAGACGGCACCGCCGCCGAATGCTTCGATCCTGGGGCCGGCGAGGCAAAGCTCTGCGGTGTTATTCATGAAGAAGACTTCGCGGCAGCAAGCGGTAACCCCGAGGTTCGACGGTCGAAACGCACTAGGCGACGAAACCGCAAGTCTCTGCCATTCCGGGGGGGACCGTGTCGTGCCCTGCGACTGCAATCGGATGCGGACGACGTCTAGAGGGGTGACTGTGGTGACATTGACGTCAGCATGCGCTACTCGAGCCGAGCCGGTCTTGACTCGGGCCACCGAGGGGGAGCTCACCGAGAATCGAAGTTAAGAAACTGCCCGAAATCGCGGAGATCATCTTCTGGCCAGCGGAGATTTCAATGCCGTCATCGCCGCCATTGGCGTCGTCCTGAGATGAGATCATCGTCTGCCCCGCAAAAGCATCTTCAGCCTCGCTTAGTCGATCGTGATTGTGACCGCCGAAGTCACGGTGATGATCCATAGCGATCACCGTGGCTGCCGTGCGCGCGGCGGTGCGGACGTCCCCAGAGGCGCGGTCTGTCACGGCGGCTCGATGCGAGATCGGAGGGAGGAAGAAAAAAAAAGTGAATGCGCCGAGACGAGGTGTAAGACGGATGTGGTGGGCGGACAAGGTAAGCAAATTGACCTTGTCTTGCCGATGGAGGGAAAAAGAGAAGTTTGTAGAGAGGCGAAGGACAGATGGAGGGGGGCGATGGTAGAGCACGCTAGAAGAGTTGGGCTAAACACATGGAAGCGCCTAGGAATGCCTACTATGGAATATTACAGAATATGCGCATATGTGTTTTTTCGTCGTCGCGGGCGAGGATGCGGCGAGGGGGAGCTACGATTTTTTAGCTGCCTTTGGCCGATCATGGCCCGAGCCCCGAGCGAAGCTCAAGCACAGAACTACATAGGTACCTTATCTACCTACCTACCTACCTATGTAATCCAGCATGCGAAAATGCCGATAGCATGTGTGCGATGGCAGAGCCAATCGGAGCGTATCGCACCGGCATTCACGTCGCGTTGCTTGCGCCCTTGTGTGTATGCGTAGCTATAAGTACCCGGCTTGTAGCTTTAGGTGCTTGCTCCCCCCGCGCTCCCGGGCCTTAGAGGGGGGCACAGCAGGTATAGGGAAACCGCCTACATCGGACCCCTATAGCGTAGGTACCTACAGGCTACATGTGGTGGCCTAGGCTAGGTAGGTGCGGGCGGGAGGTACCCGAAGGTGAAGAGCTGGTACCTCAGATGCCTCCACGCGTAGGGACCCGGTGGGCCCCTTACGTCAGTGTTGAGATAAGGTCCCTTATCGTAAGCTGCCTGCGTACCCAGGTACCCACCTCATCCCTATCCATCCCATCCCGTGTCGTCCACCCAAATGACCCCATCACGATTGCGGCCCCCCTCCATTTCAGCCCGTCTCGATCCACCCCAACAGGGCACACCATAAGACGGTCCCAATTGCGTACGCTCATACGTCCATCCACACCTGCATACTAACCGCCTATGCGTATGCACGTGTAGGACCATCCGACCATCCCATCTGGCCCGGCCCGGCACCGCCTATCTTAACCTTCACTCCGGCAGGTCCGCAGACCAGCTCGACTTAGCGACTCCAGGTATATCGCCACACCTACACGCACTCGTACTTCTATAGGAAAAGAGAAAAGGAGAAAAGTCTGGAGCCTGGCCGCAGCGAGATATCGAATAAGGAAATACAGAGCTGGTCTGAAGAATTCAGCCCCAGAGTCCGTTCAGGTATACGTAACTTACCTACACCTACCTACCTACTTACTGAACCGCCGGGAGCACGCGCCGACCCCTAGACGACACCCAACCACCCCGAAGGCAACATGGATCGACCGACGGAGCAGATACAATCCGAATTGGAGGCCTTCAGGAAGCAATGGCAAGCCGAAGTGTCAGCTCGCACCAAGAATGCGGCCGGTTCCTCGAAACCGCCCGCGTCCTTAACTCAGGCAGGCCCTTCCGCCCAGCCCACGAGAAGAAATGAATTTCCACACCAGCGGGCGGCTTCGAAGACTGCCCAGTTAGAGGAAGACGACGTCTACGTGAAGACGCAGTTGTTCGAGGAGACATATCCGGCCTCTTCTCCTAGAGGGCACAACTTTGGCCGGCCCGGCGATGCTGCTACTACCGGCAAGGACCCGTCTGGGGCCCAGGAGCCGCGGACTGCTCTCGACTTCTACGAGGAGGCGGTCGAAAAGGAGACCACCGGCAAGCTCGGCGATAGCCTACAGCTTTACCGGAAGGCTTTCCGGATGGACGACAACGTCGATCGATCCTATCGGGAAAAGCACTTCCCGGGTCGGTGGACGAGGTCAGCTCAGCTTCAGGCTCAGGCTCATGCCCAGGCCAATCCGTCTGGCGCTGCCGTCACCGTCCCGAACACCGCCCACCACTCCCTACAAGGACCCGCCCCACCCTCGGATGCGGTCTCGGTGCCGGACCTCATCGCTAGCTTCGCCGACTTCAAGATCGAGGGGGCCCCGCCAGAGTGCGAGGGCATGCCACCACCCCCCTGCCCGCTTGCAGCCCTTCCGAACGAGATACTCGTACATGTCCTACGCGACGTCGCCGTCGCCGACGTCGGGGACTTTGTCCGCCTGGCTAAGGTCTGCCGCGGTCTGGCGTACCTCGTAGCCACCGAGGACCACATCTGGCGCCGGGTCTGCCTGGGCTCCGAGGTCGGCTTCGCTGCCATGCATTACCGCTGGCAGCTCGGCTTCCGGTGGGAACCCCTCGACGCGGTGCAAGAGCTCGCCGACGCCCAAGAGGAGGAGGGGGAAGTCGTCTACACGATGGACGAGCTCGCCCGGCGGCGACTAGAGCGCAATCATGCCGCCACCTACGTGCTGTTGCATAGCCTGTACGCGTCTTCGTGGCAGATGATGTTCCGCCGCCGACCGCGCGTCCGGTTCAACGGGTGCTACATCAGCACTGTGAATTACATTCGCGCGGGGCAGGCCTCGGTGCACCAGATCGCCTGGAACAGCCCCGTGCACATTGTAACGTACTACCGGTACCTGCGGCTCTTCCGCGACGGCTCCGCCCTTAGCCTGCTCACTACCGATGAGCCCGCCAGCGTCGTCCACCACCTCACAGTCGAGAACTGCCACCTGCACCGCCGACACGGCGGCGACGGCGCCAGCGCCCTCCGTGGCCGCTGGCGGCTCTCCTCCTCGTTGAGCGTGGGCGGTAGCGGTAGCGGTAGTGGCGACAAGAAGGTAGGCGGCGGCGTCGGCGGGGACGACACCGAGGGCTCTGAGGGCGACTTGTACATCGAAACCGAGGGTGTTGGCGCCAAGTACATGTATAGGATGGAGCTGACGTTCCACAGCGGCAGCGGTAGGACGGCGACCACGGCCACGCGGATCAACAACAGGAGGCTCGCATGGAAAGGGTTCTGGAGCTACAATATGCTCACCGACGACTGGGCCGAGTTCACGCTCAAAAACGATAAGCCGTTCTTCTTCAGCCGGGTGAAGAGCTACGGAAGCGGGTACTAGGACCCGGAAAGTACGTCCGTCCGGCGATATGCTAATATGGGTACCTAAAGGGGGGGAGAGTAGACGGATAAACAGATGTACCAGGCCGAAGACGCATAGTTGGACTTCGGTTCTTGGCTGGTGTCATTAGAAGGGGCTTTCTATATTTTTAGGCATTTTTGAGTCCGGGTCACGAGGGCCAACCGGGACCATCTACCTACTTTTGGTGTAGACGCGACGAATCAGCCACGTTGTCAGCAAGGCGCAGGAGAGGCAAAGAAAGAAAGAAAGGCGAATCGGGACCAAGTAGGAGCATATAGTCAAGATCCTAACAGCGAAAGATGGCGTCAGGCAATTTCGTTGCCAAACCCTGAATCCCGAACGTCCTAGACCCTAGTAGTGAGCGCTGATGCGAGTCGGAGGCTCAGAATCCCACCCCCGTATATAGACATCCCCATATAACTGTAACTTGGTCGAGGCCGCTAAGTCCTATACGCTTAATATACGCTAGGTACTAACTAACCGCGTGCGATCTTTATCCGCGACGCCTATCGGAGTAGCACGTAAAGGGAGCCCATCCGGGCGGGAGATTAGGAACTACAGCATGCGCGAGCATGAAGGGGGGTTTGGTGATGTACCTAGCTTAAGCGTCGTGGTAAACAGAGGTAGAAGCGCCCTCCACGCGCCGGTCTTCGATTCAGCATCCGACCCAGGAGGGACGCCAAAGCTGTGTGAGATACGACGTGCTGGTGTCTCGCCCGGGCCGCGAGGGCAATATATTGGAAGCACGTAGAGTCTGCGCAAAACCCAGTTCCTGCCTCCCCCCCATCCTCCTCTTTGCTTCTTACTCCTGCACTCCCGCGCGCGTACGCCTGTAAGTATTCCCTTGTTTATCCCCCTCCTCCCTTCCCCGATGACCTTAGCGAGCACTTGTTTAAAAACCCAGCGCTACGCCGTTTACGCGGGAGGCTGCCTAAGCGCAGCGAGCCGTCTCGCAACCTCCTGGGCCCGGGCCGAGCTCTCTCGCTCGCTCGCCCGCCTGCCAGGGCCCGTCGTCGCCTATCGTCCCGCGCTCGCTCCCCAGCCAGTCAGGGGGGCTTCAGCGCTTCCCCCCTCTCCCCCTTCCCCCCCCTTTCTCGGATCGTGGGCCAATCGCGAGGCGCCCCGCTAGGCCGCGAACGGCGAGGCGACGACAGGGTACATGCGATGCGCTGGGGTTCGCGGCTGGTGCCTCTGGGCGGATTCCTTCGCGCGGGCGGCGGTGCCGGGGGAGCTAGCGTACGGGCGGGCAGGCAGGCAGGCAGGCCGGCCGCTGGCCCCGACGCCAATGGCTGCTGTACGCGGCGCGCGCGACGGCGAGGAGGGATAGGGATAGGGAGAGAGAGGGAGGGCGACGAGGAGGCGTTGGGCTCCGGCGGCGCCCAGGCACGCCCGCAAGGCTGTGCAGCGTAGTGCTGATGGCATCGGTGCCGGCTCGCGTGCAACTTTACTTATCCGGGCCTGGTCGGGAAAGGGGGGCGGGCCCTGGGCGCGGCATACGCCCCAAATCCCGCCCATCCACCCGTTCCCTTAGGAGTGAATGGCGAGGGCGCTGGCGGCCGACGGGATAGTAATGCTGCTGTGTTGGTCACGCTGCCGGTTGCCGTAGGGGCGTGATACCTACATACTGAGGGACGTATGTATCCCATACACTGAGCCCTGAGATGAGGAAAGTAGGATAGGGAGTCTGAAAAGAAGAATGAATCAAGACAAGAGAAAGAGGGGGAGAGGAGAGGACTATAGTGTTGGTTGATGTTACCGTATGCTTACATATCAACCATATACAGCCCCTACAAGCCCCAACTTGTGTGAGGAGGTGTCTCCTAATGCAAGCACTTACCTTGAGTACCGAAGGTACCTAACGTCCTTGTAGGATATGCGCGTACATCTGTATATATACACCTACCTCCTAATCTCATCGTGGGTGTTAGGTATAATAGGTAGATATGCGTCATGCGCTTCTACGTAGGTACCTACGCAAGGAGGTAGGTATGTAAGAGGTATGCCTACGAATTGGCATATCCACCTGGGTCTGAGAGAGGTGGTGTATGAGGCAGGTTAGGCGGGGTGAAAGGCAAACGCTGGATGGCTGTTATTGTAGTACGTCATGGAGGAGGGATGGGAATAGAGCCATCCACCTTCGTGATCGTTGATCGCTTTCTGCTTGCCACGCCGTAGTCCCGGCACGTTTGTACATACATATAGATATTGTTAGGGAGCTACGTAATCCCCCTTTCGTCACCGGAACTCCACCGTCGTTGCGACTCTGGGCTCCTTCGTCAACTCTGACCAAGCGCGCGCGCTCACATCATCCTCTCTCTATCTTGACCCAACTCTAGAAGGCTTCGTCCGCAATCCCTTAGGCTTGAGATTCGCGGGTGTTCCGCGTGCGCTAAGGTCAGATTGAGGCATGCCTTATATAGGTATATATATATGAACCCGGTTAGAGCTTATAAGTGGATGATGAATGGAGTTCGGTGATTAAAAGTATCGACCTTCCTTGCGATACAGATCTTGGTTGCATCTTGTAGTGCCCGTGTTTTTTTCTGCCTCCCTTCCATGTACATAGCTGCGTACTGTACGTACTATACACACCTAGGTACCTAACCTATATAGTATATGCTAGTATATGATAGAGGGAGGAGAAGGCTAGCGATATTATCATAATTAGCTTAGACAGGGGCGGCTAATCTCGGCCTGGATTGGACTGGACTGGAAGAGATGTCATAACCTAAGTGTGGATTTCCATTCATATCCCTAACCTAGGCGGATACTCGATATACGATAATAACTACTACCATACCTGCCATACCTCATTAAACGGCTCCGTCGTCGGGAGGCGTCCGCCGGACTCGACTTCATGACGCGGGTGCTAATGCTGCTACTGTAGATATGCATACATTTACCTGTAGTTATGCATGCATGCCCTAGGCACGTATAGTAATGGGGAGCTGGATGGCGACCTTCCTTATAATCTGTGTCACGGAATGGTGCGAGATCGAGTGACGAGTATCTGCTGTTGGTGATTCGCTCATCGACATGTAGGTATGTACATGTGGGTATAGAGCTAGCGCTCAGGGTTCCCACGACGTCGAGCTCAGGGCGAGAAGACTAGGCCCTATTACGAGTACCGTATGTATGTGCTAGCCGCTCGCGAAGTATTGACCGACAACCATCAAGGGATGGCGACCTCTCAGAAACAAGGCCGGCCCCAGTGGTCAAGACGTCGGGTTCGCACGTGAAACTGGGCGTGCATTACCTGCCTGTGTATGTAGGTGCGCCCGTAGCACGATCCGTTCTGGTGGGTTCTCCTCACATGTTGCGAGGGACTGGATCTTTCGAGCTCAGGCTCGATCAGCTCAGATTCTGGGCAGACGGACAGGGCGACGAGCGTCAGAACGACCAGCAATGGCGAAGGAGACCCCGTTAGGTCGACCGTGTCCAACGGCAGGTCGAGATTCGAGGGAAAGGCCTTCACGGGGGCGAGGCGTATCAAGAACGGGCGTCGAATGCGACCCCAACATGCAGGAGTCAGGAGAAGAAACACGGGGCCAGACCGAAAGCGGCTGGGAGGATCGCCGTGCACGTTGCAGGCCGCAAGGATGGGGGGGGGGCTACCCGTTCTACGTGGAGATTCGTGGAGATGTCCATGTGCTTTTTCTCTCTTTCATCTCTCTCTGAGCACGCGTAGGTACATGTACGTATACAGGTACCTACCTGATACGACTAACCACCTGAATCTGGTACAGAATGGATGTACCCGAGATGGGCGTGCTCTACCAGGTATGTGAGAGGTACCCCAGGTAAGCATAGCCTGCCCGTTGGCTTCCATCCCATCGAGGAAAAGCGAGAAGAGAGAAGAGGGTCGGCAGTGGTCTATTGAACTTACTGGGCAAGGTGGAAAAGAGAGGACGGCATGATCAGAAATACGACCCCCGAGATATCGGCATCGTTAAAAGAGGGCTGTCTGTGTATAGATTATTCGTAATTTCCATCGGCTGGTTTTTTGCAAAAGGGGCCGAACGAGGCGGGAGAAGGCAAGGAAAAAGGACTGGAGAAGCGCTGCCCAATGGCCGGGTTAGAGGGGGGAGGCTGTAATAAATAAGACGACCACATATAGGTCCTCCTGTTGCGCTGCTCTGGTATTGCGGTCGAGCCGCGACGACGGACAGGAAGCATCCGGACCAGCCTGTCGAAGGGCGGCTCCGAAGCGAGGCCAACTTCCACGATTCGCTACGTGCATAGTGGGAAGAGGGGGCAGAGAGAAAGCAAGAAGGGTGAAGGGGGGGGGAGTTCTGTGGGATGCTACCCTACCCCATCTCGTCGTATACGTGAGTGGTGATAATGGATTCGAACAGACTCGGCTGCGCGCGCTGCTGTCATGCATGAACGGCTGGGCTGCCGACGAGCGGGTGGCTAGCCAGATGTGGGATTCTAGAAAGAGGAGAGAAATTATACTGCGACACTGATGACGCTGCAAAGGGGGAGAACGGGGGGGGGGAATAAGCAGCGACTTGCAATCATCTACAGGGCTGCCTATTCATATATGCTGGGTAGGTTCCCTATCTCGGTACCTAATATGTGCTACAGGGCTTGATTGAACGTGGGCGTATTAGTGTTGTCATGTGGTGTGTGTGGGTGTGGAATTCATAGGTAGGTAGGTACCTACCGGACAGAAGCTAACGTGCCTAATGGAGGTGGCGCATGTACTGGGTATAGGAGGTAGGTACCTAGGTATGTTAGGTACCGAGTAGGCTGATAGGGTGACTTGCCTCCTTGACAGATGCTGCTGTAAGCGGTTCATGGCTCAATGCGGTCAACAAGTCCCCCCTCGTCCCCCCCTTTCCCCCTGACACTGGCGTGGCACCTACTCGTAAGCCCGCCCGGACCCTTCGAGGGAGACGTAGCCGATTTCCCGATAGGGATTTAGGTCGAGATAGCACGCAACATTAAACTCGCTTCCATCACTACTGGTCGCATTCTTGGTCCGAGCTCGTCGTCTTAGCGGCTAAGCTAGAGCCCCCTCCCCTCCCCTTAGTGGCTCCAGGTATATACATACGCGGACAGCGCTAGGTTGGTTGGTAGGTGGTATGGCCCCCAACGGGCTGGGGCGCCCTGGGCAAGGTCTCCGGGGCGCGCGTGCGTGTAGGCCATGTACCTCTCTCAATTGGGCCTTCCACCCTGCTCCCAACTGAGCCTCCATCGTCTAGGAACAAGAAACAACAGCAAGACCCCCCCCAAAAAATAGAGAAGGCTACGTAGGTAGGTTAGGCACCTGATATAGGAGATAGATGGGGGGGTTGGCAAACCATCTTGGTTGGTGTCAGATGTACCTAAGGCAGGTAGGTACCGTATCAACACATGGCATACTTTCCTACCTGTGAGAGTGCAAGGTTCACGTACCTACCCAACCTACCTGACGTCTGATATCGGAGATAGGTACCCGGGCCGCGCAGGGTTGAACGTACCCTCGGTACGGTCCACTATAGCCTAAGTACATCAGTTGCGGCGCCACGCATGTACATAATAAATACGTCCCACATATTCAGCATTTACCTGGCACATTTATGAGACTACGACAATACATTTATGAGGTTAGCTTAGCTCAACTTGGGCATGTCCAAGTCCGGGTCGTGCCTGTACTCATACTCATACGGAGTGTTGCCGCAGATTAGGTTAGGTTAGGTTCGATGGGCTCTGGGCTCTGGGCAACCTGCTTAGGCCACTCTGCTTAGGCCACGCTCTGCGCGAAATCCTCAATCCATCCAAGTCGACGCCTTCAAATTCTCCTCCTCAGCTCAGCTTCTTCACGTCAGTCTTCAGCAGCACGATTCCCTTCGCGTCCTGTCATCCGTCCGGCATCTGCGCTCCTGCGTACATCGTCTACCTCCAGAGGGTAGAGTAGAGAGATAGTGAGATGATGATTTCGTCCCTTCTCCTCCGTCTTCTCTAGCGACGAATATCTCTCTTTCTCTCCCTCCTCCGCTCCTCTCTCCCGCCATCGCCAGGCCCGGCTTTTGCTCCCCCTTCTCTCTCTCCTTCCTTACCCGCCCACCAACTCCGCTCTTCTTGTCTCCGTTTACCGCCCTCCTCGACCCCGACCGAGAGAGAAGAAGCATCCCCCTTCTCTTGTCCGCTCGTTCGCTCTCCACCTTCTTCGCTCTCAGTCCGTCCCCGTCCCTCCTCGGTTAATTTGGCGCCCGTCGGCCAACCCGCTACTCTCTCGGATCCCGCTCCAACTCCAACTCCTACTCTCACCCTCACATGCTCATCTCTCTCGTTCGCTCGCGCTCGCCCGCATGCCCACCCCCTCCCTCCCTCCCCCCAAAGGTGAACACCACATGATAGTGCATAATTCTTAATCCAATTCGCTCCAGTTTCCCTTCAATTCGGCCATCTTCCCCAATCCCGTCGTGTTCCCAGCCTCGCATTAGGGTTAGGATTCCACTCTGCGACACCCCGATAGTCCGCCATACCAACAACCTATAATAATAATAATCTTTGACACGGTTCGGCAACCTTCTTCAGATACCCCGCTGCGTTCTCCTTGACAGCCAGATCTTGATTCGTTCTTTTCATATACACACACACGTACACACACACACACATATATATATATCCCACCCATATTCCAAGAGTAATACTCCATCGATCGATCCTTCGGCGCAGCTTGCCGTACTATATCGTCTCGTCGTTTTGTCGGTCGGGGCAGCACCACCTTCGGTTCCACTGACTAAGCTGTTGTCTTCCTGCCGGGGCGTAGTCGTGGATTGGGTGTACAAAATCTATCAACTTTCCGGGCTTGCATCCGTAAGGTTTTGTACACTCCGCTGCCTTCTTGCCTACCTGCCTGCCTGCCTGCCTGCCTACCCCAGCGATTGATCATCTAACCACGACTTTGAACACCCTGCTCGAACGCAACCTCGTGCGGAGGGGAGGGGGGCGCGGTGCCTGCTTTTCGACACGATGGCGTTGCCGTTATCTCTTCACTATGACGAAGATCGTTCGGTTCTCCTGTCTGACTCGGAGGACGATGACGACCTGCTCCCTACCCCTCGCAGAATGCACGAGCCGAAGCGATCCGAATTTGGGGAGGGCGATGGAGCTATGCGCCAGAAGACCAAGGATGCCGCAGCTAATATTCCCACTCACCCGATACCCGCTATGCAACTAGCCTTCTCCGAGTCCCTGGTTGAAGCCACCTGCCCTGTCGTGTCGAAACCGAAGTTGAGGTTTGCCCCTGCGAGGGAGCGTAGGAACTACCTGTTGAGCTGTGCGAAGGGCGCAAAGCTACACGGTGATCTATGGCGTTCCCGGCCGGGCCAGCGTTACCACGAACTCTGGAAGCTTATGGCACAGATATCCTTCGGCGTATATCTTCTGCTGTATGGCATCGCGAACAGCAACGAGCAAGTGGTCAACATCTTGCAAGGCCACATCGACGAGGTGGACGAGTTTCTCGAGACGACGTTAGAGGACGTCGACTTGGCAATTCAGGATATTCGGGAACGCGTCAACTTTTTGAAACTGCCGATGGAAAATATTGCTACCTTTGAGGAGATGCTGGAGGACCGAAACTTTCGGCTACAAATTGTGACCGGGAACGAGAAGATCGAGCATATCATCTCCCGGACGACCACAGCACTGGAAGCAACTATCCTGGACCTCAACGAAGGCCTCCGAGCGACTGACGAATTTGCCACGTACCTTGGCGGCCAGCAAGATCGAGCGTGGCGCCAGCAACGCCCCGAGGTCGTAGAGATATTCGACGCCATGAAGGGGAATGCTCAAGGGTGGCATAAGGCTTTTGCAGAGTTGCGAGGAACTACGTCGACGTTGGATAGGCTGCTTAGTAGGTTGGGCCAGATGGTGGCCGAGACGAATTACCGGGCCGGGGAGGTGAGCCGGAGGACAAGGGTGAGGAGATTTCTTCATGCCGGCATCCCTTTGTTGCCTACTGACTTTTCTGGCAGTTTAGCGTTGCTCCTTTCACTGGCCCGTCTAGCCAGTCCGTGCCGAAGGGCAGCTCGTCGGGTTCGTTCATGCTGTCATCTGATAGATACCAAGCAGTCAAATCTCCGAGCAGGACGTCTCAGAAGTCTCCGTCGGGATCCGCTACGGCCAGAGAGACACTCATGGTTGTTCAATTCAGTGCCCCGATAGAACTGGCAGAACCGGCAGAGCTGGAGGCGAGCAGCCCTCCCCAGATGGTTGTGAGCCTGGTAGAAGATGCGACGCCCGATCGCGAGGAAGAGAAGGCCGAGCCTGCGATGGACGAGGGCCTTTACATCTTGCAGCCGCGGACGTACACTCCGCAGCCGCCGGAGCCAGTACCGTCGCCTCGAATCCAGGACCCTCCGAGCCCGAAGCGCGAGGAGCAGCCGAAACGGGAGGAGCAACCGAAGCGAACGTCCCTGCGCCAGAGGATCTCTCTCAAAGGTAGCAACCTACCGGAGGCGATCCAAGTTCCTTCCCGGGACGCTCCCGAGTTTCAGAGACCGAAGTATCCAATCGCTCAGCAGGCTTCGCCGCGGCACCAGTCTCCACGCATGTACCAAGGTCCGGACTCTGCCTATGGTTCGGATGTCGAGGCCCGTCCCGCTATTCATTCGGTGGTCGACCCCGTAGAAGACATCGTCAAGATGACACCGCCAGCCTTCCCGCTCACGACGATACCCTCTCCACTCTCCGACCAGCAGCACTATTTCCCTGTCCGAGCAAGTCCCCATTCCCCCCTGCAGCAGAGACCTTGGACGGCAGGCACGCACGTCCATCCCGGCCACCTGCGCAACCAGCCGTCCGCGATGGGAATGAGTATGCTGAGTAACGTAACGACGATCACTCCGGAGCGGAAGACGATTAAAAAGAAACGCAGCGCCTTCGGGTGGCTAAAAAAGGCATTCTCGCTCGACGAGGAGGAACGGGCGGAGTTCGAAGCCAGGAAGGCTCAGCAGTCGCCGAATCCGTACTACAGTGCCCGAAGCCCGCAGTTCCTGGACGGGAAGCGCGTCGCCGAATATAGGCGCTACCAACCGTGATCTCTAGTGGAACGAGGACCTGATTTGCAGGTGCGAACAGAACTTTGGGGCTTAGGGGGAACGAAGGGGGGGAGGTGGGAATCCTCCGACTTCGATGATCGTCGAGATGTCGTCATTTCGATTGGGAAGGCTAGGTTGGGTATGCGACTATCGACGTGCGATCGACAGGCACTTGTCAACTTATCATGGTTGAGACCTCGGACCCCCAAAAAATCCGGGACAGTTTTGTCTATCGAGTCTCCGGTTCTCGTAACCCGCATCGGGTTCAGGGGCACTAGATCAAGTCTATTGCTACTGTACGTCTGGCCAAGTAAACGCTATGGCTCGGCTTCTGCTATGCTATGCTACTGATCTGATAATTGCTCCCTCCCCAACCTCAACCCTAACCCCAACCACCGCTCTTCCCCTTTAAAAAAACAAGCATCGAGGATTGTCGTTACACAACGATGAGAGCAGGAGAAAAACAATTGAGGCGCTGGCCTAGGAGGCCGGGTGGATACATCGTAGATGGTTGGTCGTGACCCTTTTGGAGGTTCTCGTCATATTGGGGCGGATGTGGGTGTTTTGGCAGAAGGACAGGTATTGTCGTATAGCGATAATGTATATATAGGGACAACGTGGGTAAGAGAGGTCTGAGAAGCAAGTCGGGAGGCATAGCGAAGCATTTGCGAAGCGTCAAGGGAGCCGGCGGAGTTTGGGAAGTAGGACGGACAATTCGGGACTCGGCAAGCCCCTACGGTCATTGCATTAATCGTAGTCACAAAGAATTCTCAGTTGGTCTTCCTCGCGGTACAGATGATGGGATGGGGCCAGCCTCGACACGCCGACATGTGCTGAGCCCATCGCGTCTCGGAATTTGCGACGTCGGATCCTTCCTATTCGAGAAGGTGGACTATTCGCGGGTGTTGCAGCAGAGATCTACGCTGATCGCGTCCCCCGGATGCTAATAAAATGGGCCGCACGAAGTCGAATCGGAGATCTTCCGGTCACACGGCGTCGCCTTTCGGTACCGCCCAACAAGTTATGGGTTCATGTATATTCTATCGTCCTTTTTTCCTTTCTTTCTTTTCTGGTGCCTGGCCAAGATGACGACGGCGTCACTTTGTTGGACGATGCCTGGGCCCGCCCGCCTCGTCCCTATTTGCATGTAACCAGGTTCAACAACTTCTGCTAGTGTATATGTACGGGTAACTAGCACGACTCGGGTACGGGGTAGCTTCCCAGTATCGAGAGGGCCTTTCAGCCACAGGCGCCTGTATGGCGTCGGGGATGGCGGCGCCCTGGTGCGGTTACATGTATACATACGGAGAGGGTGGATGGAGGGTATATATAGAAACGTGTGCTGCTAGGGTATTAGATAGGGAGGTAGTTTTACATATTTCGAGAAAAAGGGATCGAAGGACTACCCCTGCAACTTCGGCAGCTTCCTTCGACAGGGCCAGCCACCGCACGCCAGCTCATAGCCACCTGTGCCGGGTGCCGCGCCGACTTATCGGGTCTCTGGTTAGCGCTGCGAAGGCTCACCGTCCCCACCGGCTTCGTCGCCCATTGGGAGGGAGTGGAGGGGAGAGAGGGGAGAGGGGGGGGGGGGGGGGGGAGGAGGCGGAGCGAGTGTCGCATATGCCCACGTACCTAGTTATTTATACGTATCGAGGCGCGTCGAGGCGAATCGAGGCGATCAGGTACAGAGCGCGCTCTTGGCGGGCAGGGTACATGGCTAGCCCGACTGCGTAGTAGTCTGATGTATACCCTCCTGAATAAATGGAATTGACCCAAGGTACCTAGGCGCATTTCGGTATCCCTCTCCGCGTCGCTTTGGTCTTGTCTGACAGGTTGTCTGTCGTCGGCGTGTGTGGTCCGGGTTGATGGAGTTGCAAGCCGTTGTCCGGGACGTTGGAAGCCAAGTTTGGACGGCGCGCTCCCACGTAGCATTTCGTCCCAACAATTTGCATATGTATGCGGACATATCCTGTGCTGCCTCTTCTTCTTCTCGCCCGCCCCCGCGACCAACAACATGTGAAGGGCGCTGCGTGTCTTTGGCCCTGCGCGCTTATATAGGTGTATATATACCTACCTACTAGCATCGAATCAATCACTCCGTCTTTCTCGCGCGCCTTCGCCATACCCAGCCTCGCCCACTAACACCCCAACCACCGCTGCCGCCACCGCCACCGCTGCCACGACAACAAACCAGACATCCCACGCGATCGCGCGCGAGACGCGCAGGAGGGGAACACGCGGGGCTAGGACACGCGAGTTCTATATACTTGGAAGAGAAAAGAGCGGGAAAAAGAACAAGAAGAAGGGCACGCGAGAACGCCGAATACATATCCACATCCGTAAACATCAGCGTCGACGACGACGACGACATCGCGACAGCGCCACGAGAAAGCGAATGCGATCGGGCCCGGATCGCTAGCCAGACCGCCGCAGCCGACCATGGGGCTGCGCAACCCCTTCGCCTTCGGCCCCGGGCCCTGGGACCCGACGCACCGCTTCGTCACGTCGTGGCTCGTGTCGCCGCGCGTCCTGTTCGGCCTCCGCGCCCTCATGGTGAGTTGCGCTTTATACCATTTTACCCATCTTGCCTTTTCCCTCGTGGGGTTTCGTGACGAAAGAGGGGAACAACTGTTATGATAGTGCTAGTGATGGCGGTGTTGAACCCCCAAAAGAAGAGAAAATGCGGCGTCCCTGGCAATCGGGGTCTGATCGTCGCTGCGATGGTCGCTGGCTGCTGCGGAGCGTGCACGCCGCCACGGGCCGGCCATGCAAGAGCTCCGTCTCCTGTTCTTCTGCTCCCCCCCTCTCTCTTTCATTCCCGCCCTCTCCCTCTCCAGATCCATAGCCACCCACCCACCGCTGACCGCCGCCCAACTTTCCTCTCCCAGTGCCTCTACGCCTTCGTCACGCTGCTCTTCGACATCGGCTACCTGTGCGCGCACGAGGAGCTCGGCGGTTGCCAGAAGGCGCGCGACAGCTTCTCCTTCTTCACCGTGCTCACGTACTGGGGCATCGCCTTCTACCAGCTCGCCGCCGCGCTGCACACGCTGTCGTACCTGGCCGCGCCGCCCGCGCGCGGCCCCCCCCTCGGCCGCTGGCCCCGCCCGCTGCAGGCCCTGCACGCTTTCTTCTACACCACCGTCGTCACCCTGCCCTTCCTCGTCACTGTCGTCTACTGGGCCGTCATCTACCCCTTCGGCCGCGCCTGGTTCCCCTCCGTCTACGCCGCCTGGTCCAACGTCTCCGAGCACGCCCTCAACAGCGCCTTCGCCCTCGTCGAGATCGCCCTCCCCCGCACCCGCCCCCCGCCCTGGCTCCACGCCCTCTGGCTCGTCGTCCTCATGGCCCTCTACCTCGCCCTCGCCTACCTCATCCGCGCCGTCCGCGGCTTCTACCCCTACGCCTTCCTCGACCCCGACCCGGCCCACGACGGCGCCGCCGGCCCCCTCGTCCCCGCCTACATCGTCGGCATCGCCGCTGTCACCGTCCTCGTCTTCGTCCTCGTCAGGTACCTCATCGCCCTCCGCCGCTGGCTCGTCGAGGACCGCCTCGGCTGCCGCGGCAAGTTCGCCGGCCCCTCCCCCGTCCCCGTTCACGACGAACTCGAGATGGGTCGCGTCTCCGGCCTCGAGTCTCTCGTGCATAAGTGAGCCCTCGCCCGACTAGCGGCCAAGCGGTGGCCAGCTGGCGACCAGGGATTTGGCTATTCGTATACGGGTTGCGGTATGTGGAGGGAGGGCGGTTAGCAGCGGAGACTTAGTGCTTGGACACTCGGTTACGTGTGGATGGCGTTACGATGAGAATACGCGTATGGTGGATTAAGCAGTTGGCTGAGCGAATGCCATAGATTATTTAATTCAGAGAGGAGAAAGATTCGGGCATGGGTTGCGCATGCGCTCCTCTCCCCTCTTCTTGTCCTCTTTTCATCTTTTTCTGTTATCGCCTTTTGCGAGATACCCTCAGGCGCGAGTCGTATATAGGTTAAAACGAGTAATGCCACGTTTAGCTGCAATATATATACATATATATAATCATCTACATTGTATAAAGGGACTCCGGTCGAATACTTCATAATTCCGTCTTCTTATTCGTACAGGAGGGGGTAAGTGATATTAGTAGTACCAGACCTATTACGTATGTAGTAGCTATGTCAAAAGTTGAACGGTCTCCCAAGATCAACATTTCAAATTGATACCGCGCCTCAGCTCCGATTCCCTGACTTCAAACATGATTTGCACGGCGACGAACAATACCGAGAAGGACCCCATCAGGAAGGCGAACCCTATACGGCACTATTGTCAGCAGTTGTCCGGTAGCGAGGATGAGGGGGGGAGGGACTTGCCAGAGAAATCTCTCAGTATGCCTGCTATGATGCTCTTCAAACCGTCTACGCCGACGGCGAAGCCGACTAGGTTGGCTGTCATCATCATCAGCACGTTGCCCACAGCGCCGACGCAGCAGAGCATGCGGTAGGCGGTGGGTCTGCCTTCCCAGTTCCTCTTGGGGAAGGCGAAGCCGGTCACCATCTCGGGTAGCATGAAGAAGACGACGAGCCAGCCCCAGATGAGGAGATGCATCTGGATGTCGTGCCAGAGGGCCACGAAGGTGAAGACAAGCACGTAGGTGAGCACGGACCGGGCCGCCTCGCGGAGGTTCCGGAAGCTCGAGCCTCCGAGGGGCACGTAGATGTAGCGGAGGGACCAGCGGTAGAAGCTACGGTGCCAGCTGCGCCAGAAGGCCAACGTGCTCCAATTGTCACTGACGCACCGGACCAGGTTCTCGGGTGGGTCGATACCGTCAACGAGCGCCCAGAGCCGGAAGAGCCGCCACGGCAGCAGCAGTTTTAGCCAGATGAGATGCAGGTTGAAATAGCTGAACAGGCCTAGGTGGGCGGGCGTGTACTCGGCCCACACCGGGGCCGCTTTCGAGATGGCCTGCACGTAGTCGTAGTGCAAGATCACTTCCATGGCGACCAGGGTGAGGAGGAGGCGCACTCCGTAGCGGATCGTGCGCGGGGTTTCGATCGTGGCGGGCTTGTACCGCTGCTGAGAGATGAAGTCGTTGAAAGTGATGATCGGGCCCGTTAGATATAGGGGTGCGTAGATGGCATACGCGAGATAGTTCCTGAACGAGTAGTCCTTGGCTTGCGCCGGGATCTGTACGCGATCCCGTTCACTCAGAGAAGCCGGGTCGACTTGCTTCTTCTTAGGCGCATTAGTACCGTCTCGATAATCCCTTTCCGTGCGCTGTTGCGCGACTCACCTCGATGGGGCTGTAGCTCCTGCGATCGAGGCTCCAGTAGTAGTCCAGATTGAAGCTGATCAGGCGTAAGACGGTAAGGTTGAAGAGGATCTCCCACCTGCTCATGAGACCGCCATAACTATCGACCCACCTACCCCAGGATACCAATGCGGGATCAGAATCTATGAGCGAGCTATGAACCGGGGGACCCGAGATCCAGACAGCCAAATCCCCCAATCTGTACCCCTTGCATAGATCATTGGTAAATAGGATACCTACGTTGAACACCCATGTCGCGGCGGGTATAAATTTTCGAGGTAATGCTGCCGCGATCTGGTAGTTCGCATAGAGGATCGCGAGGATTTTAACAATGGAAATCCCGTGGAGCGCAATGAGGTATATGAGTGCGAAACCGAAGTCAAAAGTTGCCCGTTGATTCAATCGTTGGTCTGCCTCCTCTGGCGTGGGCCGCGACGACCGCTCCGCCGAACTCGATCGGTACACGATTGCGATATAGAGCCGGCGAAGAAGCGGGTGTAGGACAAGCAAGGCGGCCATATACGGTAGATTGGATCGGAAGGTGTGGTACTGGGAATCGGAGGTGTCCTGCCGGCTGTTAGCAAGTGCCGTTTCCGAGGCGTGGGAACGCCCACGATCTTGCGGCCAGGAATCCATCCCGGAGCGAGCAAGTGCTCATACTTGGCATATTTGGGGTCCGTCGCTGGTGAACACAGGTTAACTCATGTCAGAAGAGATGGGGCTTCGGTTTGAAGAGCGTACTTCTCGAGGCATCGTAGGCGATCCAGAACATGTAAGGAAGGACGCAGAGCATGAATACACGGTAGAAGATGAACTCCGGGGTATGCCATTTCGAGGGCTGGGCTTGACCACTCCACTTGGCAGCTCTCTCCTTGCTCGAGGCTGGGTCGTTTCGGGCTTCTATGACGGCGCTGTAGGGGGTCGAGGAGGAGTTGGTAAAGCGAGTGTCGAGGGTATCGAGATCGTAGGTGGCTCGGAAGAAGGAGAGGAGGCCCATGGCGGAAGAAGAAAGGCCAGGCCGGTGCGCCTGAAGCTGCAAATGTTGGTATTCAAGACATGTGCATGAAAATCGAGGCTGTCAACAGTGACGGTGCATGCTCTCCAGGAAGGCGGGATGGCGAAAGCAACAGGCAGAGAACGCGATCCGAGGAGGTCGACTGTGATATCGCCTCGCTAGAGTATGCGATGATAGAGTGAGAGTGCAAGGTTGTAGGCATGTGTCCGTGTTGATTGCTGTGGACTCGGCACAGAGCCAGGAGAGGACAGGATATTTTGAGCAGGACGCAGCAGGCTTGGTTGGTTGGTATGAGGTAGGTAGGTAGGTACCTCGGTATAGGGTGGTAAGCAGGATCGGGGATTTACTAAAAGCCCAAGTACCTCATACTTGGCCTTCGGGGTTCTAGTCTCAAAATGTCGTGTATAGGTACCCATACTTACAGATGAGGTACGAATGAGCCTTACGAGAGGTACGTACCAATCCTGCCACAACAGAAGCTGGAGAGTATGAGTATAGCTCACCTTAGGTACCTCTACCTACATGTAGTAGTACCTCCGGCACCACACGAGGTACCTTAGGTATCTACCTGCCTTCCCGTAGAATTAAGATACCCCTCCACACCTGTAGGCAGGTACAAACAATGTAGCGAGACATCGACGCCTATTGGTCCAAGCGTATCCCTCCTAGATCCACCCCGACGTGATTCGAAATTTGGAAATCGCCGTGCTGCGATTGGGTCTCGCTTGCTTATGGTCAGTATCAAGATGAAGAAAGACGACAACATCAACCAGCGTATAGGCATCCGCCTCTGCTCCGCTCATCGGGATGGTAGGGCCGATCCCTTGGACGGACCCTCCTATGAGGCTAGCTGTTATCATCATTATCATTATCATCACCAACAACAACATCGACTCACTGCCTTCGCTCTATGGAAATACCCTTCTCCCTCCCCACATACCGCTCTGTATGCCTCCCCCCCCCCCTCCCTTCTTTGGTTTTCTTCCTTCCTCCTCTTCCGATGACGTGAAGTTGGGATACGCCCCGTCTCGTTAAGTCTAACGATCGCTCGCGATGAGTAGGGCGGTCCTTCAGCAGCAGCCGCGTCTGTTCCGCCGCGCGGCTGTCATCGGACCCTCTCGCCGACTCGCGCGTAGATGGCGGACCAGTACCGCCGGCACATGTCGGCGTGAACGGGGACAGGCGGTGAAGACTTCATCCCGCCTGTGGCCGACTCGATATTTCAGCGTGCCTTCGTCCAGTCCCGACGACAGTGAAGATGCTCAGCCGGGCACCTATAGCGAAGCCGACCATGAGCATGCGGTCATCTCAGCCTTCGACCTTTTCTCCATCGGCATCGGCCCTTCCTCTTCCCACACAGTTGGGCCGATGCGGGCAGGTGGTATCTTCGTTACTGATCTCATCGAGGCTGGCCTGTTAGAAAATGTGGGCATGATACGCATTTCCATCTACGGCAGTCTTGCACTCACCGGCGAGGGCCAGTAAGTTTCAACACTTCCTCTTCCTTAAGGTTCGGCCATCTCTCTACCTATCTTGTTGCTAGAGTAAAGCCTCCACGGCACCCGACTTAGATCTCTCTTAGTTCGATGTATTTGCTGAAGAGGACACCTGCTGATTCTGGGACTTTCCGCAGCATGACGCCTTCTGCGCTTCTGCTCGGCCTCGAGGGTGCGAATGTGGAAACTGTAGACACGTCCTATGTGCCCACTCGTTTTGAGCGGATCAAAAAGGAGAAGAAGTTATTCCTGGGTCACAGGCTTCCCCAAGGCAAGGCGAGACAAATTGACTTCGACTACGACCGCGATTTCAAATGGGAGTGGGGCAAGAAATTGCCCATGCATAGTAATGGCATGCGCTTTATGGCGTTCGACAACGAGGGGAATATGCTGGCAACTAATGATCTATTCAGCGTAGGTGGTGGCTTCGTCGTCAACGGTGCGTTGTCCACCGCGGCCACCACAGCAGCAGCAGTCCAGGCCGCAAAGGATACCTCGAACACTAAAGAACTCCAATCCGAGAGCTCCGGTGGGCACCCGGCAGACCTGGCCGAGAACATGTTCTACAAAGAAATCAGACGAGCTAATGCAGCGGGGGATCGAAGAACTGGTCCCGAGGTTAAGTCCCACGCCAGTGATCCTGCCGACGAGCCAATGACTTTAGAAGGAGCTCATTCGAGTCAATCCGGATCCCTCTCTTCTATGGAGCCTGCGACAGGAGACGCGGACGCTGAAGTCACCAATACTAAAACGGCTGAACGACAACCTCGCTACCCGTTTCACGACGCCCAGAGCCTGTTGGCGCTGTGTAACAAGCACAATTTAACTATTGCGCAGTTGGTTTACGAAAACGAGAAGAGTCATGGGTACACAGACGATGAGATATTTAGAAAAGTGATGCGCATTTGGGAGGTTATGGACGACAGCATACTCGAAGGTGTCCAGGCGCCTCTCGATGCAATACTTCCGGGGTCGCTTAAGCTTCATAGACGGGCGCCGGGCCTGTATAGACGGTTAACGAGAGGGCTGTACCCGTCGCACGCCCGGGTTGATGACACAGTCCAGGGGGAACAGCAACTGTCGTCCCAGAATGGTAGCGATGGCGAAGCACCACCACTAGAGCCGGTGACGTCGACTCCAGCCACACTAGATCGAAAGCGCCCGATTAACAAGCGGAGACCCCAACGGATACACGGCGCTATTTACCACCCCATCATGCCGTGCCTCCCGCGCCGCACCACATTCCCGGCGATGGATTACTTAACTATGTACGCAATCGCAGTGAACGAGACGAATGCGGCGGGTGGGCGAGTCGTGACGGCGCCGACAAACGGCGCGGCAGGAATCATCCCTGCCGTGCTAAAGTACACTATCGAATTTATCAGCGACGACACAGAACGCGATATTATGACATTCCTTCTGACCGCGGCCGCCATAGGCATGCTGTACAAGCGCGGGGCCACTATCTCGGCAGCGGAAGGTGGATGCATGGCTGAAGTCGGAGTAGCCTGCTCCATGGCGGCTGGCGCCTTCGCGGCATGCATGGGTGCGAGCCCCGAGGCGATCGAGCAGGCGGCCGAGATCGGTATTGAGCACAACCTTGGCCTGACGTGCGATCCTATCGGCGGGTTAGTACAGGCGCCTTGTATCGAGCGCAACGCCCTCGGCGCAGTGAAGGCCATCTCAAGCGCGAACCTAGCCCTAAGCAGCAAGACGGGCACCCAGAAGGTTCGGCTCGACGATGCTATTCGCGCTATGCGCCTCACTGCTAAAGGCATGAGAAACGAGTTCAAGGAGACGAGCCTCAGTGGTCTAGCTACTAGCGTGCCACTCAACATCCCCGTCAGCGTCCCCGACTGTTGACTCTTGATTCTCGTGAGTGGGTTAAGAGAACGTTTCTTTTTTTATAATACAAGGAGAACTAAGAAGCATTCGCGGTTGAGGGCGAAGGTAAATACACTCACTATAAAGGGCAAGTTTTGAGTTAGAGTCTACGCGCTAAGGTAGTATATAAATATAAAGGATTTAGGTAGACTTGTGTATACGATATATAGATAGAGGTACGGCGTATATTACTATGTTTTATAAAGTAATAAATGGAATAAATGCTATTACAGTGGCTGTTTCGTCTTGTTGCAGATATTATTTAAATGCTGAATCTTGTAATATATACACAAGATAAAGCTTAGTTACAAGAATATAGTATTAAGGATTTTATATAGTAGTATTATAATAAAATCCCAAAGCTAGGTAATAAATATATTCTCATAGTAAGAAAAACAAGTACTTACTTTTTTGAAAAAAAAAAATAAACAAATAAGTACTTAGCGAAAGGCGGTTGCTTATATAACTAGAAACGAGATGAATTAAAACGGTTACCGTTTGAAGGATATACTTATAGTATCCTAAGGCAATCAGGCATCAAGAAAGAAGCACTGTGAATAGTAAGAAGGAGCTAAGCGTACGCGATACTAAGGTTCTGGACAGCTTACTCGAAAGCATACTTTATTAGTAATTATAATACGTACGATAGTTTAAGATAAATGAAGTTAATATTACTTTATTAATCGAAAACTAGGAATTTAATATAGTTATCGTATCTTAAGTATATCTTTCAGTTCTAGAGATATAGTAATCACTAGCTCGAAGGTAAAGAAAGTAAAAAGAGAAAAAGAACTAAATGTAACAGTTACTTATTTAGTTATTATAATACGACGAAGCGACTTCAGCATTTATAACTCTAATAAATATACTAATTAAATAATGATAAATTGAGTAATGAAAACAATTCCTAAATTAAAGTAAAAATAATAAAGTTATGTAACGTAAAGGTGGCTTCTTAGGTTGTTCCTCTTCGTTGCTTACCTTAGTAATAGGAGCTCCTATATATTTGCTCCGTTACTTCTACTCCTTTAGCTCGTTCTTAGATAGATCGACGACCTTTTCTCTCCTTTTGCTCCTTCTCTCGTTACTTGTGAGATAGCTCTCTGCGCGCGCTCTCGCGTACGTAGCTCCTTCATATAGCTACGTAATAAGTTAATAATTTAATAAAGTAATAATTCTAATTATAATATAGTCTATACTTACGGGAGCTATAGTTGCTCAATATAGTTTTAAGGTCTATCGCAACGTATTACGTAACATATTAAAAGAGTATGTTCTACTGTACTATTATAGTACCTATCTCTTAAAGAATCGAATAATTTATATAACTAAATAAACTTATTTATTTTTATATTACGGAGTAGTTGAACTAGCCTATATAAGCCTACATACCGTAAAGTGTAAATATAGGCGTCTACATTTTACGCGATAGTTATGAGCCCGGTTAGCGCTCCAAGGTGCTTTGGTTTAGTGGTTCGGTTCCTTTAATTACGCGTATACGGGCGTAGTAAGCGTAGCCCCTTACGCGGTAAAGCCCTAGAGCTAGACTAGAACTAGTAGTAAGGCGTCGCGCTAAGAGGTAGGAGGTTTGATTCTCTACGAGGGGCCCCTAAAAAAGAGGCGGTCGGACGTTAGCAGTTATTACCTACCTACTAGGGTATTTAAAAACTAGGGGGTATATTACGGAGTAGTTAAACCAGCCTATATAAGCCTACATACTGCAAAGCGTAAATGTAGGTGTCTACGTTTTACGCGACATCTTAAGAGTTTCTATTTAAGGTATCACATTATATTTATTTAAAGCTGTCGTATCTATCTGAAAAGTTAAATAAATCCTCATATATATATTAAAAAGAGCGTAACGAATAATATAATAATAATCGTTGCGAGATTACTTTCTTATTTATCGCAAGTTTATAATATTCGTAATTAAACGTAAGTATATCGTTAATCTCAATATTCTGAGTATTCTTTAGAAATACTTTAAACGTCTCTATGCTTCATGGACAGGAGCAGCGTGGGCACGCTGTGATGAAGACACGTAAGGCAAGGTCAACTCAACTGCCAACAACTAGCCTAGTGCTATTGAACTAGATTACAGCTATAAACAGCTTGTTACGTAGTAATTGAACCAGCCTATATAAGCCTACATACCGCAAAGCGTGAATGTAGGCGTCTACGTTTTACGCGACACAGCTATAATCAGTTGATTAGCTGGATGAAACGGCAACTAGGAAGAATACAAAAAAGAGAGACTAAAATAATTAAGAAGAGACATTGAGAAAAGAGTAAGTAACTATAGGTCCTGATATATATATATTTAAGCCTAATTAATGAAAATATAAATGCGAGACCTATATAAATATACATTTGAAAGACTATGTAGCCTAGTCTCACCGCACTACTACAATATTAAAAAACTTTATAAAAGTGTTTATTTTAAATTTAAAAAGTATATTAAATTTAGCATGCTATTTATAAATATGTAATTATTATATATTTTATTAATATTTCCTTTCTTTAATTATGTATAGTGTATATATTACTGCTTGAATATTACGTAATTTATATTTATTTAAAAATTATATAAAAAGAAATTATATAATATAACTTATAACCCTTATAATCTTAAATTAATAACGCTATACATGGTTAAAAGTAGTAACTTTTATTATTTTTTAGTAATAGGTAGGGTAGTATGAAAAGGTAAAGTCTGTAGTTAGATAATATATAGTATCTACTTGACTTATTTACTACTAATATGCACGAAATGTTTTTTCTTTTACTATTATTACTATATAATTAAATATGAAAACCCAATAATCAAGTAAGGCTTACTATATTATGATAATTAGGTTTTAAATAGAATCAAGTCCGTTAGTCTTTAAAGTAAACTAAATTAATAACTTAATATAAAATAATTTCTTATAATAATTATTTTTAAACTTTGAAATATTTTAGTAGTATAGTAAATCTTAGCTACATAGCCTTTTAGATAAATATTTCTATAGGCCTCGCATTTAGATTTCCATTAATCAAACTTAGTTTTATAAATATTATAATCTATAGCAATTTACTCGTTTTTTAATATGCTTTCAATTTATATTTTTTAGTTTTTTCACTTTTGTTTTCTTTCCTAGCTGCCGTTTCAGCTAACTGATCAACTAATTGCAGCTGTTTACAATTGTGATTTACGTCAATCGGCAATAGGCTAGTTGCTGACAGTTGGGCAGACTGTTACCATACGAGTTTCCAACAGCGTGTCAACGTTGCATTTATTCAATATATACTAGCCTTTGTTCTCAGTAATATGTAGTAATAATAAAGAAACAGAATTTAAACAATGTATTATACATATAACAGTGTATTATGATGAGTTAGTATTCTTAATTATAGTTTAATAACAGTGTATAATTTATTGAAAGTCGTATTGTTTATTAAATGTCAAGTTTTATAACTTGTATTTCATCCTACGTACAACGCGCAATCTAAACAAATTAAGTCTCAGCATATTATTTCACCAATATCTACTGTCAACAAGAAACTATTTTATCGTTTATTTCCATGGATCCTCCTATGGTAACTAGGAACTTGTTAAGATTCTGGGGACCCTCCAAGGTAGATCTAAAAGAGACATTTGATGCTGATTTACAAAGTCTCTACTCTACAGCCTACGGCTTGATTAACCAAAATATATCACGAGATCAATGGCGGATGGTACAGTGGACTCTAGACGACTTTGCTCAGTTTTACGATTGCGAAGAGTACGCAAAAGCGTGGTCAACTTTTGTGAGACTGTGGCTTAACCAGAACCTCTTGGTCGCCTTACCATCTTGGGAGGATGTTGTGGAGGCATTACAGGACGTCTTCGAGACCCCTGAGGTATTTCACGAGTATGTTGGTTTATGCCCCGAGAGCAAACTTCCTCTCGCTACCTGGGAGCCGATTGACTACATTTGTGCCTTCATCATACGCTTGCTTAACTACCGCAGGCATTTCAATGATGGAACGGCAGCTAGCGGCAGCGACTTTGAGTTCCTCCAGGCGATGTATGCCGGTTCATTTGGTAGCGATAATCCTTTCTACCATCCCTGGGATGCTGTGGATAAATGGGCCGCTGCATACCTCCTCTACGTTAAGCTCAAGTATGAGTGCAACCTCTACGTAGAGGACCACCTCCGCCAGCATCCACATAGCTTTGACCACGATTACGCTCAGGCGAAGAAGTCAGGCCCTGTGCATGCTAAAGGGGAGGAGGAATTTGAGAGACGCCAGAAGGCGGCAAAGAAACACAAGAGAGCTCTGGAGAGAAAAGCAGAGAAGGGTTGGTTCTGGTTTCCTAGCATGACACTGTGGTAATAACTAGCGAATATTTCACCTACATAAAATGCACCTTATGCTTTTGTACGTAAATGCGCTCCCAAGGTAAGCGGTGTTTCTAAGCACTGTTTCATTCATCTTCTCAGTTCTCTTTGATTGCTGGCAGCCTGTTTGCAAGAGAGTACTCTAAGTTAGCACACCCTTTTGTTCTATGTCACAATTCTCTCTATGTAGACTTTACAAAGCGTTCTTGTTTCTTATAGGAGAGCTTAGCAAAAATGTCTCAGAGAGCTTTTTCACTTCCTTATCTAACGTTTGAGAAACGGTAGGGACAAAGCAGTCTCGGTAAAACATCATTCGAAGACCTTCACGCAAAACAAAGCCGGAGAGCCGCACGCATCAAGTTTATAAAAGTCTCGATGATGCTGGCTAGCCCCGGTTATCCTGCTTGGAGATTGCAATCTACTTCGCTCATCGTCACATCTCATCAGCAGTAGCATCTATCCCTACCCACCACTAACGCTGCAGGTTCAAACCCAAATAAATAAATCAGAAGATACATACAAACAGAAGAAAAATGACCTCGCAAACCGAACCCGAAACTCAACGCCTTATTGGATCGGCTACGCCGATGTCGACTGCAGGCTCGAAGCGCTCGCTGAGGGTGTTCGTGCCGCCGAAGGACTTTCCTGATGCGGCGCGGGACCGGGTGTGGGCGGTGTACAAGAAGAAGCCACCACACCTCGACGCGGCGGCGGGGGAGTTAGCGGCGGTGTTCGGGCTTTGCGAGGAGGCGGGAGCAGACCTCCTGTCGCGGCAGCGGGCGTGTAACCTGCTGGCGCACCCGGCGGTGGAGAGGGCGTTCATTGAATTTGGGGAGCGGCACCTCGTGGGGCGGAGGTGGGGGTGGGAGGCGCCGACGGGGCAGTGGCAGGCGGCACACGACGCGGTGCACGCGCGCAGCCGCGACGCGGGGTTCGCGGCGACGGTGCTGCCGGCGCGGCTCGCAGCGGAGGCGGCGGCCTGGGACGTGGACACGCAGTATGCGCGGTTCGTGTTGCGGTGCTACGCTGAGCTCGGCGGTAGCGGGGCGGCGGAGGTTGGCGCGGGCGAGAAGCGGCGCGGCGGGGAGCTCGCATACTGGGTCCGGGACGCGACACTGTGCGACGCGGCGTGGGTGCTATTCCACACGCTGTTGTACCTCCAGCTCGAGGCGATGCGCGACTCCCGCCGGCACGCGCCAACACGGGACCGCGTCGGCCGCGTTGTCGCCAAGTGGTGGGCGCGCGTGTGAGAGGAGTCTACTTGGATACTTTACGCTCCGGCTCGCTGCCTACCTGCTGGACCGACCTCGTTAGTTGAGGTTAGCCTCGGCCACGGGCTCTCGGTTGATAGATAGGAGCTGAGGTTGGTATATAATACCCAGATGTATTTCTATATAGAGAGAAAGCTGTAGCCGGTCTCGGCATTCGGTCCTCCCCGTATTCATAAGTACTTAAGGTACCTAGGTAGGTATATACCTGTACTGGGCACCTAGACTGTGAGAGACTCTAGGGTCCTCTTATCCTATTACTTGCTGCAGAAATTCATCTAGTCCTATCATCAGTTGAGCTCTTAGTTTGATTTGACCGACCTTTCTACAACCCATGTAGCATTCCACAGGACTGTTTCTTGGGATGGGCGAGGTATCTATCTATTGTGACCACAACCAAACCGAGCGGATGCTTTTCTAATTATGCAACTAGTACCCATGGATATAATTAGGAAATACCCAAGGTAGGTAGGTAGGTATGTACCTAGGTAGGTAGCTCTCGGAACTAAGAACAACGTCTCGCAAGGGTCTTCATAGTTTGCCGCCCTTGCTCTTGTCCTCGGGTTTACACAGCCGTAAACTCCGTATCTGCGACGGCTTCTCTCTAGGTGCTTTACCTGTCACCCGCCCGCACCTGTTGACCGCCTGTCACCTTGCCACCTCGTTGTTTTCCCTCTCGCCTCCTCTTGCGCTTTTTCGCCTCTTCGGCCGCCCTCGGCCGCGTCTAGGAGATTCACAATCCCCGCTCATTTATGCCAGCCCCTTCTATGCTGAGCTCACGAGTCTCTATGGGCTGTCCTGTAGGCTTCTAATTCTGAAGCTCTCCGGTTTTCGACGGGCCATCGATGGTCAATGCAGAATTCCCGGTTTCTTCTTCTATTGCCATCTCTCCCCTCCGCCCTGCCCGCTATCCTATGCCTGCCCGGTTGAGTAGCGATGGCTGGAAATTACGCTCGCGCTCTATGCAGGGAGATGAAGTAGTATGCGTCTCCATGAATTTGTCATGGTTCTATTTTCCCACCTCTTCCACACCTCCATTTCGGCTTTCGGCCCTCTCTCTTCCCGCCAGCCTGGCCACTCATCTACCGGCTGTGGATTCTCTATCCTTGTGCGAAGGCTCAACACGCTGCTCGCGACTCACAACCAAATCGGTTAGGTAGAGAGTAAAGGTGGCTTGGTGCTCCTGGTCGTTTTTACCATAGTTACTACATCGTGAAATATCGTCTCGTATTTCTTCCCCCCATCCTCTCTCCCCTTGTTTTGTCTTTGCATTCGCCTTTCTGCTTAGGCATATCTTCTCATCTTGTTTCGAATTGCATGTCCATTTGGTTGTCGGGTTTCCACGGACGGGGTAAGATATGCAGGACACGCCGGATCGCGAGGCTTCTACGCCTCCCGCTCGGGATGACGAAAAAATCGACGACCTCGAGGAAGCAGTGAAGACATCCGGCCACGCCACCCACCTAAGCTCTTCCTTGAGTACCGCGCAGGAGGAAGATGCCCCAAAGAACAGCAGCGCATCCGCCGAGGCCGTCGTCCAATCCAACGGACCCCCCGGCGATGCTGTGCCGGGGGCAAAAGAAGAGGAGCCCGAAGCTGGGCGGACGAAGTTGGAGACGACTCTCATTATGTTCGCCTTGTGCTCAGCGCTCTTCCTCGCCGCCCTCGACGTCACCATCATCACCACCGCTATCCCAACCATCACCGAGCAGTTCCGGTCGCCCGCCGGGTACACCTGGATCGGTGCCGCCTACCTGCTCGCCAACAGCGCCACTGTCCCGAGCTGGGGGAAGGTGAGCGATATCTGGGGCCGTAAGCCCGTCCTGCTAGCTGCCGTCGCCATCTTCTGGATCGGGTCGCTCCTCTGTGCGCTGAGCATCAACATCGGGATGCTCATCGCGTCTCGCGCCATCCAGGGCGTCGGCGGAGGCGGCATCGTCGTCCTCACCAACATCTGCGTCAGTGACCTGGTCTCGATGCGTAAGCGAGGCATGTACTACGCCTTCTTCGGCATGGTGTGGGCCATCGCGTCCGCCATCGGCCCCATCCTCGGCGGCGTCTTCACCTCCCAGGTCACTTGGCGCTGGTGCTTTTACGTGAATCTGCCCATCAGCGGCGTCGGCTTCGCCGTGCTCCTATTTGTACTCAAGTTGCACAACCCGCGCACCCCCGTTCGGCAGGGCCTGGCCGCCGTCGATTGGCTCGGCAGTCTCTTGATCATTGGAGGCACCCTCATGTTCCTGTTCGGCCTGGAGTTCGGCGGCATCACCTACCCGTGGAATTCGGCCCCTACCATCTGCCTGATCGTATTCGGCGTTGTCACCATCGCCCTCTTCGCCGTCGTCGAGCGGTGGTACGCCAAGTATCCGGTTATTCCGCTGCGACTGTTCAAGTTCAGAAAGAACATTTCAACCTTTGCCGTCTGTATCGCCCACGGTATTGTCTTCATATCTGGAAGTTATTATTTGCCGCTCTATTTTCAAGCTGTCCTCGGCGTCTCGTCGCTACTCTCAGGTGTCTATCTACTCCCCTACGTTCTAGCGTTATCGTTCATGTCTGTCATCTCGGGCTTGGTTATGAGGAAAACGGGCAAATACCTGCCGCTGATCATATTCGGAATGGTCTTCATGACACTCGGCTTCGGTCTGCTCATCAGCCTCGAGGCCAAACCAAACTGGGCCAAGATCATTATCTATCAGATTATCGCAGGCCTCGGTGTAGGCCCAAACTTCCAATCCCCTCTTGTAGCGCTGCATACAACCGTTGAACCCCGCGACATCGCGGCTATGACTTCGACATTTGGGTTTATTCGCCAGCTTGCGACATCCATTTCCGTAGTAATCGGCGGTGTGGTGTTCCAAAACGGTATGAATAGACAGTACCTGACTCTCCTCTCCCAACTGGGCCCAGAGCTGGCCGGGCAGCTCTCGGGTGGGAGCGCCGGCGGCAACGTTGGGCTCGTCGCTTCCTTGCCAGGCGCTCAAGGAGAAGCTGCTCGGGCTGCCTACTGGAACAGTCTACGCGACATGTTCATTATGTATACGGCATTTGCTGGGGTAGGGTTAATCTTTGCACCGTTTATTCCTCAAAAGAAACTTAGTCAGGATCATACGGAACATAAGACAGGGTTGCAAAGCCTTCGTCGAAACGACGACCCTGCCGACACTGTGTTAACAAACTAGCAGCTTTAGCAGAATATAAAATAGAATTATATTAAAATAATGCTACGTAGAGGTTGTACCTTAGGTTATTTCTCTTCGTTGCTAACTTTAGCAATAGAAGCTTTTATATATACGCTTTCATTACTTACTTTCATTTAGTTAGTTAGAGAAAAGAGAACCTTTTCTTGCTTTTACTTCTCCTCCAGTTACTCGTAAGATAGCTCTTCGCGCGCCCTTTTGTATAGGTAGCTTCTTCTTTTATTTAAGGAATATTAAAGCTTATTTATGTTTTTAATTCCACTTGTTTATCAGTAGATAACTATTGAAAACTACGATTAGAAAAAGTATTAATAGATACTATTACAAGAAGCAGGATAATACTAATATTAACGTACTTATAATAGGAAATAAGTTTCTTTAATTCTTCTTACGTAGCCGGTACCTTTTTAGATTCCTAGTACCGATTATATAGCCGGTAGGCGGTTACTTGGCCGGTAACAGTTACTGTAAAAGTAACTAGCTGTAAGAGAAGGGATTTTATTAAACTTTTATTAGAATCTATATAAAATAAATGATATTCTCTTTATAAATAATCATTCTTTAGTTCTTTAATTATTAATATCTAGATATATTTTATTTTTAAGCATTATTTTACGCTGAAGTATTAAAAGATAAGTAAAGTATCGGTTTTATAAATCTAATTTTAATTCCATAATATATTACAACCCTTTTTATAATTAGAGTATATTATTTATAAAATAATTAGGTTATAATACCTTAATAGCTCTTTCATTACAGAATTAAATAAGAAAGATATGGGCGACCTTTTATTAGAGAACGAGTATTGGGAAAGTAATCCTCTTTAAAAGAAACGTTAACTATTCTTACACGAATTCGAATTTTGAGCAATTCGTTCCTCTATGGTAAAGAAATAAACCTACCTAAAGACGATCTAAGAAGCCTTGCGTTTTTAGAAAACCTAGAAGAAGAAGAATGGGAATTAATTTTAAACGTCCTAGAATTAAAGTTTAATAATTTATTTATATTAAAAGTACCTGTATTAAGAAGAAGCAGAGCCTACGTGAGACTAGAGTCCCGGATAGCTCACTCGAAAGTATACTTTATCAGTAACTATAGTACGTACGATAGTTTAAGATAAAGAAAACTAATATTACAACGTAGTATATGGATTAAAGGGTTATAAAGGGCTCGAGATTATTCTTTTTCTATGCTTACCGTAATTACCTAAACGTATATATTATCCGGTCGAAAGCGCCGTTTTTAATCATATTAAAAATAAGTAATCTCCGAAACTTACAGGAATATAATATTACAGCGAATTAAGCTTTGAAGAACTTATTAGGGTTAACGATAATTCGTTTTGGGTAAGCTAAGTCCGTATAAATTATAACGATTAAAGCGGCCGTGGGCTTATCGAGGAGGTATTAACGGGTTTAGAAATCGAACGGTTCCGCCGATCGATAGCTTAAGGCTTAATAAAGGTCGACTTTAAAAGCCGCTTTTCTTCTTTTAAGATCGTAGATAGTTATATCGTAAAGGATGAAGGTATCATTATTAATAATACAAACGAAGCAGACGAGGCATACAAAAGAGTTAGTTAAGGTTACCTTCGTTTATCCTTATTATTTTTAATTTATAATGTGGAGCTGATTAACGAATAATTAGAAAACCTAAGCTATATTGGTTCCTAATTCGATTTGGCTGTTTTCCGAGTTGTAGGTTTCTAAAGTATGAAGTTAATATTTCTTTATATTGCTTTAATTACCCTCGCCGTTATAAATCTCTTATAAGAGATCTATAAAATTGATTAAATCAGCCCGACGTACGTCTTTATATATAAAGAAAATAGTAAAGGAAAAGGGAATACCGATAAAGCGGGGAAAGTATATTGTAAAAAAAGAAAAGATTTAAAAAGAAAAGGAAAAAAAGACTAAGAAATAGCTTAAATTAAAAATTTAAATTCGTAATAAGAAAGGTAGGCTAAAGATTAAGGAAAATATAATAACTATAAGAAAGGGATTTGGGAATAGGATACTTAAAGAAGAAAAAGAAAGGGAGGAAAGGAAACGCGTTAACGATAAAGTTAAATATATTAAGTAGGAGCAGAGCGTACGCGATACTGGAGGCCCGGATAGGTTCACTCGAAAGTACACTTTATCGAAGACTATAGCACGTACGATAATCTAAGACGGATGAAACTAGTACCGCTATACTAATCGAAAGATAAGGAATCTAATGTAGTTATCGTATCTTAGCTATACCCCTTAGTCGTTAAGATATAATAGTCGCTAGCCCGAAGGCATAAGAGGTAAGGAGAGAAAAGGAGTAAAACGTAAAAGTTACTTATTCGGCTATAGCGGTACGACGAAGTAACTTAAGCGCCTATAATTAAAATAAATATATTAACCGGAGAACGACGAATCTCATAATAAAAACGAATCTTTAATTAAGGTAAAAGAAATAAAGATAATAATCTAGCTAGGTAATAAACTAAATAATAAACATAGTATATCCCGTACTTACGAGAGCTATAGTTACTTTATATAAACATAAGGCTTATTATAGCGTATTACGTAATATATTAAGAGGATATATCTTACCGTATTACTATTGCCTCCTTAGTTTAATTATACCGTAAGGGATAATTAAATTAAAAAGGATAATACGGTATGTCTCGATTAATATCTTTCCTTAAAAACTACCGCAAAACTCCATTCTACCGGTTATTATCTAATTATTAAAAGCAGGCCTTTAATTTATCGTTTAATATAATAAAAAAGCCCCTCTATTACTTTACGGTTAACTTAGCTTAGTTTACCTTTACCGATCTAACCCGATCGGTATATTCCTTCTTTACCTCGGCTACCTTCTTCTTAGTCTCGGCTTAGCCTTCTTAATTAAAAGAATAATAAGGGAGCGGGCGCGTCCTAAGGATTAATTAGGTATCTTTCCTCTACCTATACGGTATAAAGGTCTCCCTGGATTAAAAAGCTTTAATCCTTATTAGGCTAAGGAAAGGAAGGAAGCGCGTTATAACCTTAACGAGATTATCGTAACAGAGCTCGGCGTCCGCTAATACTAGGAAGTAAGGGAGATTAAGTACTAAGGCTATAGAGAAACGGCGGACTTTTGCTTACGCGATCGAACGGACGGAGGATTTACGGTTAAGGGACTCGCTAATCGGCGTACTTTAAACGGACGTTATAGCGTTAATAAGGTTAATTCGCTTTTAATAATTTACGGCTTACCGAAGACGCTTAACGATACCTACCCCCCCCTTTAAAACTTAAACGATATAAAATTACTCTACTATCTCGGCGTATTCTTCTATAATATTAAAGAAATTAAGCCCCTTATTTTCTTAGGCTTAACGCACGACCTCGATCCGTCGTTTAAAGATAAAATACGGTAAAATGCCGCTTTAAAAACCGTAATTATAATTATTTTATTAATTTATTAACGCGACGTAATAAGTAAACGAAGAGGTTATGTAAGGCTCGAGGCTATCGTTTTTCTAGGCTCGCCGTAACTAACCGAACGCGTACGCCGCCCGATCGAAAGCGCCGTTCCTAATTATATTAAAGGTATATAATCTCTAGAGCTTAAGGAAATATAGCGCTACGGCGAAGTAAGCCGAGGAGAACTTTTCGGAATCGGTAATAGCTCGTTCGGAATCTATTAGGTCCGTATAAATCGTAAAAACTAAAATAAAGGCGGGGTTATCGAGGAGGTACTAACGGGTTTAGGAAGTTAAACGATTCTACCGATCGATAGCCTATCGTTTAATACGGGTCTACTTCGAAGGCCGCCTTCCTACCTTCGAGGTCGTAGCTTATTATAATATAAAAGGTATAAATATCCTCGTTAATAAGATAGTTATAACAGGCGACGCATACGAAAGAGTTAGCTAGGGCTACATTCGTTTATTCCTATAGCTATTAATTTATAATTCGGGATCGATTAGCGAATAGCTAGAAGGCTTAGGCTATATCGGATTCTAACTCGATCGAATCCCTCCCCGAATCGTAATTATCTAAAGTATTAAATTAATACTCCTTTATATTACTTTAGTTATCTTTACTACTATAAATCTCCCGTAGGAGTTCTATTTAATCGGCTAAATCGGCGCGACGTACGTCTCTATTAACGGAAAGGAGGGAAAAGGAAGAGGGAATACCGGCGGAGCGGGGGGAAGATATCGTAAAAAATAATAAAAGAATTAAGGAAAGGAGGAGAAAAGATAATAAGTTAAAGGTAAAAATAAAAATTTAAATTAATAATAAAAAAGGTAGGCAGAGATTAATAAAAATATAATAATTATAAAGAGAGGGGTTTCGAAATAAGATACCTAAAGAGGAAAAAGAAAGGAAGGAAGGGAGACGTATCGACGATATAGTTAAATATATCTTTACGACTAATGCTTTAGGAAAGCGCGTTCTCCCGTATACGTATAAAGTTATGATAGGAAACGCGCTAGCTTATAACTTCCTATTATATATTCTTAATAAAGTAATAAGTACGTATATTCGTAGACTCGTAATTAAACGTAGGCTAAGGTAGGTACTATCGAGACTCTCCTAAGTACGGTACTTACGACCTAGGTAACGTATTAACTCTCTCGTTTTCGTCCGACCTCTTCTCTTATTTCTCGTTTTTTTACGGTTCCGATCTATTTCCTTTCTTCCTTTCCTTAGGTCCTCTATTTTCGTTTTAGTTTATTTTTCGACTTTTCTCGATTCTAGATTTATAATTTCGTCGTCCTTACTTCCTTACTTCTTATATATATATATATATACGATAGATCCTACCCTTTAAAAGTAACTTGTTAAACTAAACCGGGCGTCCGTTCTTAAGCTACTCGAGTAGTTTAAGGCTACGGGGATTACCGACGAGGAGATCGCCGGGACGTTTAAGAAGGCTAAGGAGAAAAAAAAAAAGGCCGTAACGTATTAACGGGCTAAGTCGATACCGCCGCTTATAAATCTAATAAATAAGTAGCCCGACGAATCCTTCCGTCGGCTACCTTCTACCGAGGAGTTCCGGGACGTTAATCGACTAATTCCTAAGCCTTAATAAGTACCGTATATCCCGTACTTCCGCCCGTTAGACTAAAGCCCGAAAGTAATTATCGGCCGGTAGCTCCGGGGTATCGAAGGAATTCGGGTAATAAATTAATAGCGCTAGGTATATAGCTCTTAATATTAATAGGATCTATTAATTAAAAGTTAGATTAATTAATAGTAAAATAATTCGTAACGTTCGGTTTTATTTTCTAGGTAGGCCGGCGGCCGGCCGGTATATCGTATAGGAAATCCTAAGTAAGGATTTTAAAAAGGTTACCTACCTTTAGAGCTATATTATATTCCTCGCCCGTTACGTTTAGTTCTTTCGTCGTCGGACGTTATTTATAAAGATTAATAATAAAGAACCGGTCGGTAAGTATTTCCGTCGACTAGCGACGGATCCTCGTTACGTCGTTAGCTTATTTATTTAATAGTATAAGGTACCTAACGAGGTACCTTATTAGTACTACGAGCGCCGGCTCGCCTTTTCCGATACTACTAAGTACGTAGGTATATAACCGTTCTTTTCCTATCGTTCCCTAGCTCCCGATTATATCTTCGGGTACTCCTACGGCGTCTACCTCTTTTCTATTAATAAGGTACGTTATAAATTTCGAAATAAGCGGTTCGCCTACCTACGGACGAAAATGGATCGTAACCCCCCTCTAATAGAAAATCTAAGCTAGGCCTTATGCCTACTTATAATACGAATAACGGAAAAAGAATTACTAATTATAATAAACTCAAAGATCGTTACGTTCCGGGGGTCGGGAAGTAAATAAGCTTTTGGTTTTCTTAGTAACTAGTAAGTAAAGGATAAGGTAAAGGAACTAAAAGGAAAAGAGAGGTATTAATCGGCGGGTATGTATTACTTCTAGCTTATTTTTAGACGCGTATTCCTTTTCTTTTCCTATTTCTTTTCCTTTTATTAATATAAATTACTTTCCT